ATTCGCTTAAAGCCACTGCAAATGCAACTTAAACTGTTGCTCGCGAGTTTGCAACATGCAACTGGAATGGCAAACAAGGCACTGGAAAAGGGGGCAGCAACCAGCTTTTGTCGGCGGCGTCGATCCCCCCACTTCCATCCGCCCCCCAGAAATAATAAACATCAATTGCCTAATGCAAACAACCGCAGGAGCTCTCGGTGCTCAGTTCAGTTCAGTACACCCATGCTTATATTCATAGTCGCCCCTAACCTCTTCTCATCTCTACTCCTAAAAGCTCACGGTTCTACACTGGGAAAAATGAAAATAATATTTTAATGCTTGAATCAACTAGTAGGTACAAGTTTTCATGTGTCATAAAGATTCTTATAGATATTTGAGTTTTTTGGTAGAGTTGTTTTTCATGAAAAGGTTATGTTGCTCTAAAAAGAAAATTCCATTTTAAACAATGAAAAAGAAACTTATAATAATTTTCAGATAAATATATAGTTTATAGTTTAAAAAAACTTATTATTTTCATTTTAGTAAATGTATTGTATGTATCTAATTTGACGTCTAATGTAGAATAGAATTTTACTTTATGATAAAATGTATAGAAACAATTTTTGGGAATTATTTTAATAGTTTCATGTTTACAGTGTTTTAATTTATTTGAAGTGCTTTGCTACTTTACTATTTAAAATTCTAACGTATTATTTTTCCAGTGTACACTTGTTTGCATTTTTGTTGCCGCTGCTCGTTGAGAGGCAGCAGCAGTAGAAATGGAAAAAGTGCTCTGTAAATACGCAGCGAGACGCGTCGTATAGTATTTAGGCAGTCCTTGCCGGGGACTTCGTCCTGTCCCCCACATCCTGCCCCCAAACAATTGTCTGTGTGTTGGTGTGTGTCGTTTGCCAGCGTCTTTTTATGAACTTGTTAACAATCTAACGACCTTTTTGCCCGGCTACCTCATTGTTGCTGCGACTTCCCTGCTGGATTCCGTATGTCGAGTGGCAAGAGGTTGGCGCATCAAATGTTTGGGCTTAGCAAATATTTGCATACTTTGGGCTGCTCATGAAAATAACATAATTTGATTCCAACAGAAGAGCCACGGGGTAATGTGATTTTGGCCCCAAACAAATGTAAACATATGTTTGCGATGGAATAGATATTTTCTTTCTGATTTCTCACGACAGCCACTGAACAAACACCTGATTTATCGATATTTAATAGTATTTCCTGGCCGGAGTTCAAAGCTCCAGGATCTGTTGGGCAACTCCCAAGGCCAGGATGTATTTTTCAGTCCCTTCCGTAATGCACGGAAGCCGCTTAAATGGCACACAAATATTGCATGAGCCTATTGCCCCAAAAGTATGCAACGCAAGGACCATCACTTGAAGACAAAGCTCATTATTTATTCATAGCATTCAGCACAGAAGTGTTTATGTGGCAGGGCCCTAACTCTGCCACAAATTGGCCAACAGCAAGGAGCAGATCCTGGAAAAAGGACAAGTGCCGGCCGCAACAAAAAGAAAAATATGCAAATTTAACATTTTTACCCGGCATAAAAAGAAACTTTTTGATTCAACCTCTAGTTTTTAGGTTTTGTGTGGGAAGGAAGCTCGCTCCTAAAAACGAAATTGTCAATATTGTAAACAGATTCTTTTCGACCGAAGCTGATTAGATTGGATTGGCAAGTGGAACTGGCACTGGCACAGGAGTTGCAAGTTCGAGGGCAAGTGGATGTCCTGTCTGCTCTCCTGCCCCTTATAATTGCTACTCTTGTTGCCGAATCCTTACGTGCTGGCCAAGTTTGTTCGTCCAGCCGGATTCGATTCGTTCGATTCGCATTCGAATGGCAACATTTTAAAGCTTATTTGTCTGGGCTGCACGTGCCACACTCCCCGGTTCCCTGGGAGACCGTGCAGCTCGGCCTTTGTGTAAATCGTTATTGAACACTCAAATCCTAATTGCACCCCTGGTGATCACTAGCAAAAGTGTGACTGTTTGTCCATGTTTGTGAACGGAAAATGGTCATCGAGTCGGTTCATTTGGGGAGCGCAATGAATGCTTTATATGGAAAATTGTAGTGCTGATTTGTTTTGTTCCCACAAAGGATTTGCCAAGTGATGAGTGTCGCTTTGGCAATGATTTTTAGTGCTAGGTTCAATTTTACAGTGTGCTCTCCATAATGCAGATTTGCCAAATCCGATTTGATTAAATTTGTCAGCTTTTCCGATATCCCCCCCTAAAAGTTGTGCAAACAAAACTTTCCGTATTAAAATGGGAAACCAGTCGAGGAAAATATCCATAGATAGACACAAGATTTTGTCCCTTTCGCCAGATGCTGTATACAAAGTAAACAATAGTTACATTGATTAGGGTCTAATTTTCGCTTAAAGTCCTGCATTGAAAAGGCTGCCGAGCAATTTGCATTTCTATGGACAGCTTCTAAAGGACTTTCATAAATACGGCCGTGTATGAGCAATATAAATTTGCTCGGCAGCTGTCGACTTGTATTGCCATGCATATATTAAATTTCCCGGACCTCTGTTTTTCTTTCCCATTTTAAAGTGTGGAAAAAAGAATCCCTTTTGGCTGGCCCTTATATACACAAACTTGATTTTGCGAAACCCTTGTAAACCTATGAAAAACAAAGTTGATAAAACAACATTAAACAGTATGAGGAAAACATGTCATATGTTTATTTATTTTTTGAGGCAACCGGCTTGGTAATTTGCTTGAATGGTAAAAGTTTCTGGGAAATACAAAGTATAAACAATGCATTAAATCGGAATGTGAATGGGAAATAGAATAATTTTAGAACTCGACTTTGATGGGAATAGAAGAATATCCTTTCTGGTAGACAAAACAGATTTAAATTTTCCCATTGTCACATATCCAAAAAAGGAGAAAATCCAATCCGCAATAAGCGGTTTTCCACAATATGCTACCAGCAGCCAATATCCCCAAGTAATCCGAAGAAAAACCATCGATCAGAACGGTACGGCTCTTAAAAAAAAAAAAAAAAACGAAACAAGGGCGACAAAAACAGAGCAAAGGAAATGAGTACAAAGAAAAGGAAAATATAATCGACCAAGCGAAAAAATGGCCCGCAATAATAAATGATAATTGATAATAACATTTTGCTACCTTCCTTCCGCCGAAATTGAAATCGAATAAAATAAGTAGATGTGCGGGGAAATCAATAAAGGCGATGGCGAAAACATTTGGCCACAATTTCAATTCCGTGGCATTGCAGGAACTGGGGAACATTTCGACAATTTCCGCTACCGTCGGGCAGCGCAAAAAAAAAAAGTGGAAAAAAAGTGAAAATTTTCATTTCGCAACTGTTTCTTCAGTTTGGAATTTGCCATTTCTTAGACACCTCCGGAATTTCTATGCGACTGCACACCGCGGCGACAAAGTTGGACGAAATGTCATCATTTCCGTTGGGAAAACTGTGCGCGCTCAACCGTCAACGTGAAGGAAAATTGAAGGGGAAAACCGCCGACGCCGTCGCTTAGTTTTTCCCCGGAAAAACGATGACGGTGACGACTTGTGACTGGTTACGGGCTGGAAAAAAAAAGGTTAACTAAGAAAGCCATGCAAATGCCCATTTTATTTTCCCACAAACTTTGGGCTGGCGAAGAAAAAATACGAAATACCCGGAATCAAAGAACTCTTCACTGGTCCCAGCCAATCCCTCTTACGGCCCTTAAACGAAGCGTAAAATTGTTAAATGAGTGCGAAAGTCTACGGCGAAAAAGGACCTCTTCTTATTCTAGGGATCCCAACTTTCGTCCTTTGACCATTTCGCAGCCGCATAGTAAATTATTGATTAACCATGTTCGTCTGCTGCTAAGCTTATTCCAACTTTCCGTATTCGTAGCTCAAATTAAATTGGGCTTTTCCCCGCATAACTGAACTGAATTTCAATTGATTGGTTTACAAGGAGGAGCTGGATTACGAATTCGAGTGATTGGGCTTGCTCTACAGGGTCCTAAATTAACCATGGAGAGCTAGAGAAGTTCATCTCATGCCTAATGACTAATTACACTGTCTTGGAAACTTTGATACTATTCTGTTTGAAAATAATAGAGGTTTGCTTGATAAACATGTAGAACATTCGTTTATATTAATATTAAAGGGGAATATTGTATTGATTATTATTTTTTTACCTACAAAAATATTTACACTTTAGGAAAAATAAATCTCGTTTGGAATAAAAAAATATAATAGCTTCTAAATAATTATTAAAATCTTACATTTCTCCTTCTGTAATTAAGGATATAAACAACAGTTTTGACAAGTCAGCCAAAACATTGATTCTGCACAACGGAATTGTTAACTATCATTAAGGTAATTTGTTGTTTATACTCAATAAACTTATGGAAGAGACGACAAGTCATTTAGGTGTACACAATATAATTTCCTCAATCACATTTGGCATCCTTAGCAGTTGTCTTTGAATGGGAAGCTCAAAACTACCCAAAGACACAGATAGCAGTTATGTTGAACAAAATAGGGTGGTTATGCGCAATGAAAACCTCACTCAAATGATGATGTATCTAGGCCAGGAGAGACAAAGGAACTCCATTGATATTGATGAGGATGATAAAGTCCCTTGTGTAACAAAACAAGACAGTAACGTCACAATAAGTTATGTTGCCCAACCAACTCCGTTGTTCGCCAGCTAGTTTTCACCTGTTAAAGACAAAGTGCTCTTATATTTCTAAACTTTGTGGAATTGCATTTGGCAAGCAAAGCGTAAAGTAAAGAACGTTGCTAAATTGAATTTGTTTGCTTACCTGCGGTTTTTCAGCGGTGAAAGCAAAAGAAACCCAGTTTGCGGTTCTAATTGATGCCGCGAATACAAACAAACCTTCGGGCCCAGCTGCCCAAGCAGTCTATGTCGACTTTCAAAGCGAGTAAGTTATTTAATGTTTCCAAAAAAACCTAAAAAGTGAGTCATTTAAAAGTTCAAAGCAACCTGAATTTTAAGTAAGAAGCCCTCAAAGTTGTACCTTTCAATTAGCGTAAAATTTATTCTCAAGGACTTCATGTAAACGAATTGATATAATTGTTCATGTTTAGTGTACAGTGTCTACTTTAAATGTATTTTATAACTAAAAAACTTTTTACATTAAGTATAGCAAATAGGTTAAAACCTATTCAGATTTTTAAAGCTAGTAATTAATACGAGGTTGTTATGGCTGCTAAATGGGACACTCCCAAAATATAAATACAACACTTTTTCAACTACTAACTAATATCCGAAAATTAAAGTCAGTATTTACAGCTACTGTTTGGTTACTTCATCAGCTTTAAGAGTCTTTAAAAGTCCTTGTCCCAACCGCTCAATTCCTCCGGTGGTTCGTAGTCGTTTTCCACACCGGACGGACCGAAGTATTGCAAGTCCGTCCAACTCTTCAAAGGTCTTTTGATTGGCGATGGCAATTGCTTAAGTTTCAGTCGCTGCCAATCTAGACTTTCGAACCAACTGTGTCGTTTGATGTCGGCGATTCCTTTGCGCTGATATCCCAGCCTTTCCGCCGGAAGTTGCTTGCAAAGATGCCGCACCAAGTGCTGTGCCGACTTGGGTATCCTCGATGGCATGTGGATGACGTCGATGCCACTCAGGATTTGCTGGTAGATCTTGATCTGATTAACGCCCCTGAAGGGCGTCTTGCCAACCAGGAGTTCGTAGACGAGGATGCCCAGTGCCCAGTAGTCGACGGCTCGATCGTGTCCTCGATCCAGGATAATTTCGGGGGCCACATACTCAGGGGTTCCGGCAAACGTGTTGGTCTTCTCGTTGTGACGCACGAATTTCGCAAAACCAAAGTCAACCTGGTAATAAAAAATATATGAAATCTATTAGCAAACATGTTAGAAGTTCCACTTAAAACCTTAAGATGAAATTCAAGCTTCTATAATTTGTAGCATACTTTAAGACATTTGCAAAAGTGTTTTTAAATCTCAATTAATATCTGTGATTATTTTTCGGATCTGAAAAATGTTAATACTGATAACTAGAGCTCGGATAGTTATGCACGAAAAAAGGCCAAAATATGCATGCAAATATGCACGAAAAATTGGAAAATATGCTTAAGAATATGCATTTAAAAATACAAAAAGATATGAAAGAATCATGCAAAAAATAGTCAAAATATTTTGGAAAGGACGGTTCTTTATTTCAAAACTAAAGTTTTACACAGATCTACTGGGTTTGGTTTAAGATTCGATATTAACGATTGGCTTCCCTGATCGGCTTTTTCTTCCTTCTATCTTTGGCAGCTTTGTGCTTCAATTATGCAATATCCTGATTTACTTGGAATATTTTTTTTTCTTGAACTGCACATTCACAATACGTACAAAATGATGACCCATCAGACCGAAATACATACCTATGTATGTACTTTGGGAAATCCGGCTTTCATACGCAATATATGTAACTTTACCGCGCTTTTTTTTTCTAATCATTCCGACGAATTTGGAAACAACTGATAACTTTGAATGCCACGGACGAATGATAATTTAAGAATATAATAAAGCGTTTTTGTTATTAGTCATTGAGAGTACATTGATGAGTCAGTAATGCTCATTTGATGAAAATAAGCAACTTAAAAGTCAAATTACTTTCAATTCCACGCAATATTCTTATACACAACTCTCGCCCAATTTCACAATTTCATATAACCCCTGAGTAATAATAGAACACTGGTAATTCAAATTTTTTGTGAAATTTTTTTGACTCGAAATCATTGGAGAGCGATGTAATAAACAATATTTTTTGTTTTGTTATCCGGTGCAAAAATAAATAATGATGACGACTTTCCGACACGCGAACAGGCTACGTATAACTGTCCATGTGAAAAACATTCATATTCCAGATTTATCTCGCAGACTTCCAGACTTGGAATAATCGGAATTCTTGGGATAAGAACTTCCTCTCCTTTAAATTTACCCTTGATGATCGGAAATTCTGACTATTTATTAAATTGCGCGAACGCCGTCCAAGTCTTAATCGTCTAACAGCAGGCATTATTTCCAATTGTTTAAGCTCACTCGATTTTTTGTTTAAATATTTTTTTACCGACTTCATCGATACACAATATTAACGCAGCTATGATCTTTGTAGTGTGTTTTAGAATTTTACATAAAACATTGTGTACATCTGTTGAGCCGCTAGCGACTTTTCCAGAAAGTTTTCCCAAAATTTTCTTATGGTATAACCTTCTTCTGGCGAGCTCTAGTTATAAATGACTTAAGCACGCAAATAAACTTAAAAAACAAAAATATATTTATACCTTCTTAAATAAAAAAATATAAAAAAAGAGATTTAAAATCCACCAAATATATTTCCAATAACTCTTGCTAAAAAATATAGTGGTTCAAGACAGTGGGTTAAGATTTTTCTGAATATAGTCGACGACGTCCCATCGATCGATGATCCCGAGAAAATCTTCGAGATTGCCGACCGTGGCGTTCTGGGGGTCCCGCTGGCTCCAGCTGTCGAACACCAGACCCATGGGATCGTTGGCGTTCTCATCGACGAAGTCCTTCTGCTTGGCCAAGTTCCGGATGCCTCGCCAGTCCCGCTGGTAGCCATCCACGGATCGCAGCACCTTCTCGCGGTTCAGCATGCGGGAGAGCTGGATCCGGGTCTCAAGGCTCAGTTCGGATAACGGGGTGTCCTTGTAGTGTGCCGCCATCCCGATCCCCGATCGCTTCGTTTGGCGTAAGATTTTTAAATATTGTTTAAATATACACAGCACACACGCATACAATCGGTGGCACTCACACAGCTTCGCGCTAAGCACAGAAATAAATTTTATTCACTTTTTTTCGAGTGCGTCCGCTCCGGTTCGCTGTTTTGTTTCGACTGGCTTTCAGACGCAATATAGCTTTACCGCGCTTTTTTTTCTAATCATTCCGACGAATTTTGAAACAACTGATAACTTTGAATGCCACGGACGACTAATAATTTAAGAATATAATATAGCGTTTTTTTTTATTAGTCATTGAGAGTACATTGATGAGTCAGTAATGCTCATTTGATGAAAATAAACAACTTAAAAGTCAAATTACTTTCAATTCCACGCAATAATCTTATACACAATTAGATAGATTTGTTATTAAATGTATTCAGTTTTTTTTGTTGTTTTTCGTATCAGAATGATTTTCATATGTCACAGCTAAACTATTTAAAGTTTTGATGAATGAAATATTAAAATATGCTCGAACATGCACTTTCGATCAAAATATGCTTTATGTATGCTTTATGGCCATTTACATAACTATCCGAGCTCTACTGATAACAAGTCTCTTTAAGAATTTGTTTAACGATTTGAGCACCTAAAATAGCTCCTAGCCTGGCATTGGGAATTTATTTTATATGCTAGAAAATTGAGAACATTTTTAGTGAATATTTTTAGGAGGTTAAAACAATTTCTACTAATTAAAAGTTTTTATTTTCCAACTTTTAAAAGAGATTTCTTAAAATTATTGTTACTCCCCCTTATTGGATATGTTTCCCTTACCAATTTGCAATAGCCATCTGTGCCCAGCATCAGGTTCTCGGGCTTCAAGTCTCTGTAGATGAAGTTGTGCGAGTGCAAGTAGTCGAAGGCTTCGACGACACAGCCCGCTATAAATTTGGCGGTCTTCTCATCGAAGTACTGGCGCTTTGACATCACCGTCCATACATCACCGCCCATGCACGCCTCCATTAGGAAGTAAACGTATTTGTCATTGCGGTACGTGCGATAGAGTCTGAATTGAAACAGTATTTAAGCCTTCACGGAGCTAAGTGCTTGAGTTATGACTTACTGAACTATGAAGGGCGAATTGCGGCACTTAATCATTACGTTCTTCTCGTTGTAAACGTGCTCGATTTGATCTTGTTTCACCACCTCGATTTTCTTGATGATCTTTAGAGCCAAAGCCTGTTGCCCCAGGGCCACCAGATCCACGCGTCCAAAGGCTCCACATCCCAGAGTGGCTATCTTCTTCAGCTCCGAAATGGCCACTTGGGAGTATTCGTTGTCGAATTCCAGGGATTTGTTACTCGATCGACCACTCGAATCGCCGCGCTGACTGCTGGGCTTCTCCCGCAGCTGCTTGATGGTTCCCAAATAGCTTATGAAAGCTCTAATAAAAAAAAGATAAAAAAATAATAAACTAAATAAATCAAATTGGAAAATGGTAACCTAATAAGGCATTTTAAATATTTAACCAGCAAAATACTTGTTTTTGACTGTTAAAATAAAATGTAACCCAAGAAAAAAATGTAATATGGAAAGTTAATAAAATATTGATCAAAATATATAATTTCATATAGAATATTGTTACTCTACTATTCTGTTGAACTGACTTTTCCAAAAAATTAAAAAATTTCCTTTCTTTCTTTTACCCTAAACAACTATACATGGTATATCTTGTGTTTTTTTGTTTTATTTATTCTTTATGTTGGTTTCATGCACCTATACTTCTTATTGATAGCCAATTATTGATTGAGCGTTGACAAAGTGTCCTATTTGTTACTCACTCTCTGTCGAGCATGAGGACCTCGGTTCCCGGGGCGTCGGCATAAACACTGGCCTGTCGGACATCCGCGTTCAATAGGGCCTGCTCCCCGAAGTAGTCGCCCCGCTTCCTCTTGGCCACAATCTGCTCCTGCTTCTGCTCGTCCTGCTTCTTTATGGTCACCGTTCCGCACCGGATGATATAGAACTCGTTGCCCACCTCGCCTTCTCGCACAATACAGCTGTCGGTCTCGTAGAATTTCTGAAACACAATGAGTTGAGGCATCGATAAATCGGATGATGGATTCTTACCCTTTGCAGTAAATCCACGACTTTGTATAGCAGACTTTGGTCGAGTTCCTGTAAAAATGGTGCTGACCGCAGGAACTGAAGGTTCTCCTCGCGTTCTCGGGAGCCAGAGATTTGCATGATGGCCCTGAAGGTTTCGCGAGCGATTTTCCAAACGCGGGCATCCGTGGCAGCTAGACAAAAAGAAAATCATATTAAATGAGAATTTATTATAGTAGATTTTAATAGACCCTTAAACGAGTACAAGGCTGTTGTAATGGTTATAAAATTTTAAAAGGAATTTATCTATATTTGTAAAAACATTAATACAGAGTAGTTATTGATATTAAAGACTAACTAGTTGTTTGATTAGTCTTGAATACAAGTTACTCAAGCTAATTTTTGGTAAACTAAAAAGGCAAAATGTTATGGTTATTGATTTCGAAAAAAAGAGAAGAATTTCCTTAAAATGAAAATTCAATGAATTTAATAAGTTCCAGAAAGTAGTTTTAAATAAAAACAAAAATTCTCCACCCTTCTCAAAATATTTGTTTTTGAAGGGTATTAAATTTCCTTTATTAGCAGGCTGCTGCATTTACCATTCCACTTTATTTAAGAGTGGTTTACAAAATATTGAAATTTATTCAATTTATTTATGATATTTATTTATAAGTTATTTTCTTGGAATTTGAAGTAAAAGCGAGAGAACTTACCCTGTATCGTTGCCTGGCGCGGAGCATTGTAGAGGATGGCCAGTTCGCCGAAGACGGTGGCCGGTCCGAAGTTGGCCACCAACTGGCCGGCGCGGATGACATCGTAGTGGCCCTCGGCGGAGACGTAGATCTCGGAACCCTCCTCGTGCTCGTGGATGATGAGGCTGTGTTTCTTGTAGCTGGCCGGGGCCATTGCATTGATAACCATCTCCTTGCGCTCCTTGTCCATTAGATTATTGAGGAAATCATTGCGCTCAATGGCCGTTCGTATGAGATTGCGTGTGCTGCGAACCGGATTCATGGGGCAATAACCACGGATTGTTTGTTTTTCTCTAATTCAGCATTGGATGCCGTTTCACTTACGCTTCGTCCTTGGCAATAAATTCGATTTCAATGTCGCCCTGAATGGGCAAATTGGGACGGGCGAAGATGAGGCCACCTTCCACGCGATGGGTTTTCGGTGTCGAGGAATCGTTGGATTTCTGGCTATCGCTACTTTCCTCCGGCTTTGCTATTTGATCCTTGTAGTTTTCGTGTGAAATTGCCCAAAGAAAGAAAGGGAAATAGATACTTTTAATACAGTAGATAAGGAACCGGATTGGATTTCGTTTAAGGAAGATTTTTAATGGCTTTAAGCAAGATAAGACAGAGAGACAAAAAAAGCTTAGGCTTGTATATTTTTTTTAGTAAGATATTCTATAATCAGATATTCTATAATCTAAGAATGGTATTGAAGGTTTTGTTAACCTAATCGGTAGTTGGATTTTTTTGCAGAAACTTTTTATTAAATATTTTTAAAATGTAATACTTAAATATGAGCTTATGTTTTAAGTTACCAAAAAGAAGAGAAAACAATAAATATGTTTTCCCTTGACTTTTAAATACTTAAATATGAGCTTATATCTTAAGTTACCAAAAAGAAGAGAAAACACTAAATATGTTTTCCCTTGACTATTGTAAACTAGTTGTTATAAAGTCCAGCAACAAAAAGTCATTATAAGCATTTGTTGCGTTGACTGAAAGAATTGTAAGCACTTGTACCAAGAAATAACCTCTTGGACAGAAAAGCATATTGTGTCAAGAAACAGCACGGGAAATTGAACCTTAAGACGTTCATTCCTCCGAAGCAGCTAGAGATTCCGTTGTTGGAGGACCGATTAGCCACAGATTGCCAATGGAGCAGATCCAAGGGAGCAAAGGGAATAAGAAATGTTTCTGTTTGGGATAAAGTTTTCGTTCGTGTCTGTCGGCGAACAATTAACATCTAACTTGTTTCTACAAGTGAGTTGGGCGCACGGTTCAATTGCAATCTGTTCTGAGTTTCACTTTCCCCAATTTTGCCTTTGGGGCAATGGGAAGTGAGGAGGGTTGTGTGTCGACTGCCGCATAAAAGTTTCTTCAAATAGTAAATGGAGTGTAGCATCTCGACACACAGTTCCTGGGAATAAGTTTCGAGGTATTTAAATATACAGAAATGCTAACCCAGTCACTTGTTTTTTACTCACATAAGTTAAAAGTTGACCGTTGTGTATCATAAAACCAATTACGAACAACCAAATTGAAAAAAGTAATGGACTTTTGAAACTACTTTTATTTAAAGTATTGATAACTATTTTCAGTAACTATGAAAATAAAGGTATATAGGTAAAACTAAATAAAAAAGCTATACAAAATATATAAAAAATATGTTCTTCATTTCTTTTTAAATTATTATTTAATGCCCAATGCCTTATAAAAGTTTTCTATGGTACCATAAACCAGATATAGGTATATTTTAAATCATTTTATTTCATAGATATACACATTCGCAAGACTTTTAAAAACAATTTTTGGTTATTAAATGGTATAATTTTTTTTAGGGTTGAATATCGTTTTTGCCGTGTTGAAAGCATCGACAATAATCATTAGTAGGAAAATCTTTTTAGAAAATCTTTTCCGTTTAAAAATAAAAAAAGTATAACTTCTGAGCTACAACTGTGTATCTAAGTCCTTCCTGGTACTATGGAGCTGCCTTATCTATCGTTACAAATGACCCCCACTAGCTGTTAGAAAAAGTGTAGTTCCTGCAACCATTGACAACCTAGAGGCAGGTCGAAAAACCGCAGAACTCTGGTTAGTTGAGGGGAATCTCATTTGGCCAGCCACCTCATTACTTACTTGGCTGTTCGAAGCATCCTGCTGCTCCTGCTGCTCCTGCTGGTCCTGCTGTTTCCCCTGCTCCTGCTGTTTCGCCTGGTTGTCCTGCTGCTCCTGCTGCTCCTGCGGACGCTCCACGCTCCGCTTCTTGCGCAAGTGGAGCGGCGTTCCGGGGACGAGGAGTTCGGGCGGCAGCGGCGGTGCCGGCGGTATGTTAATATCGGGCATCGTGGACACACGTCGCCGCCGATGGTCGTCCGGATGGCTCTTGGCCAGATAATTGAGTGACACATTGCTGGAGCTCTTGGCGCGAAGGGGCGGAGCCAGCAGTAGTTTGGCCCTTGGATCCTTTTGCTCCTGCGGCAGGGTACCATTTGTCAGCTTGCTGTTACTGTTGTTACTGCTGTTACTGTTGTTGTTATTGTTGTTGTTGTTGGCATCGCTGCTCTGGCAGGACAAGGTGTCGTCCGCTTGCTGGGCGCTTAGTTCCTGCGTGTGACCAATGAAAAACTTTACAGGACCTTCGCTCACAGGTGTTGTGGAAATGGAGGCGGAGGCGGTGGTAGAGGGCGTGGCAACATCCTCATCGGCAACGCCCTCATCAATTATGCCATTCACATTCACTTTGAGTTTTGACTTGCCGCCATCGAGGACATCGGCATGTGCATTAGCACCACCCGGCTCCCCCACCCACAAGTCCTTCTCCCCCTTCTGCGAATTCTCCTCCTCCTCCTCTGCATCCTTGACATCCTGAATCTCGATGCTGGGCACCTCGGTGGGCAGAGCGGTGGGCCGTCGCTCTTTGACTGGTTTTAATTTTGAACTTGAGCGTGCGACATTAATTGCACTGCCGCCTGAAAGGGACGACTCCTGCAGCTTGTCCTTGTTGGAGCGAAACTTGCGCTCCTGCCCGCCATTGTTTGCGTTCGCCCTGCCATTCTCGACAACCGGCTGCAGTGGAGGGGAGCCGGGTGACGACTGATGCTGCGCTATTCCTCAGCCGTTGAAGTTTGGCCTAGGGCATCGAGTGGCGGCAACCAAGGACCAACCATGGAACCAGGACCAAGTACCCACCAAACATTTACGAAGACAAACACAGCGGTGCAAAAGTTTCGGTTGTGGTGTTCAGTGGACATTTGGAGGCGTTGTCGAGCAGCAGTGTATATAGTATATATATATTTACAAGTGTTTTGTGCCGATATTGTTTTGTGTACAGCGGAATCGTTTGAAAGTATAAGAAACATACAAGCATGTGTGCAAATATTAGTCGAGTTTCGCAAAGACAGTCGAACGAACAGGTGGAAGCGCGATCTGAAGTTGTGCAGCTAAGAGGTTTCTATTTCTGGTCTCTGGTTTCCAGTTGCCAGCTTTTGGGTTCTAAGTTGTGGGACTCTTGAGTACTCACCTCACTGGCACTTGGAGTCACGATGGGCGAGTACAGTGGCTTCTCCTCCCGACGGATGTACAGTCCGATTTGCTGAAAGACAAAGCGCAAACTTGCATTAAAATTAATTTACACACGAGTGTTTGCACTGCATACTAAGAAACACAAGCGAATATACTTGTCTTTCTTCTTTTGACATCTCCTTGATATCTTCTTGTTGAACACGTTTATAATTTGCTAAATTAAATATTTGCCATCAATAAAAATCTTACTATACCAACACCAGAAATAAGCCGCAAACCGTCAACAGAAGCCTTTTTTATACCACAATGATTACTTGTATTTACTTTGCATGATTTATTGCCTTATTCCACTGACACACACTTTTAAGCCAAGTGGCTTGTACGTCATTGTCTTAATCATTTTATTCAGAAAGATACATATTAAACTGACTTAAAGGAAAAGTTCACAATTGTGTTGCTTATTCGTATCAACATGCTTAAAAACGTGGCAGAAAAACTTTTTGTTTTCTTATAATATTTATATGGTTTCCAAAAACATTTCTGTGGGACTCCCAATAAGTGCAATTTTTTATTGAGATATTGTTATTACTTTGTAAAAGAAAATTTAAAATTGAAAAATATTTTCGAGTGCTTTTAGTCCTGCCCTTAAATGAACTATGTATTTAATTTGTTTTAATCTTTTATCAGTTTCCGTAAAAGCAATTCGATGCCGGACAACTCTTCCTACTTATTTTTTGACCACTTTGGGTATGTTTACAATGTCATTTTAAGCCTCCATTAGGCCGATAACAGCCAATTTCCATTGGCATTGTGTCCTTTAAACACGGGGCTTTGTGTGTCGCATTTTGCGCTCAGTACTCCTCGCATTTAAGTTGCCCCATTGGGTCCCTTTTTTGACCTTTCAGCATGGCAGCCAAGGATTCCTCGTTAAGTATTCCAGATTGATTGGCTTAAAATTGTGATGAGCGGCAAGCTTTAAAAAAATCTCCCAAATTTTCATAGTGGTGGAAATGGTTTGTTTACCAGAAAAAGAAAACTTGTGTGGCACCTGGCCTTCATGACTTGTAACCTCTTGAAAAGCGAAAAGTTTTGACACGGCGTGTGTCATGTGTCGTAAAAGTATTTTTGGGATTCGCTATTGTTGCGCAAGAATTGTTTAAAAATGACTTAGACAGTTATGACTTGAGCTTGTCACAAGTCGTAATAGAGTTTTAATTTATTCTAGTTTTTAGTTGTTTTCGATTTCAGTTGAGGCAATAACAATGTCCACCTTAAGTTGTAACCACTTTGGGTAGGTTCGTAAATACTGATTTTTATTTTAGCAACATCTTGAAACTTTTATTAGCTATGTTCATATGCATTTTCAGTTAAGTCATGTGAGAAGCGCTCGCATCTTATCTTTTCAATTGGCGTGGGGCCTAATGAAATATTCAAACCTGTTTGGGGGCCCAGTGCAAGCATAAATAAACACGTGTCAATTTGCGAGTCGCCTGGTTGACTTTGCTTTGATATGCTAATCGAGCTAAACGCCGATATTTTGACAGGTTTTCCGTTTTCCCACACGGAAGCCTTGAATTCTGCTTTTGGCCGATAAAGTCACCGATAACGTTGAAGCGCGCAGCCTTCAGGTGAAGTTTTCCCTATCTCATTTTTCTTTCCTTTTTTTTCTGCGGAGGAGGGAAAACTCTTGAGGTTTGGTACCCTCGAATTTCTTAGACTGCGTCCTTACACGTATTCCTCCCCCGAGGGCGTTTTTCCATTTCCAAGGGCTTTTTGCCAGTTATTTAGAATTACTGTGACGTGTAAGTTGTGCGTGCAATCACGTTCATATTGTCATCCTCCCGCGCGTCCTGGAAACATCATGTCCTCTCCTCCGAAGGAGAGACAGCTACAGATGTTTCTATAGATAGCCGAGCATCCGACGGATCCTGCATATTTATACGTCATTTGGAGCTCCGGCTGCAAGCTGTTCCACTCACACACACATTTTGTTTTTAGATTTATGCATGAGCCCCAACCCAGCGATTTCTGTTTCTTCCCACACCTATTTATATGCATGCTTATCATATTTTTGCATACCTAATGCCAACTCGTCGCCGAATGTTTGCTATTGATGAAAGCGCCAGGATTGCAGATAGTCAAGTGCCTAGCAGATTGAAGTATTTCGGCCAAGTAGTGAGTCCCTCTGACCCATTTGTCAAAGTATCCATAAAATACAAATGTATTTATGCAACGCAAAAAAGGTTCTACTTTCATTAATCAAAATCTTTGATATATATTTTCCAGGAAGCACTGGTCACTTTTTATGTTCGATAATAAAAAATCCCCAAATTATATACATTTTATTTGCTTAATGACCATTGCTCATTTACCATTGAATTTTCCCAAACAAAAGTTAATGGGAATTTGGGTATTGGCACTCGTATTTTTCCTCCGGTTTTGTGCTTTTGAGATAAGCCCATTAAAAGTGAACGTCATGAACAGAAAAAAAATGAAAGATAAGAAAAACTAGGTTTCGCTCCACAAACATTTTTACGTGATTCAATACCCTATATTCAGGAGCCACAAGGTCATTTCCGATCATAAATGCTGACAGCCAAATCAGCAGATAATAAAACACTAAATATAACCTCTGATTTAATTCTTCTAATCAGTAAGGAATCAAAGCGATATTAACAAATTTTCCGTGTAATGTTTGTACAAATTTATCCAGGCTGTTTTTCATTCAAACTTTCCTGATTCAAACTTTTCTTTTGACAAAGTCTCTACATTTATTTTTCTAGTAGTATAGAAACGAATTGGTCTTCAAAATACTTTGAAACTTGAAGTTTCCTAACTTAAAATTTACTTTAGAACTCTTAGGTTCCCAAAAGTTGTCTTAAATTATAGAACTTAAGTTGACTGTTTTTCTTAAGAACATTTTCTTGAAAATGAAGAAAGTTATGTTGTTTTATGTTATTAATATCGTATTTACAAATTTCAAAAAATGTCCATAAAGAACTAAATGTGTTTTGGGTATTTTGAAGTCGAAACTCCCCATATTTGTTTACTGTTTCGCTTCGCGTTATTTATGTTTTTTCCTCGCCTCCCCGATTAACTTAATTAAGCACTTGATGAACTTATCTGCGGACTTATCGGATTCGGACAAGTGCAGTACTGAAGCGTGATCTGTGGCACGCGGAACTCACCACGGGACTATCTTGTGTGTTGAGTATCGTATCGGTGTTCTCATCTTCGGCGGGGGTGAATTTGTTTTTGCTGCGGTGGTGGAAGAGTCGGGGGAAGCAGGCCATAATGCTGTTTACTCCCGCTAATGTAACTGTTATCCGGCTGTGATTTTTTGCGACTTCGGTCACTCTTTTATGGGTTGCTCGCTGTTTTCGCACACTTTTTATCTCAAATCGTTTGCTTTGTTCGCTCGTGGGTTAAACATTTTGATTACCCCGGCCATATTCTCTGATTTATGGTCAAGGATTTAATTGCGGCTATAAATTCGTGCTGTTCGGTTGCAATTGTCGCGGATTATGTATGCTTCAATTTCGATTGGGCGCCAATTCGATTTACTTCGCACACGACACACTTATTGGCTTTAAACTGATTAGTTGTTGACTATTTAGTTGTTTATCGGTATCTTAGTTATTCAGGAATATCTTATCGCATTGGTTTAGTTTTTTTAAGCCAAAGGTTTTCTTTTTGACACTTTAAGATAACGATTTAATGCACTTGATGAATTTAAAAATGTATTTATCATTTTTGATTTCGATTTGGATAAGTTGTTTAAATTATATGATGCGCAAGGAAACTGAAACATATTATTAAATTTGTTGTTGTTTGTATTGTATAATTTTGTTTAATATTGATTGCCTAACGGTTTTGTAAAGTCCAAAGTTTTTAGTGTGCAAAGAAAACCACTAAAGTCAGTATCTTAGGAGCTTTAACAGCAAAACTAGAAGTACGCACTCAAAAGGCAACGGGCCAGATATTCAGCAAGCCATCAGCTTTCAGTTGGCCATCAAAAACAAAGGATTTCGGAGGGCTCCACTAAATTCTGGGTTGACCACATCGGTTTATCAACTGTCCCAGAAAGCGGGAGCAGCAGCATTTGCTTTGCATCTGATAAATTTGTTTGTGGAACAAAAGTTTCAAAGTTCAAAAATTATGCGCATCGTCAAGTTGGCTGCTTTAATTACCGCTCGGAGCGAATTGTGCTACCAATTTCTCCGGTTTTTGTTTCTATCCGCCACTTGGTCATTGCGATGAGTCAGTATGCTTGCTGGCTTTTATCATTTTGTGGCTCTTATCGCCTCAGAAATGCCTAATTGTTTTCTATTTATGCGGGGGATTTCATTGTTTGGCCGAAAGCTCTAAAGCAAATGCCTTCAACGAAAGGCGAAACAATACTGGGGGTGCATTACGACAATTCCGGTGGAATTATCAGAGCCCCATTGCTTCGAGTATTAACAAATTTACTGGCCTCAAAAATCACAAGCCCACATACTCGTACATGGCCAAGTGTTTTATCAGCAAAGAATTGTATTGTATTTCCTTATACGATTTGTTCGATAACGACAACGAAACACCGATGTGCATTTCACATTGGAAAATAAAGAGCTGCCCGTCCGCTTGTTTTTATGGCCATTTGTGTTTTGCTTTCTCTGTTGCCATGATTTGCTTTGGCAAAATGAAAAAAAAAAACGAAGTACAAGCTGAAAACACTGGCAAAAGTAATGGCAACAGCTACATCAACAATAACGATGAGAGAAAGGCCGAAGTGATTCGACGGAGCCGCCAGTCACGAGTCACTCATTTATATTAATTTATTGACATTTCGTTTGCAGTTATCAGCACACTTTTCTGCTTCTTTATTTGTTGTTTTCACTGTTCTTCAACGTTGCCTTTTCATTGCATTTCATAATGAAGTTGCTGCCTGATTTGGCCAAGTAATTGTTTTTGGGTTCTGATTTGGTTTATAGCATAAACTCGCTTTATTGCTCTATCGATGACTTTTCGTTCAAGGCGCTTCGATAAGGGTTTATGGCAAAGGTAAAGTTCACGTATGTAGTTTTACAATCCGATTGGGAAATTATGTTACCAAAAAAAAAAATTGTGGTTAAATTTTAAACTATTTTTTAAGGACTGACGCACAGGCCTTTTTTTTATACACTAAAACACTCGAATGTTTCCGCGAAGTTGTCAGCCATATCTTTCGATTAGATATCAATATCAAGAACTTCAAGATGATTGATATATTTGTTGACTTTCAATTTGTCAAATTGAATGGAAATGATATTCAGAATTTTTCCTCCACGCAGTGGTGTATTTTCTGCAAAACACTTTCTATTCACCAAAAGAACTTAAACTTTGAAAGTTGGTTTTCGCTTTTCAACAAACCACTTGAGTGGTACACGCAAATGAAGCATGTCACCGCCGAATTATTGAACCAAATGACCACGAATTAATCGGGTTTTCACTTCCGAAAAAACAGAACTCCAAACGGATCATTTTACACTTTCGCACGTAACAATTTCCGCTCCACGAGGGCCATTAATTCGAGGCTGATTCACTTGAAATCGGTTCACGGAGCCAAGGCTTTCCGATGCCACTACTATTGATGGGTATGGGTATATTGCCACCCGATCCGCTGAACCTTCCGCACACCTGCCGCCGTGGAGGCTGATAACTCGACTAATTTAACGCGGCCAATTTAAATTGGCAATTTGCTCGACGCTCTTACGTCGACTGCGAAGTCGACGGCGACTGAGAAATGCGACTGCGACTGCGACGGGCGACTAGCTTTATGTTTATCGGTATCAGCTGAAGTGCCCGACTAGCGGCCTTATCTATCGAGAAGTGTTGGGCCTGCCAGGCGTCACTGTTAACGCGAGACGTTCTTTTGGCCCCAAACACACATGGAAGTCGCCCCCGTCGAAAAGGGGGCTAAAAACACCCAGCTGGAATTGGAATAAACAAATACCAGAGCGCTTATCTTAAGTAAACACCATCTGCCTTATAGAGAAAGTCAAACAAGGCTATTTATTTATTTTTGGGCTGGCAATATAGTGTTTGCACAGAATCGGAAATGGCAAATTTACAAATATTTAATATTGGCTGTTCCCAAAATATTCATCTTTATTCTGGTAGCTCTTTAATTTGGGTTTTGTAACAGATAAGAAAAGGTAAACATTGCTCAATTTTTGGGTGGTATTTACTTAAGGTTCTTCAGGTTAAATATACAGGTTGTTCTTATGATATTGAGCTTTTAAATTGGTTCTTAAAATCTTGTACAATCAAATTTAAGCAATTACGCATTCAGCAATAATTTATTCAGTATTTTTTTAACAGAAACATTTATTATTTAATTACAAATTGCAACTTTCAAGTTGAATTATGGATACATTTTGATCAGTAATAATTTGGTTACAAATGTAATACCCTTGTCAGTCTAAAACTTTTTATAGGAGTTACTTAAGATACTTTCCTAATTTTTTTTTATTTAATATGTAAATCAAATGTGTTGACAAATGGCGAGACCTGGCGTCACAAATTGGAATTCTCCGGGCGTTCAAGATAGACGAAAAGTTTGCCACTGGAGGCGTTGGAGTTTTTATTCATTATGCCCTAAATGCGTAACTAAAGCAATTTCAAAGTAGAACTCATTTTCACTCTCGACTTGGTTCTTCCTCCTCTTCTTCAGCCCCCTTCTATAGAAACCCCCCCTAACCCCCTTTCCTACGTGCTCATATGCCTAAAAGTATGCACGTATCTGGCGACATTGTCGTTTGATTAAACTTGTTAACACACATTCTCGGAAGGACTTTTTCCGCCAGGAACCCGCGAAAGCAGCCGGATGCCAAAGTTTGTCAGCTTTAAACTCAGCGGTGGGAAAACTCATTTGGTCCAAGGAAGCCAACGAGAACGAAGGCTTTGGCATAAATTGCAAAATATATACGAGTATAATATCTACATATATGTATATCTGACTCTCTGACTGGGTATTTCCTGGCCGGGCCGGAAGTTCTATTGCATAATCTTATTAACCACACATCCCAACTCAGCCGGCACTCTATGGATGCTGAATAATTTATGCATCCAATTCCCAGGCAGCGGCAGTTGGCCAGAATTGTTGACAACTCGCCTGGCAATCCGTATTTTGATTTGGTTTGCCAAGTTTTTACTGATCCGATTAGCCCATACTAATTACCACCGGCTGTGTTTGCATTACTTTGCCACATGTATTTGAATTTGATTAGATTTGATTGCATTTCTCTTGCTTTCTGGCCGAGTGGCTAGACCACTGGCAAATATATTTATTAACCCGTCGAAAGTCGGATTGGATCTGGCAGAACCCAAAAAAAAAAAAAAAAAAAGTGTGAGGCAGTCGAAATATGGGAAAACAATTTGGGGGCTGTAAAGAAAAACGGGTCGGGTGTTTTTTGTGTGTGCTCTTCTGGTTTTTGTTTTATGACCCAGCGACACCCGTGAAGGCAATGATTGATGCGCTCCTCGAGCTCCTTCGCGTTTTAGTGGATCTCCAAATTGCTTTTTTCACGCTGACAGTCGACGGCCGAGCAAACGTGGAAAGCCAGCGGCAGTTATTCAAATGCAAACGACAGCTGTCAAAATGGTTTTAACTAAAAATTCGACTTTATCTTTCCCTTTTTTTCTATTTCTGCTTGCAGCCTGTGCGAACACCAAACGAAAAAAAATGGGCCGAATGTCAATGAGTGACTGGGCCGTGGCAGCCGCCAGGATCCCGCCAATTCACGTCCTCGCCGAATGATAAGCTGCCTGCGGGCTAAAAAAAAACAAAAATATCCAGAAAATAGATAAACTAGGAATCCTTACGAGCGGGTGCAAGTGCAAAAGGCGAGTCAATGACCCTCGTCCGGCTATCAACGATCGTATGGCTGCTGATGCTCCTGCCGGCGGTCCTGCCACGCCCACAAAAGGATGCCGACCAGAAGTTCTCGCTGCCCGCCGTACCGCTTCCCCCGCCGCCGCCCTTCACCCCCGGCAAGAATCACTTTGCGCTGAACGCCTTCGCCGGAGATCATTCGTCCGGTGGCCATGGCTCCTCCGCCTCCTCCTCCGCTGGAAATCCGGAATGCGGTGGGGTGCTGAAATCCCGTCACGGAATCATCCAGACTCCGAACTTTCCGCACAGATTTGCCACGCCCATGGAATGTGTCTGGATCATCGACGCCTCCGATCTGCCAAAGGCCCAGGGGCAGGGAAACGTGTCCATCGTTGTGTACTTGACCCAACTCTACGTGCTCAGTGGACTGAAGTTCACGGAGTACATGTACTACTCGGATGACTTCAAGGTTCCCGCCCACCGGGTGTTCTCCCTCACGGAGGACGATGTCACCCAGGTCACGTGGGTGCAGTTCCACAGCCAGTATCTGGAGATCCGGTTCACCATGGCCACGCTGGATGGCACGCATCTGAGAGCTCTGGATCGCCTGCTGGACGTCTACGGGTTCAACATCACCTACGAGGTGCAGAACGAGGTGAAGTCATCGCAGTGCAACACGCTGCAGTGCCGATTCCTCGGAGATTGCTTCGCCAGTTCCGACTTCAGGTGAGTCTACAAAAATAAATATAAATACGAATTCAATATCTGATATTGCATGAAAAACATATTTTCATCTTCCTATTTTCAGCAGTTAGAAAAAAATTGAACAGAAAAGTTAATCAATTTTTGAAGTTCAAGCTGGAAATTTAGAGCACTAACCTAAAATAAAAAAATAAAGTTGCTTTCAAACAAAAATGTAGCTCTGAGAATCTATAAAAGCAAAAATAAGTTATTCGTGTAACCTACATGGCGAATGAGTAACATTTTTTATACGAGGCGGATGAGTAATATTTGTTTAATACTCATCCGCCATGGTTGCTTATATAAATTCTCAATTTAATGAAAACTGTTTTCTTTTTATTTTGTTATTCAAATTAAATTCAAATATGACATTTTTTTAATCTTTAAATATATCTTAGAATTTAAATACTGTTAAATTTTGTTTTCAGATATAAAAGTCTTTAATTTTTGAGTGTAAAAGTTCAAGTGAAAAAGTTTTCTATTTGTTTGGTTTGATTAAATTAAAAACATTTAAAACAATGCCCACATGTTCCACCAAATTAGTACGAACACACCTGTATAGTTCCGCTTTAAACTAACAACAGGGCAGTTAATAAAACAATGAGAAAGGGAAACATTTCGGACGCTGGGAAATATGTATGTGCAGCACTCGAGCATTCTGGCAGTCTGCAAGCTGGTTCCCCGTGGACACGAGCACCTGCGTCCGGAACATGTAGAATATTTAAGCGCCGGCAAAACTTTTACGGCTCTCATCGACCTTCCACCGCCCGGACATTCAAAAATACGGCGCTGGGAAAGTGGAAAAGTGAGAACTGTGGAAAACCAGAACCCAGATTCAACTGCGTTTCGAGTTCAGTTTCCTTTCTGTTCAAACAAATCGCAAACGCGAAATCAGCGGCAGGCGAACCTTTGAAATTGTTAACTGCTCGCACATCAATCTTTCGCCCCTTTGCATTTGGTTTGGCTTTTCGGTTGGGTTTTTTTTTTTGGCTCGGGATCGGTTCAAGGCTCTCCACCTAAACCAAGTGGGAGCCATACATTTGTAATGTTTCAATAAGTGGAGCCCGTAACAAGAGAAACCCGTCCGGATTTTCACCCCACTCCCGATTTACTGGCGGAAAAAAAAAAAACACGAGGAAAACCTGAAGTGAAGCCGGGGAAAACAATGGACGGCGAACCCATGTCAGTGAAGGGAAAGTTACAAAACGTATGCACACACGTATGCCAAAAGTCAAAAGAAAAGCTGGAGCTGAGGAGCGCCTGATGCATTTTCCCTGACAAAATCCAGCTAGTGGGTTTTATGAATAAGCTCGGCAATTGAGTTTGACGTGCTCGACGGCGAGAGTTTTGTGGCACAATGCCTTGACAAGTCGTGGAAGGGCTTTTCGGGGCACTTGATTAATTGAAGAGCTCCTCGATGCAGCGCACAATCCAGGGATTCCGCCTTTCACTTTCCCACACTCTCGCGAGTTCTCGAGCGGTAGAGTCGCAAATGAAATTATATTTTCAATTGCTAGGCAATTATAAAGTCTAATGTCAATAAATAGTCCATTTGATGGCAATTAACATGTAAATAGCACGTCGGACGATGCCCCCAGAGGACGTTAAACAAATCAAATTAATTGTGCGATTTGTTGGCTGAACAAAGCGGAGAGGCTCCTTTTGCTCTATGTATTCATGGGCCCTCCGAATGATTTCGGGGAAAAACTTCTGGACGAAGTTTGTGAAGAAGCTGCAACACCCTCGCCTACTTAACATAATTATAATTAATTGCCTCGCTCAAGGCCGCGCATCCGTCCGGCTAATTGAATATTAATATCAATGTCGAAGTGCGAGTGAAATGCCCAGCCGGGCGGGCCAAAAATTAATATAAAAGTGACAGCTGAACTAAGTTGCATCTGCCCGGTAGCGTGTTGTCTTTGGCCCCTCGCAATTTTCGAGGGAATATATAATTTCGCGCCTGCCACGTAGCATACCGTAACTTAATTACCAACTAAAGGCAAATGGGGGAAAGGTCCCGTCCTCTACGTGCCTCAGATAAGGCCGTTCCGCCATAATTTCCCACCCCCGAATAACCTCCAAATATCTCTCAGTGCACGATGAAGCGAAATGGAGGAAATTCGGAGGGGGAAAAAGGGGGAAATGCTGTCAAGTGACTTGTGTCAGGAGCAAAGGCATCACAGCTGCTGCAAACTCGTATAAACAACAAAACAGTCATGCTCATGTTGTCAACTCCCCGCCACAAGGATCGTGTGTGTGTATGTGTGTGTGTGTGTGTGTCAGGATGAGGGGGATAAGCTTCTCCAATCCCAATCCCTAAACCCAAACCCAAACCCACCAGCTTAGTCCTTTCACTCTTTGGTCCTTTCAGGCAGCTCAATCTCGCATTGCATCCCCGTTTACGGCACTCGTTTCCAGCAGCTCCTTTGTTGAGTTAATGTGCGAAAAATGCATGGCATCGGTGAATGCTAAATAGATGATAAAGGCGCCGCGAGCAGCTCGTCCCGAATCTTTATGTGTCACCCAGAGTGCGTGTTCTCAGTGCTCCCCCGTTTATTAATTTTCTCTTTTTTTTTTTTGTTTGTTAGCTGCCACTGTTTTACGCGTTGAGTGTCATCTCGTTGAATTTGCATGTGTACTTTATGAACAGTGGAGGTTAGAATTATAGGAGAGTGGTTTAGAAAATGTTAATCAGGGTATTATAACAAAAAGCCGCTACTTTTAAGCCTGCAAGTCGTAAAACTTTCAGCCACCATTCATCGACATTTGACAACCAAGTTTTTGATTAAAATATGCATTTTTTGGCATACAGCATTTTTGGACAGAGAATTTACCCTTTAAAAAATAGTTTATTATGCTTCATAGCAAACTTAGTAGTTTTATATTATAGTATAGCAGGGAAACACTTATTAAGTTGAAAGATAAAAAATGACTGCCATAATAATCACTTTAATATTGTTGAAAAAAATGGAAATTGCAAATATATTTATAAAATAGTCAATAAGGTAAAGAATCTAACAAGCAAATATACATTTTTTTCAAAGTTCCTTTTTCTTAAATAAAGTAAAAAAATATTGTTACTATAATTTTGACCATAGCTGTTTTTAATATGTGCCAGCATTTTTAATAAGCACCTTCTAGCGCAAAAAGTAAAAGTGTCAAGTGCCACGCAGCTTAAAGCTAATGAAATGCTGAAAAATGAAAATCCAGCTGAAACGAAACAGACTAATTGTTTTTGCCTAATTTAATCAGAGAAATGTATTTCATTTAATTTAGTGGCTTGCTTTTCTTGATGCCATCGGACTGTTCAAGAATTTCCGCAAAAGTTCCACGAAGCTCATTAATGGTGGCGACCACTAACCCCATTTGATTGCCAATAAACTTTGTGTAAAATATTCAAAATGCTGTTGAGCTGCGAACTGCTGGCAGAAACTTTAGAAAAGCGATTCCAAGTTGCCTCCAAGAGCTAGGGAGCAGAAACAATAAGCCATAAACAATTGGCCAACGGCCAGGAAGGAGTTGCTGTCCCAGCCAAAAGCTGTTCGTTGTTGGTCGTTGGTTTCCATTGCGAAGCTTCCCTTCTTTTTAGTTCTGCATTTATTTCGACTGACTGAATGCGTTTCTGTTTGCATTTTTATGCATTTATTTGGGACTCTGGCGCACACGTTCATCAATTTGCCACTGGCCAGTGAAAATCTGTCGCACTTCACCGCAAAACTCAGCAGAGCAGTAACCAATTTATATTTTTAAATACTTTTCCGTTTTTAAGCCATTTCGGTCTGGGCCCTTACTTTTGTTTTCCTTTCCTTTTTCGTACGGTTTTCGGGGGCTTCTCTATATTTTCATTAACAGACGCTTAATTGAAAAACTTTTTCGCTTTGAGAAGCGTCGTCAGAAGGCCCAGGCCACTCTTTATTGAACCGATTCAGTAATTTAATCTATTTTCCCTTCAAGTTGGCAACAGAGTAGAAAAGTGGCAAAATGTATTCACAGTTGATGAGCAAAATGGAAAAAAAGGCTCCTTCCGTTCACATTACGCATATATTTCAAACTTGTTAGCTAAGTCTGCCGCCAGAAGTTCACTCTAAACACAACATTGTGTATTTGAGTGCCCGAAAATGTAAAAGAGGCTGTAAAACCCAATCCCAACCCACCGATTGGCAACCTTTTTGTGCCAGCATCGGTAAACAAGCAGAAGAAGCTGCACCAACGGCAATGACATCGGTTCCGAATTAGGCCACATTCAACCAGCAAGTTGTTTTTGTCTCAAAATAGGGTTGGTTTGGCTCCAGTGACGGATTCATCAGGGTTAGAGGGGTTACTTTTCAAATTAAACTACACGAAAGTTTAACGAACAACATTAAAAGTTTACTTTTTTACTACTAATGAAGATGTAGATGTTTCTTAAAAGAAAAAATGTAAAATACAGATGTAAATACATGTAAAATACATTTTTTAAGAAATATATTTGATATCAACTGGTTCCTTTGATTTATTGCTCTAGTTTGTATTTGTATAGGTATATTTAATTTAAAAATTGTTTTGTTTTACCTATAGCTGTAATAAAAAAAAAAAACAATATTAATAATTTCATATTTAAGGGTTTTAATATTTTATAAAAGTTGTTCTTAATTCCATGCAATTATATTTGAACTGTTATGACGGGAAGAAGCTGGAGAAAACTGAAAATAAATGACATTTTTAAAAGTTGCAAAGGCAATTACAATATTTTCCAAAGGCCCCTCCCACGAATCCTGGATCCGCTCCTTGAACAGTGAATGGAGATGGGTGAATATGAACCTGCTCGCCAATGAATATGCGTGGCCAATGGCTGTGGATCTGCGTCCGTTTCAGCTTTAATAACAAAAAGCGGAGCTGGTGCTGAGCAAACAGAATGTCAGCACCAAATGAGATCAGGCTGTGGGTGTTGGGTGGGTTGTGGGTGGGTGGTTTATGGGCCGGAATAAAGGACCAAAGGGACAGGGACATGGCAGCTGGCGGCTGGTCGGAGGTGCATCCTTGTGGCCAATGCACATGCCAATGGGCTTGCCACATGGCAACTGTGTCAGTGTCATTCCGATTCGCCTGCGTGCACCTCGTGCATTGTTTGCCATGTCAAACATTGTCATTTATCCAAAGTCGACGACCGGGGAAGTCCCAGGGAAACAGTTGGGTCACATCGGAGGCCAGAGAATGGAGAGTGGAGTCCGAGCTTTGCATATTGCAATTAAGTTTTGTTTGGCCCCCTGAAAATTCGCACACCGGATCCCCGGCATGTGCCGCTCAATTAAAACTTTTTGGACCCAATATTGTGGCGAATCGGTGCTTTTAATTTTCCTGTCTTGCAATGACGTTGAGGCACCTTCGCCGCAAATTGGGCTCTTCGCTCCAACGAGAGAGGTTATTACTTATTTTAAAAGTTGGCAAAACAGAAGAGAACAGGAGAGTAGGTCGAGGCCGAAAAATATGTATTAAGAACTTTTGGTCTGGAAAAAGTGGACAACTACGGAATTCTTAAATGCAAAGTTTTTTTTAAGGTAATATTACCATAACTACTTACTGCAATTAAATCAGAAATGAAAAGGTCCCCAGATATGCAAAAACATTATGATTATAAATGGGGCACCCAACTCGAACTAAATAAGTTAACGCAGCAGAAATAAAAATGATTTTAACGCTTGAAAACAAAACCATTAAAATGCAAATAGAATAACGCATACATGTATATTTTTCATATTAAACATCCTTTGTGTTTTACGACTGCGAGGCGGTAAAATGTCGGCCGCAAAACCATTTCAAAATCCCAACTCTTGCCGCCCGCGCAGTCAGTCACCTTTTCACATGCGAGTACGACCATCAAATTAAATTTTATTGCATTAGGCGAATGGGTGAAAAAGTAATTGCCAACATTTCAGCCTTTTCTTTCCATTTTTCCTTCCCCTTTCCTTTTTTTCCCCACTTTTTGCCACCGCTACTTTCCGTTTTTACGGCTACACGTGCCACCGGCAAGAAAAAAGCAATTTGTTGTAATTTCATTGCGTTTTCATCGCACGCTGCCCATCATTTAAAGTGGAATTAAATGTGGGAGCAGAAATTCATCAGGCTTTGATTCGATTGCTCGATGTTTTAATTATTGATTCTTTCCAACGAAAGCAATTAATTTTACAGAAATCGTAAGGAGTCGGCAAGAAAATACTTTCAGCACATTTCATATGATTTTCTTCTCCTTTGAATCGAGAGAATCATATCAAGTTTTTCCACTTGTACATAGTCGAAGTTTTTGCTGGCGCATTACGCGATGTGAATGTCTGAATGTCCGTTCGTCCTAGTCGCTCCTTCATATTTTCCCAAGCACTTTGGCTTTTTGTCAAAATTCTGGCAAAAGTCCCGGCCAGAATCGCGCAACTAAGTAACAATTCTGGCGACTCGCATGACATATTCATGGCAGCCATATGTGTATTTTGGGGCATTTGAGGCAAGTCGCTATTCGCCATTCGCATTCGCATTTCGCATTCGCCTATCGTCATTTCGCATTTCGCAAATGCAGTCAAGCATTTCCCCAATTTTTGTCAGCACTTTTTGAGTGCAGTCGCATAAAGTTGCTGCAGATTTTTGGCAAGCGATTTTAATTGTTCGGCTTTCCGAGATCTGAATGAATTTAAAATGCGCAAAATTGGATTGCCAAGAGCGGTCAAAACAATGCCTTTGCCCCCGGAGAATCGTACAAAATCTATCTGCTGGCCATCAGCGAATCGCAACACATGCCGTATGCGCAGCACATATAATTTTTATTTAAAACAAAGGGCCGGCAGCACCAGGCACAAATAAAGCCAAAATAAAACCCGCTGTGCCAAATACTTTTTTGTGTACCCAGAAAAAAAAAAAAAAAAAAAAAAAAAAAAACAAAAACTTTCGAAGTGCACATGTCGCAAAATACACAGAATTATGCAAAATAAAAAAAGCGACGGCCAAAAACCTGCAAACACACGGCCAAAAAGCAGCTGCAGGTGATTTTCGACGATTCGTAAAAAATGCAAAGCCCGTTTCATTGAAATGAAGAAGGTTTAGTGCCAGAGCTCCTGTGAAAATGTCCTGCCTCTTTTTTTTCGGACTGGTTTATCCTTACGAATAGCTGTCGATATGGAAACTTTAAGGCCGCATAAGAAGTTAAAGGTTTAACAGGATTGGGGCAAACAATTCGTAATAATGTTGACGTTAAAATGTGTGTTAATTTTACAGAATTATTTCCTCTTACATATTCATTAATTATTTACAAATATAAATCTATTATAGATCTTTTGTTGCACAAAATAATTTTATCATTGCTTTATTTTTAGCCATCTTGAGGTTTTCCTTGCCAACTAAATTTCGCACTAATTTAATTAATTAAAGTTGCGCATGCCCTATATTAAATTCCATAAAATAAGATACGCACATGTGGTTGTCCTAGAAAAACGCTTCCGTCACAGAAGGCGAAACAAGGAGCTGTGGCGATAAGTGGGAGCCAGGACTTGTAGGCATCGCAGATGTCAGGACACAGGGCAATTAATTTCCGCTACACAAAGGCAGGCCGACAAGACCACAAAATTCTTATGTAACAAGGCAGTGGGTCAGTGCTTAAGTCGAACAAAGGGGCGGCTTTCCTAGATCCAAGCAAACTCGAACATATATATCCATGTTCGAATGATAAACTGCTTTATCTTCCCAAAATATATAGTGGTCAAAACATGGGAACGGAATGTACAAAACAACAAACACTTGAGCAAGGACGTTCGAGGAATTTTGTCTGAAGTATGAGCTATATATAATATTTAGCATAATTGCGGCCGCCAATTCAACTTTTCTACAGCGACCACTCCAAAAGTGATTCTTTGCTTTGGCAAGTGAGCACAAGAAATTCGAATAAAAGTAAAAGTTTTATGGGCATCAAAAGTTTTTTGTCACTTTTGTTTTGTCCCTTTCCCGAGGGAAGATTTCATTATTCTTCGACTAAGCGGCTTGGAACTTTTTTCTTTTTGATTGTAACATACCCAGACTGATTTGAGTTTGATGATAATATCGGAGAAGTCGGAGAAGGGAAACTGCAGATGTTACTAATAGGTCAATTATAATTGTTTTTTCATCGAAAATCCATTAGGCTTAAGAATTCGAGAAGTGTCAGCCAAAAGAGGTGGAATTTTTCTCACTCTTTTCTCTGAGATTTTCACGCTTTCAAGTTGGAGTGCTCAACCTTTTTTGTATTTTTTCTTTGGAAAATAAAAGGACGAATGGAAAATTAATTCCGGTTGGCGTGTGTCAACAACGCATGACTTACGAACAACTGGGGAGAGCATAACAATTGTTCCTTCAGCTGAAAAACGAGCGACAGGAGCGAAACAAATGGCAAGGAAGCCCAATTACTTTGAACAAATGGTTACACGCTTTTTTTGTCATCGCGTTTAGCCAGAAAAAAAAAATTGGTCAACTGGGTAGCCCAATTAAATTGTCAAAAATGCTGTGAGCGTAAATTACGCCCCGAGATTTTAAATGTCTTTAATTTTCCTGCGCAAATGACACTTACAATGGATTTGAGAAAAGGGTGCTATGAAAAATGTTTTAATAAAGGTCAGGGGTGTCCCTTTTTTTTATTATTTATTGTATTTTATAAAGTCTTTATTTTGAAATGTGATAGAATATAAAAGATAGAAAGAATCAATGTTAAAAAAAAAAAAAAAAAAAAAAACAAATACCATACATGTTTTATCAGTTTGAATTTGATTTTGATTGGCTCACATTTATATGTATTTTTGGTAAACTTGCTAAGGATGTTAATAAGCTCAATCCTTGAGAAAATTTCATTCGTTGACAGGTCTTATTTTTTTGGTTCCATGACCTTCGCTTCCGGCTTAGATATTTAAGTTATTGTTCGAGGCCAAGTGCTTGACCCTACAGTCTGTATCTGATGATGACGCGGTTGTCTTCGCTGCCAGAGTGGAATTCCAAATAACTACAAATTCAGCTTAGGCACGTCCTTAAAAAAAGTCCCCATCAAGTGGGTCCAATAAAAGTTTTATGAGTCAGCCGCAATCTCGGGTCCAGATAAATGCGAATTCTGCGCCCGGTGCTGTGATAACTTGTCCACTTTGACCAGCGGGTGCCAAGTTTGCAGTTCCCGGCAAACAACTCCACTCCACCGCCTCCTTAAAACACACACACACACACACTGAAACAATTCGAAACGTGCTCATATCCTTTCCACATTTCTCTCTGCTTGCAGCTCGTATGGCTGCTCCTGTTTTCCCGGCTTCAGCGGCAGCGACTGTGGTCATGGCCCACTCTGCCAGGACCTCCACACCAACGTCTGCCAGAACGGCGGCACTTGCAAGTAAGTACTGCATCGCGCTTAATGCGGCCCAAATTTGCATTGGAAATTAAGAGAAATCAAGAAAACAACCTCCAAAAAGTTTTGGGGGCTCATATTGCTTAAATTAGCAAAGGCGTAGAAGCGTTATTAAAACACGCTTGAGTGTAGTAACTTTAAACTCTTTTAAGATGGTGAATAAGAGTACGAAAAAATCTAGAAAAATATGTACAACAAGCTTAAGGATTCACTCTTGTATTCCCAATCTAACTTTTCTTGATTTTAAGCCTGTATTTTATATAATAACATTTTCTTGAATATAAGGACTATAAAAAGTTCTGAAAGAGTTAATTTTTTTACCAATGGGAAATTATTTTAATCAAATACCGCAAATACTATTTTTGTCAAAAAGGGGTAAGAATATGAATTAGTTTTTATTTTAATTAAATTACTTAAATTAATAATTTGGCTTACAACATAAGCTAAGCTTTAGAATAAACCAAAGAAAATTGATAAATATTTCGACCACTCTGAGGTGTGTTTATATACTATAATGCTTATATGAACCCACTTACTTCTTCGAAAACCACAGAGCCATCTCCCAGTTTTTGCTTCGCTCATTTTCTTATTGTCGGATCGTCATTTGCAGGCACATCGGCGATGCAGCCATAACTTGCCACTGTCCAAAGGGCTTCAAGGGGACCAGATGCGAGATACCCGAAATAAACGAGACGACGCAGGGTAAGTGCGATAATAAATGTTACTTCCGAGATATATCTGCCCGCGAACACATATAGTCCGGTAGTCTGGGATATATGCAGGCTAATAGGCGCCAGGCTCCAAAGGAAGAGGAAGGGGAAATCGGAGCATGAAAAGCTGCAAAAAAATGGAAAGGGAAATGGGAAAAGGGGAGGACAAAGGGCGCGGCTGTGTAAAGTGAAAATGTAATTAAGGAAATAATTAGCATTAAAAATGCACTCATTGCCAGCTGAGGTACCCACGCAGACACAGAGCAGACAAATTGAAAGGAAAGCAAAGGAGGAGCCCTTTTCCTGGCTGCCCATTTTCGCCCCATTTAATCGGCAAGTGCGTGCAAAAACAATAAAAATGTATGAAAGCAACTGCAGCGGAGAGCATTAAAAGCGGGCAGGCAGGCGGGCGACACAGTGGAAAACCTCAGGTTGTCACTGGCCGGGATCCGTGCCAATTTCCATACGGCTCCGCTTTCCGCGGCGATGCTGGGAAACCCCGCGACAGGAACAACAACGCACATGTCACCAGCCGCCAACAATGTTTAAGCTTTAAGTTGCGCAGTTCATTGAATCGCAAAGTGCCTGCAATGGCACTGGCAATGCAAACAGGACGGAAAACAGGTCCTGAATACTCGGCAATCGCTGCAAGCGGATTGCAAGATGTTCTGCTCCTTTGAGAATGAAAAAACCCGACAACTGAGACATTCGCATTCCCCAAAAAGAGAGCAAATTTGGTAGGGTCTTTTCGGTACATTTACAAAAATATATGCTTAACTATTTCTTAATTAAAAAAAAATATATTAATAAAAAATACACATCCAAGTGCAATTGTGGTTTTTATATGATTAATTTACTGACATTAAATTAAAACAAACTAGATTATAAAGTATCTAACAAACAAAATTAAATTGGCTTCGTTTAATATCAACCTTCAAAAATAAAAAAAAACATTTTTTTCTTTTTACAAATTTTTTGTACTTATTTGAAATATTTCCGTAGGAAAAAGAAATTATTAAAATGCAAAAGAAGCCATTCTTTCTACTAGTTTAATTAAAATACAAGCTTTTCAAAGAATTTAAAAACAAACTTTGAAGGCAACACTTTTGCAGTGCTAAGTAAAATGGCTCTGAAAAAGAAAGTCTGGTGAAAAATTTCATTTTCATCGATTCCAACACCCCACTCCTCCTGGGGTATAGAAAAATGCTTGGCAGAGGGAAAATACATTGAAGGGCGGGCTGAATCGAGAGATTATCAAAACGAATGCCTGGCACATGCTTCGCATATCTGCCGCATGATGTTATGTCTTTTATTCAGCTTCCTGCCCCAAAGCGACCCGAAGGTTTCCTCTGGTGGCAAGTGCAACGGACACCCAATTCAGACCAGTGGGTTAATGTTGCCACAGGTGTTGGGCTACACACACGATTTTTTCTTAAAAGATATTTCCCATGATTGACCTTTTACGAGAGCAATTACTAAGTTTCTTTTTCGTTCTTTTAGGCTGCACCAGCAACACGAGCTCCATTGAATGCCATCAGGCCTGCGACTTTGACAGTTTTAGTCGCTCTGGTTCCTCCTCTGCTCAGAGTTATTCCGCCATTAAGAGTATCCGGAGTTCAGCCCGGAGTGGTAAAACTCGGTACGAGGTCACCATGAGACTGGGTGCCAATCTTACGGGATACTATCGACATGCCGATAGGGAACAACTGTCGGGAGTTATGGAGAGACAGGTAAGCTAATGGCAATTTATATGTATATAATCGTTATATTTAATTATAAGAAACATAGTTGACAAAAGCTTTTATAGACCAAAGAAAAATGTAATGAAAAAGTTTACTAAAAAGGCTTAGATATTTTTTAAATAATGGAAATGGTATTTCTTCACAAATCTCACACAAATATGTCCCACAATTTATATAAAATATGTAAAATGAATAATCAGATCTTGACTTTCCTCTTACCTGTGTTTTTTTTATAAAATACACTCTTGATTTTTCGTTAAAATATTTTTAATACAAGAACAAAACGATTCCAGGAATAAAAACATAACGATTAAAAATAATTTTGAAAGCAAAAAATCAAACAAAAAGGGTTCATCAGCTTAACCCACATAGTTATGAGTCAAATTAAGCTGATCCTCGGGTTCGGGTCTTGCCACTCCACTGGCTACTTGTCCAATGCCATGAAGGACATTCCTCACTGCTCCCGGGGTGGATTCCAAGGAGGCGTTCCACATGGGCGGATGACCCGCCTGCTGTTGGGCATTATTGGGAGTGGGACTCCCGGGACTGCCAGCACTGCTCTCCATGATCGTGGGCATGTTGGGTGGATGCTGGGCAGAAGTGGCTGGAGGATCAACACGCTCCATCAGTTGGGTGAAGCTGCCTCCTATAAGATCGCTGCTCTCGTGGCGTTTGTAACTGTGAGCGGATCGGGAAAGGGGTCTCCATCGGTTCAGCTTCTTGGATGCCATTCTCTGGAGTGGTGGAGTTCGAGTTCCTGTTTGTGGAGCTATGGAGGTGCCTCCTTTTCCGCCAGAAGTGTGCTGCTCCAAAAGGTTGCTCACCAGTTTGTCAAGAGCTTTCAGATCCACATTTAGTTGGGAATTGGGAATCGAGTTCATCCGACTGCCAGAAAGGCTGCCTGATCCTGTTTGGCCAGGATCTCCTTCGGTTTTAAGCCGATTTAGTCCAGCAATTTTGGCCAACCGTTCAGTGAGCTAAAGAAATATTAAGAAAATGATAGAGTGGTTTAGTTTCCTTTAATATTTGTTGTGTTTAAATCCTTATAATGAAATTAAATTAATCTATAGTCTAATTTTCACTTAATATGTATAACAAAATAAAGGGAGTATTGACTTAACATTCACATGAGTAAAATTGTAAACTTTTCCCTTGGATAAAGTAAACACAATTTCTCTGCGTGCCCAATTAGTTTGCAATTGTGTCCCTGCTCCTCTGACTTTCCTTCCTAATAAATCGCCTGCGAGACTTGCTGAGACGGATACTTCAGAGCAGCCAATTAAACTTTTCGTTTCCCATATGCGAAATTACAATTAAGCAATAAAAACTAACGAAATATGCCCTTAGGCGTTTTGCGGCGAGCGAACGAGAAGTGTTCGGGCGAACAACTCTCCTCGAGAGCAGTTTCCAAGTGCCACTCGCAATCGAGGGGAAAACGGCAATATTTCCTTGGAGGAGGAGGCGGCTCTTTGGCTGTCAGGACAGCAGCTTTTCCAGCCCTCCTCCGATAGGAGGAGTCGCCTTCGAAGGATCCGCCGCTCGCTGTGCCAGTTTAATTGATGTTTCATTTCCGTTGCAAAGTGCTTCCGTTTTCCTGGGCTCCGCATCCGCCGTTTGTTTTGTCCAAAGTTGGGGAGTCGAGTGCCGACCTGGTAATTGAGTATCAATGCGGTTTTAAGTGAAAAATGCTGCCAACCTTTCTGGGTGGGAACCTCCCATCCCAAGCCATCTGTATGGAGTGGAAGCCAGTGAAACCACCATACTCAATGGCCAACCATTTCCGTTTTTAATCTTTTGCCTTGATTTGTTCGCTCTCCGTTCCGTTTGGCGAACCATTCGTATTCGTATTCGTATTCTCGTTTTCATTCTCGTTTTCATTTCATGTTTTCTGTGTTTCTGGTTTCTTTTTTTTTTTCAATTGCCTCGTGCCCCATTCAAATGGGGTTAATTGAGTTTTAGTGGCCAGGACTCACTTTAAACTGATTACAAGCCGGCTGGAGGGCGTGGTTTTGGTGGTAGGCTTTGCAGGTTTGTTTTGCATGCCACTCGGCTGTTTCGTGGCTGTCTCTCGAAATATTTGGAGCATGTCAGTCTGCCAGGCACTCGAGTTTCTCCTCAAGCAACCAACCTTCAACTTACAACCCACCAGCCTCCAAAGCTCCCACTTTCCACCTACCACCTTCCACCTCCGAAAGGCAACCCATTTTTGCCGGCTGGAAACGAATTAATGTAGAAGTTGATTTGTGGCAATCGACGGTTGGATGGCTTTTGAATGCTTCTTGTCGGCGAGTTTTAATTGAGGCCCTCGCTCGACTTGTCTGCTCCTTAAACAGGAAATTAAGAAAGTTTTTCCACAGGGCAGGGGAGCCCTGATTATGGATTCATTAGCGAATTCAGCAAGGTGATGGGACAAGCGAAACTTTCTTAAGTACGTTCTTCCTGCCAAAAAAGCTCACACTAAATGGCTTCCAATGACAAGGTCCAAAGTTCAGACCTGCATCTCATACTTTTTAACCTTTCTGCTTTTCTATTTTCTATATTTTTGTGCTGGCTGACAGATATTGCCCAGTTGGGGTGCATAAAAAACGACAGGAGTTTATTTTCGTCTTGTTCTTGGTCGACTACTTTGCAACAGGTTCAGCTGGCTTAACTATAAATCTTACATGATTTTCAACTACTCAGTTGTTGCTTTTCTGCTGCTGCTGCTACTTTTTCTCCTCTCGATTTTTTTTTTTTTTTGTTTGCTGCAAGTGCCCCAAGTGAACCCTTTGGAGTCCTGTCGTCCTGTCGTCCTGCCGTCCTTCCGTTTGCTGCATGCCTCCTTGATTTATGATCTCCCCAACTTGGTTTATTGTCGCATCGTTTGGCCGGCACTTTTTCCCCGGCCGCCGTGCATTTTCTTGCTCTTGTCCGCCTCGCAGGGCTTATCATCTAATGATTGAGGTCAGTTGGCCATCTTCTCGTGGCCCTCGGCTCTCCACTCGCCAAATAATTGTCAGTAATTAAGCTTAAATGCTGTTTGTCGGTGGATCTCTTCCCTCTGGGCCATGAAAAATGCAATTTCAAGTTACTTCCTGGACTCGAAAAAGAAGCGAACATAAAAAAAATGTATTGCAGCATTGGCAAACTTTAATCTGTAGTTTGTTAAAGCAAATATATCTTGAGCGATGCTTTGTTTCTGCGGAGGGCAAACTTAAACAGGTGTTCCTGACATTTTAATTTCGAAAAATCGATAGTTGCCATGCAAACAGAGTGTTGTTGTACCAACTGTGTAAATATATAGGTATATTATATCTTAGGCATTTGCCTATCCACCTAATGATGCTCAAAACTTTTCAAATATTTTGCCAAAAACTAGGCCCAATTGTAGGCATAATGGCAAATCAAATACCAATAGGCAGCTGTGCACACTTGCGAATTTTAATCAATCGGATGAGAAGTTGCTATAAAAGCTGGGGATCTTACGAGAAAAAGTTATCATTCTCCAACTTGAACTATTCAGCAATATGAGAAATTCTCTGGTAATCTTTGGCTTCCTTCTGGTGACCATCTTTTTGGCCAATATCCCTGTTAACCAGGCTGTAACCTGTGCCGACGATCCAAGTGATGCCGCTTGTATCGATTGCACCCAGGCTGCAAATGCCGACAATGCGGAGTGTGCCACCACAACCACGGTGGCTCCAGAAACCACCACTGTAGCCGCCGAGGCAACCACAGCGGCAAGTGCCACTGGAGACACCACCACCGCTGCCTCAACCAGCGGAACCACCACGACCACCTCCTCATCCTCCGGCAACAAAGTAAAGCGTACAAGGACCTTCAGGCGGAAGGTGAAAAGGTCCAGGAAGATCAAAAAGACGAGGCGCACCAGGAGGAACGCAAGAGGGAACACCTCTGGTTGAAAAGGCAGAACTTGTAATTACCCAAGAATAAAGAGAAAATTACCTGAATAACCAAATATTTATACTTCTTACTTATCTTTAAAAACTTAATTCCGAATGGGTGCCATAAGTTATAACTTATAACTTTTAAAGACAGATAATGAATTAGAAAGTTGTAGAAAAAAAGAAACGTATCCTTTTTAAAGTTAAGAAACATATTCATTATTCTACCTTAAATAAAATTTATGACTACGCCTTCTATGAATTTTTCAGGTTAGCATGAGTTCCAGTCGTATGAATTTGTTTTCCAAATATTAAAAGCTATAACAACATTTCTTTGATTAGTATGCTGTCCAAATATCAAATTCAAATTAAAAGCAATACAAAAAGATTCTGGCATGACTCTCGCCTACTCGAAAATCAATATAATATTTTGTATTCAAGCAAGCATATTTTTTCATATGATTAAAAATAAGAGAAATCGCAGGATGCTTTGTACGGTCATGAATATTATCAGGGATTGTATACTTTGGGAATAATTTTATTCATCAATGAATGTGGAGTTATGAAAAGAAACAATTTCAAAAAGCTTTGCAATTTAATAAAAAAAACGAAATAATTAAGAAGTATGATAATGTTTCTAGTGAAATAATTTCAACTGAATATTTCAATTTTTGGAGAATATAATTGTGACACTTTTTCTGCTTGTTAGTTGTAAAAATAAATCGTTTTTTTTTATTCTAAAAAGTTGTGAAATCTTGTAAAATGAAAAATGTAAAATGTAGTACTTATTTCTTACCTCGCCAGCCGCGTTGCTGGAGTAACTCATCCTTTTGACCTTCTTGAAAGTGGCATCGTTTTCGGCCTGGGCCAAAGCCCTTTCGAGGGCATTGTCCATCTGGGCATCCCGCTCGTCCAGTCCGAAATAATGGGCGCCACTGGGGGAAAGGTGCAAAAACCCAGGGTTAATTCTATGCAACAATACTGAATGTGAACTTTGAATGAGGCGACGAGGTGGAAATAAATTGCCCTCCGCCAAAACATTTATGGTTTTGTTCGTTTCGAGCAAACAAATGGTGCCGGAATTTCGTGCTAAATTAAAAAGCTCACAGCTGTGTGTTAATTTGTTGCATGAATTTGCATTGTCCATCACAACGTGCATTTCATTCTTATTTCCTCCTCGGATTTTCAGGTATTAAAATGTTTATTTTAGAGTCATTTACAGAGACTGCTCGTTTTCAATTTGACTTCAGGGCAACCCAAATTGGTGCCGTCATCTACATATATACGTATTGATTTTGTGGCTGTTAATTTATTTACAACTATTCGATTTTATTTAATGTTTACATAAAAAATAAATGGGAAATGTATACAATTTGTATAGCCATTTGAGGCGGATTTTCTGGATCTCCAGCCACTTGGATCGGTTCCAACTTTTTGGTTGACTCCCTATCTGGATTTTTTTTTGCATATTTTATAACCATTTGTTTATTTTTGTGCTTTGGCTTTTGCCTAAGACCGTCATAAATACTTGGCAACGATTTCAATTATGCGATAAATATTTTACAGAATGTGCAGCAGCGTATTTATTTATGGACTAGGCGGCCTTTATGGCGTGGGTGGTACATTCGCACTCTGACGACATAAATACCTTCATTATTTACCTTTTCAGATTGCGTTCAAGCATTTGGCCAGACAAATGTTGGGAGTAAATTGACTTGCCCCCAGGACGTGTTCATGAGAATGAGAATCGGAATCAGAATCAGGACGAAAACGAGAATGAGTATGAGAATGTGAATCAGTAGAATGAGAATGAGTTCGGGGCCACGCACACAAGGCCGGGCTCAATTATTCAACAAAACGGAATTGTAAAGGATATGGGAAATATGAGAATTGGTTCAGGGGCGGTCGGTCTCGAAAGAGCTTTCCCCAGATGTGTGTTTTTCCTTTTTTTTCTGTTTTTTTTTTTTTTTTTTTTTTGTTGCGCCACTCACCTGCTGAACTTGTCCAAACCCCTGACGGTGCCCATCCCTCCTCCAGGTCCTCCGGCCATGGAACTCCTGCTGCGGGGATGCCGCATTGTCGAGCGGTTCGTTTTGCGAACGGTGCGAAGATCTGTTTCCCAGAATCTGCATAGAAAGAGAATATTTCTCGTTAATTGTGTGCCTAGAAAAGTTCAATGAAAGTATTCTTACAATTGGTAAATATTATCTAAGCCTTTGGCACAGATATAACAAGTGTATACATGGTGGGTCGGTCCTTCGTTTTCATTATATTGGTTTATGACCATTAAAAAAAGTTATTTGATATGTATTATGTATGAAATCGATAACAATTCTATTAATCAAAACTAATTTGTTTGAAGTATGCCTTGTATTGGATATGGGGAATATATATGGAATTTATGGAAAATGTCTCAGTTTAAATTGTCTAACATTTGAAAACGTAATATTTATAAACTTGAAACTGAAAAAATTTCCTTGTCTTCCATTATCTAATTTCTCAAAAGCTAAAAGCATTGAAACTTCCTTTATTGTTTCCTTTAATTTTCTTGCCGCCACCACCTATAAACTCGCACTGTAAAAGAGCTGTAAAATTATATTTTGAACGATTGGCTACGCACGGCTTTTTTGTGCGAAAGTTTTAGTTCACTTTTGCCCGGTCGCTATCGGGAAACTTTTTCTATTATCGGAAAAAACCTTCAGGCCAACGTTCAGCAGCAACTGTCCCCATTTTTGTTGGCAAAAGAGCCGCACTCGACTGACAGAAGCACCATAAAAATCATTTTGAATTGGCGGAGACAAGAAATTCGCAACCATAAACCGCTGTCAAAAGAAAAACCGCAGCAATGAAAACAAAACCAATTCGCCAGAGACGAGGAAAACTGGGTTCCGGGTAACAACAAATAAATATGAAATCATGCACTTTATGCGTAATGCAACAGCCTGCGGAAAAAGCCCGTCGATGGGGAGTCCCTTTTTCAGTCCCTTTTCCCCCTTGTCGAGGTTCTTGCTTTATCCTGTTTCCTACGCAGGACTTTCCCCTGTGAAGAGTGGCTCTAAGTGAGGCAAACAAACTGGGATCGAATACCGAATGGCTGGCTAGTTCATACAAATGGGCAGCTTATGGAAAAAAATGATCTGAGTGGGTTTGTTTTTCTTTTTCTCCTCTTATTTTTTTGCGAATCAAATTTCCAATATTCTCGTCTGGTTGCAAGTTTCAGTTGGAAAGAGAGGGTATCCCCGGCAGTCGAGGGTATGCACAAAACACACACAATTTCCAAAGGCTACGCAAACAAGTCAAACAAACGAGCGAGTGACGAGCGTGAGCGTGCTTAAATAAACGCCGGCTAACATTCCCAGTCGCAGGACATTTATACACATGTACACTATAATAATAAAACGAAACAGCGGCGAAATAAAATAATGTAGCCACACTTTCGCGGGGTGTTTATGCCGCCTGAACGCGATGATGTTGATGTTGACAAGCTGGGAAGGACTAAGGACGAAGGACGAAGGACGAAGGCTTAGTCGGCTGCCGGCCCAAGGCAAATTTAATGCGCCACTTTGGGAAATTAAAGCCACATGTCTGGCTGCCAGACGCAAAAAGCAGTCGCAGTCACAGTCTCAGTCTGGAGCTTAGATCCCCATTTGTCATTTCGAGCCGACGATGGAGGGCATTTATTTTCATTTAGATTGCCTCGGCCACTCGGCGAGTGGGCGAAAAGCGAAATAAAAACACGAAATCAGTCAGTTAATTACGCGATATATCATATTTTGATCCGAGCACTTGTGCCGACAGCCTGCTCCCTGCCAAAAATACAATTTCTCGGGATTCTGCGAAGTCTGAAGTCGAAAGGCGCATTGCTAACAAATCGGTTGGCCCAAAAAGCTAAAGGCTTTCGAAGTCCAGAGGGGAAAATCCATATTCCTAAATGACAACTCATCAACTTAGTCTGAAATAAGGACCGACTTTGCTCCTTTATTGATTTAAATGCGCCGGCTGGCAAGTGTCGGATAAAATGGGTTAATTTCCCCAGCTAGTTGGTCTCACGTGTCGTCTGGTGGTATTTACCCAATGTTTAAGTGGTGAAATGGCTCTTACTCAATCTAAGATTGGGTAAACAAACAAGCAGACAAGATCTGATTTATTAACTTATACGAGATTAAGTCAACGACAATGTTGATGTAATATATAATTCGCCTGCTAATAGATGTGCATTTTAAATGAGCATCAATGCGGAGTTTCCAGAGAAATAGTCAGCAGTGCACTGGAATCCGGAGCAGAACTCCGTTGTTGTTGGCCATTGTGAGTTTGTCCGGGTCCGTTGTCGTTATTAATTACACTTACTAATGGGCAACTGACCAAGCGCACATTACGGAAATGATAAGCTCAAAAGCACTTGCTTCGCCGTCATTAAACACACTCCAGCGCTTCTCGCTGTGCGGATTTTTAATTTTCTGCTATTCATACATATTATGTTTTCCAGGGTGAACCAGCTATTGATTTACAAAAGCTCTATAACAACTAGTAATCAGATTTTAAATATTTTAGATTTTTTTAGGGGATAGAACTCGATTTCAATAAGAAACATAGTATAGGCTTGTTATGTTTGTATAAGAAGTTATATCATCTAATATTGGAAATGGTTTTATTATTTGTTTTTGCTTGTCCTTCTATAAACTCGAAGTTTGTTTTCTTAGGTAGTAGCTCCTGGCATTCTCAATATAATTTAATATGTAAACATTGCTTCAGGCTATACATGAAAATAAAAAACAATAACAAATAATATAGGACTCATGCTAGTCTGGATAATGTTTTTATTTTCTCAGACTTTTTTGGATCCCAAAATTCTTTCTCACTTAAATGTATGCTCATAAGAATTTTTGGTTTGTATTATTTATTACACCTTAAAGTATGGAATATTAAACTGGTTTGAATTACTTCTTAAATAGGCATCTATTTTCCTACCATTAAGGTCCACTTTAATGTGTTCCCCGAATGAACATATACCACATGTCGTCATCGACTAAAATACGATTGCGGAGTGGCGGAAATGTAATGCGGAGTGAAATGGTCTACTCACCGCTTTAAGTCCGGACTGGCCGTATATGGCGCCGAGACCTCTTTAATTTTGAGTACGATTATGGCCGTGATGAAAATGCAAATCACATTCACGATGGTCAGACAGGCGGACACGATGCCATTGATCAGGAACTCGGTGGGCAAGTAGTTGGTGTAGAGGAAGGGATACGCGCTGGTCGAGTTCATCGCCTCGTTCTTCAAGTGGGGAATCCGCTTCTCCGGGTAGATGAGCCAAATGCAGGCCAGTGACCAGAAGAGACCCTGCGAAGCACAGAGCACACTGAGTACAATACAGAAAACACAATCTGTGACTTTGAAGTTTCCATGGTCAGGACATATGTGGTTCGAGGTCATAAGGTCGCCGCGTGCTTGGTTCCGGTTGGAATACCAAGTGGGTTGGTGGGTTGGTCGACTGGTTACTTGGTGGTGCTTCCCGGCCTTGAATTGTCATACTTTGCAGTGTGTGTGTGTGGGCGCCAAGGAAACGCACACGCCCCCCAATCAACCACCCATCCCACCCACCCACTCGTGGATGGAACTCCATTGTCGCATTTTCAGCTCGTTCTCCATTCGCTTTTCTCCTCCGTTTTATTCTTTTTTTTTCTATTTCGCCCTGTGTCCTCTGCTCTGCTATTATAAATTATAATGACTCAGCACATTGCTCAGCAAGAACGGAAGTGCGTGCCTTTCTATATGTTCCGGCAAACCATTGGGGTCAAAATGCTAAATCCCACTAAACCAGAAACCATAATAAATGGTTTTTCCAGAATTTAATATTTGCCATAAAAATAAAAAAAATGTGTTGGAATATACATGCTATAATGCTTTTTGTAGTATTCATTTTATAGGCAGGTTTTAAATATAATTTAAGGATTTGATGATCGAGTAAAATACTTTGTTTTGCATATACCTATTAGACCAAACATTTAAATGTACCTATTATTATTTTTGTTTAAATAAAATATTTTTGTTTAAATTTTTAAGGCTATCAGAAGGTTTTATACGCTTCAATGGCATTTAAATTCAACAAAAATTGTTTCTAAAGCTTGTTACATTTATTTAATAAAACCAGAGCATATTCAGCAATGCTTAGAATACGAAATCTAAAATCTCAGCCCCTGCTGTAGAATCCGCAAATCTGTTCGGAGTGTGTTTGTTTTTCCATTTGTGTGCGAGCTCATGACTTTTCTTTTCCTCGACTTACTTTCTATTTTCGCTATTATTCGAATTTACGACCGTTTCTGGGTAAATTATTGCGTGCTCGGATTTGAAAGTGAAGGCATTGCAGACCGTTTTCGAATGCGAGTCCGTGTGGCTGGGTCACATAAATAAGGTGGCTGGCAAACATAATAAGGTGGAATTAAGAGTTGCAATTATTGCACTCCACTATTTACTGGCACTGGGAATTTACACAGCGCACCTCCCGAGAAATGAACTACTTGATATTACTCATACGCTCTGTTGGCCGTGATATTGCCTTAGGGCCAGACACATGGCAATTAATTGTAACACGCTCTTTACTGGCAAAGTGAAATCCAAAAAAAAAAAAAGAAAACAGCAACAACAACAAGGGAACATGGACAAAGGTTTGGCTTCAGTGCGTGCCACTGATTTATGCAGCTCATATGTATGCTATACTTTTTTTCCGTCCTTATATTATTTTTTTTTTTTTGGGAGGATAAGGACGCGAAGTTGGAGCGACACTTGCACACATGCTCGACCGCAGCGGCGGCCATGATTAAGCGATTTCAGCGCCATTGTTTTGGCCGGTTTAAGTTCGAGTCCATAATTCGCCTCTTGCATCATTTTGTCATGCTTGTGGAAAACGCCTCCCGGCGGCGCCTTTTGTTCCACTGTCACAATTGATAAATGTCAGCCGCCTCGGCTCGGCTCGGCTGTGTTTGTTAGCCCGGTCTGTTAGCCCAGTTTGTGCGGCACTTGCCACACAGGCTGCCCCTGCCCCCTGCCGCTACCGCTTCCTGTGTATGTTTTTCTGCGCAAGTTTTTCCCCCGAACGGAGTGTGTGGAACAATCCGCCTCGCACTTGCCTTATAATTTTACGCAACATCCGCCGGCTGCAGTTGGGAATTCGGATTCGCAATTTGCACTTGAAAATTGGGTCGAAATTTATGCACTCGTTGCGGTTGCGCCACATAAAGTGGCAGAACAGCTGAGAATCCGGTTCCCCGGAGGTTCAACCATTGCCCATCGCCCGTCGCCCTTCTTCAAAAACTCCTGCCCTACGGACAGATTTATGGCCGAAAGTTTTTGGGCAATGCACTTCAGATTAATCAGCAAATTGTATTTTCGGCCTAATTTATGGCGAGATTCACTCGAAGGGCCTCTTAAGCCGCAGTAAAAAAAATATTAGCCTGTCCGAAAAGTTCCAGCTCCGTTTTGCATTCGTTGCGGTCTTAAAGCCACTCGAACGTTTTGGAAATGTTTGCGGTAGTTAAAATATAGAAATTTGGGCACCACAAGTGGAGTCAAAAATGTAAGAGCATAATATAAATGCGTAATTTTCCATTCGGCTGACCAGAGTCGATATTTGATTGGAATGTTATTCACATTTTGTGGAATGCTTCTGGGGCTTTTTAGCCAGCCATAAATATTGCCGACAAAGTCATTTCCGGCACCTGCTCACTCGTGATGAAATATCAACTGCGCATTCGTTGCCAAAATCGAAGGCCGTCAAAGCTTTTGTTAATAGCTTGCTAATGGCAGTAAAATTGCTACGCAGAAGCCAATTTCAAGGCGAAGAAAGACGTCTTTATGAGTGGGCTTCCTTGTCGCCATATTTATGATTAAAATATTGACGAGTTCCAATCGATGGATTTATGGGAAACGCTTTGTTTGGCCGAGATATTGGATAACCAATTAGGTGAACTTCAGGTGGGATTTTCATATTAATTTCAGTCGTAAACAAGTTCTCATAAAAATGTAGTTTCCTGTATAAAATTACTGTTGACATATAGTTGTTGCCATTGTTTCCATTCGGTCAACAAGTTAAGATAATAATAACTTATATATTCGTATTTAAAATGTATTTGTAAATGTTATTGCTGGTTTAGTTTTCAAAAATGTATATTTCATAGAAAGCCAAAAAATGGCAAATATGTATTGATAATTATAAAAAATCTGGTTACCTATTGTAAAAATGTTGTTTAAAAAAATTCTAAACAAAAAAGGACACAAAATACTCAAAGGTATTTAGCAATGCGACCAACTTAATTTCACTTTAAGTAAAGTGTTTTAATTAGACTTCTAGTTAAAGTCATCATTTCCAAGTGATTGCCCCTAAAACTTTTAAGAAAATGCCACTGACTTTAGGGACACTTAAATATGATTTATGATGAAGTAGGATTGATGGAGGGTTACCTAAAAGTTATGCAGACTTTTTACTTTACGTTCGCTGGCTTAAAAGTATTATTTAATTTAAGGGGACTTCTGAGTTCCGCGAGGTACTCACACAATTGACGACGGGTGGCAGCAGCGAGGCGGAGATGGCGACCCCGATCAGAGGTCCTGCGGAGCCTTGGAGCAAGGCCACGGCCACGCCCGTGCCGGATGTCAACGCCCACAACACGCCCATCCAAAGGGCGCGCACATTGCCCCTGGAAATCGAAAGAGAAAGTGAAATTATTATTGAAAAATCAACTGTGAAATGGCCATCGAAAGGCAGAGGGGCCGTCGCAAAATGTAAAAATTAATTAAAAATACAACAGCCGGCGGATGACAAATGCCAACCCTCCAGCTAAACGCTACAAAAAAATAAAAGGGAGAGGAGGGGGTTTGAGCTGCAAATTAAGTCACATTTAGATGGATGTTTGGCCAGCCAGCCGGGGAGACTCAAAATGTGGCAGACAGCGCCACCGCTTATCTGCCGTTTTGTGTCAGGGTCAGCAGGTGGCCCAAATACTTCACTTTGTCGTCGCCAGGTGACGCGGATTTTTTTTTTTTAGCGCCATGACCCCCAACTACCAACTGGCAACTGCCTTTTGCCACTGCCGCGGACATTTTTTGACACTCGCGCAAGTTTGTCAAGTGTCAGCGGCTTTGTTATCGCTTCCGCCAACCATTCTGGTCGCCCAAGGCTCTTTTCGAGTCAGGATCCAGGATCCAACAGCCAACATCCAGCATCCAGCAGGGGGCATCCAGGAGTCAGGAGTCATTTAATGGTGAGAAATGTTGGCAAACTTTTCACTGCGCCCGGCTTTTATACCCTTCTTAGGGGTATTATGAATCGGTCCGACTAAGTTCCACCCACGCCCCCAAAAAGGAACGTGAAGTCCCTGATTAGACTTAATTCCCAAGTTAAGAGCACTGGGGTGAACCTGAGGCCTAATCTCAGTTCGAAGTAGGGGAAAAATCGAGGTATTAGCAGAATGTTACTTAATTTATCAGCAATGCTCGCTGTTTTTTAAGCCCTAAGCTTTTTATATTTAACGTTTTTTTTTGAGTAGGAACTTAAGCAGAAAAGCTTTTATTACAAAATTTAGGAGAATTCTTTTTTCAAATAAATTTTGAGCAATTAGTGATTTATACTAATGAGATTTGATGAACAATTTATATAACTTTATTTGAATGAAATTAAATTAAGTAAGCAATTACGACAAAAATTCATTGCTTCTCTAAACTTGCAATTTAATAACTCCCTTTTCTTATATTCTTTTTGTAAAATAGTAAAACTGTAATTGGACTAATAAAAAACCAATATCTTAAAAATTTAAATATTGAATAATGACTTTATATTATACTAGTTGACCCGACAGACTTCGTCCTGTCAAAAAGATGTGTAATGTGGCAGTTTTTGTGCCTACGTATTTAAAAAAATCTCCTAAACAGAACCGTCACCCTGTAATAGGGCGTTGTGAATAAAAAAATAATTTAATAAAACATATATAAGGATTTAAAAGTATGTAATCGCTTTATTGTTAATCATGTGAATCATAATTTTTATTATTATCATTGTAGTGCTTTGTGGTATACGATGTTTTTGTTTGATTACCTGGCGCATAGATAAACAAATCTGATGGTTTTCCAACACGGGAACAGGCAACATAAAATTGACCATGTGAGAAACATGGATTCTCTAGATTAATACCACAAACACTTAATGATTGCCCCTGGGTCTTGTTTATAGTCATAGCAAAAGCAAGCCGCACTGGAAACTGTAGTCGTTTAAACTCAAATGGCACATTAGTCGGAATCATTGGGATGCGCGGTATGAGAACATCTTCTCGTTTATATTTTCCTTTGAGTATAGTTGCTTCTATCACATTGTTAAGTAATTTTTTTATCGCTAACCGTGTACCGTTGCAAAGACGCGGTTGGTTGATATTTCGCAACATTATAACCACCGATCCAACCTTTAATTGAAGATTGTGAGGTGGCAAACCTGGCAAATCCAGCGAGTTTAAAAATTCCGGTGGATAGTTGACTACATCATCTTGATTAGTAGCCGAATCAACTGATTTATATATCTTCAATTCGCCTATAATTTGTTCTTGAATTTTGAAATTTAATTCATTCACATCTATGTTTTTTGCATGCCATTACCAATGTCAATGAGTTGTTTAGAAAATATGTTTCCAGATCGGTCATTTTGCAACTCGACACGCATATTCTTGCTTAAATGAAGTACTTTGACATATTTCCACAAATTGGAGGACTTTAGACATGCATTGAGTTCATCAGCTGGCGTTGATCGTGGAATCACTGGCAATGTTTGACGAAAATCTCCTCCTAATAAAATCATTGCACCACCAAATCGGTTATTATTGCTCCGTAGATCTCTTAAGGTTCTGTCTAAAGCCTCCAAAGATTTTTTATGTGCCATCGTGCATTCATCCCAAACAATCAATTTACATTGCTGCAAAACCTTTGCCATTGCAGAGTTCTTCGAAACGTTGCAGGTTGGAGTTTCATTGCTTTGCATATTTAATGGCAATTTTAGTGCTGAATGGGCTGTTCGACCACCTTCAAGCAAAGTTGCTGCGATTCCCGACGAAGCGAGTGCAAGTGCAATTTTATTTTGTGAGCTTATTGTTGCTAATATTAATGAAATCAAAAAAGTTTTTCCTGTACCACCAGGTGCATCTAAGAAGTAAATCCCTCCAGTTTCATCATTTGTTACTTTCATACATACTTCTGTTGTTCATTTAACAGTGGAAGATTTGTTTGAATTTATTCTTTCAAAGCGTTGAGATCATACAGTCTTTCTCGATGCAACTCTTGGTTTAAAGCGTCATGCATTGGACGATTGGGCGCGGTCAGGCCTAATTGAATTAATAGTTTGTTTGACATTATAAGGCACATGTCCTCAATTGAAATCAATGCTTCATTGTAAATTTCTCACTGATTTGTATATTTGGATTTCCCATTCTATTCCGTATTTGATACAAAATATCATCACACATATAATCTTTGTACTTGATCCACAAATCAATTGGGTTTGATGGGAAGCATGTAGATATGATTATAGAAAACAATGTTCGTATTTGATGAGCGTGTGATGATATAACAGCATCATTGAGAGTTTGATCCCAATGACCGTCATTTTCAAGAAATTGCAAACGTTGACAGGCTTCTCTGTAGAATCCACACAATTCACCATCAACAGTTCGTAACTGTTGGAATGATGTTGGGCCACGTACATTGACTAATAGCAGTCGTAAATAAAAACATTCATCATTGCTTGGATGTACTGAATAAATCCGGCCAATCGCATCGGTGGAATATACATCTGTATATCCTGGAACTGGTTTTCCTTGTTTCCGTCGTAAAAATCTCCTTGAGGATTGATTCCAGGTATAATATTTTGGCATTTCAGAATATAGCAATGTTTTTGCGAAATCATATTTTTGGCATGTCTCAAAAAAACTCTTTGTACTGCGTTCTGTGCACTCTTTGTCCATTTTCTAAATGCACAGCTAAGTGAACAACAGAAGGGTGTCTCTCATGAATAGGGAAAGAAAATATTCGCCAAACTGCTTCATTACTACTGACATAGCGGCCCATTTGGTATTGGGTAACTTCATCATTGGAATTCTCTGCACCAATTCACAGCCATATCACTCCCTTTGGTTACATATTTGCAAATGTATTTAATAGATTTCACTGAATGGCAAGATTCAACGTTGATGTGTGCTTTGAATGTCTTTTGATAAAATGGGTGAATATGGAACAATCCATTCACGTTCTTGTGCAGTACGATTAGATCGGTAATTAGACTGGTTTGTAGCATTTCTGGTTCTTCTACCTAAATTGCTTCGTCTTATAGCAGGCATTATTTTTCACTACTCACAAACAAAACACTTTTTTTATAAAAACTTTGATAAAGCAAACCTTTTTACTTAAAACCAAATGCCTACTGCCTACCCATACATACATACAACATTGTGTACATCTGTTAAGCCGCTAGCGACTTTTCCAGAAGGTTTTCCCATAATTTTCTTATGCTACAACCTTCTTCTTGTTCTAAGCTATCTCCCTACCAATTTTCAGCCAAATCGGTCAAGCCGTTTTCATGTGATGCGCTTACCAACACATTTTGCGATTCATTTTTATATATAAGATTATGGTTCACTCTAGTGACAACTTTTTTGTTTACCTTTAGAGAAAATTTGTTTATGCCATTTTGGGCTTAGAGTTCCAAGCATTATGCAAGGGTATTTTAGACTTTGGCCATCACGAGTTGTGCAACTCTCTCGGTTTTTGATTCATGCGCCTCATTTGTGCCCTTGCCTTTGCCTATATGAAAATTCGGGATTCAGGATTTTTTACCTGGAACCAACTTTTACTGATTAATGGCGCTTTTACTTTGCTTTCGTGGGTTTTTGTGCCGCCGAAAGTGTGAGTTTTATTTATGAACGCGGCAGTTTGAGTTATACAAGTATTTAACTTTTATGCATAAAACAACTTTATTATTCGCCGGCAATTTACGCTCAATTATAGCCCTAACATTAGGCAACTCGTATAAATTTGTAGCTGCAAATTGTTTATGGTCGCGTTTCGCAGATTGAAAACAATGCAAATGAGGTCAGAACAGGATCACGATTGGTTTGATGTGGGTCGCATCGCAGTCGCGATTCCAAAGCGGGATAAAAAATCGTTTAAAAACCCCTTTTTGCTCCACCTCATTTTCTGTGTGTAACAAGGGCAAATGGAAAAACGCCCAGAACAGACGTCGAGTATTTAATTTCGATTTATTTAACTAAGCTGACCATGGGGGATTTGGTTTAGTGCGCACTTAAAATGTAATAATCAACACAGGAGCTGCCGTAAAATATGCTGAATTTCCCATTCTCCGCGGCAAAAGTGCAGACACTTTATCCCCGACTGCCGCAAACTAGACAAACTCACTCCACCTCCCGAATTTGCAACATTTCCACTGATTATTTTGCGCCGTTTTGCATGTGGCATTTGCCGACAGTTGCAACTATGTGGGCGTGGCGACACGCCCCCGCAGCAAAGTAGCATAAATTTAAATTGGTTCAGCCTAGTAATTTATGGCGAATAGACCGGCGAAATGTGTGCGGACAAGGTGGCCAGCTGGCTGACTATTTAAAACAACATAACTCCAAGCCGATTGCAATATCAATTCTGAAGTAATTAACCCCTTCATCACAGAAATAAAGTGGAAGGTTGGCTGCCAATCGAGAACCATTTGAGTAGTTGTGTACTTTACAGATTTGTACTGATAGTTGTAAATATTGTTCTGAATGATTTTGGGTCTGTAATAAATTGATTTAAATTTTATTTATTGTACGCTTTAGGCAGCTACTCTGTATTGTATTTAAATAAAATACTTTCTAGCCGGTTGTTATATCTATCCGTAAATCGACACACATGTTGAATTTTTATTTACCTTATAGAATTCAAATATGTTTTTGGTTGTAAAACATTGTTGCGAATGACTTTGTGTGTATAATTAATGCTTTTAACTCGAATATATTTATGTGTAGACCATAAACAACCGCGTAAGCAAAAACCCCTAGCTTTTTAAAAAAAGTTGATTCTGATTGCTATATGAATTTTAAAACGTTTAACATTTCATTAAATATTAATGAGGTACGATTAATTGACAAGTAAATTAATTTTAAATCTGTTTAATTTATTTTAAAAGTTGTTGGCTTCTGTTAAGGTGTTTTTTGGAATATATTAAAGAATACATACTAATTTTAAATATTATTATTAAAAAAAAACAAGAAGGAAGTTAGCTTCGGCGAGTCGAAGCTTATTTATCATTGCAGTAATCACAAATGTCGAGCAATAGGCATAAAGGCGACACAACATTGAAGTAATGACGATTTTTGTTCCTATGACAGCTATATGATATAGAAAACTTTTGGACTTACAGTTTGGGAATTTTGGTCAACTTTCAGCGTACCCATTTTTTTGGAAATTCGGAAAGGCGTTAAGTTATAAAAACTCAAAAAAAATCTGTTAAAAAAAAAAAACTAACAATGCAGTTGTTAAAGAAATCAAAATGCAAACTTTTTGAGGTATTTTCAGCAAGTCCATTTTTTCGGTTTAGATCGTGATGCTGATCAAGACTACATATACTTCATGGGGTCTGAGGCGTCTCTTCACTGCGTTGCAAACTTCTGAAAATATAATACCCTCTGCAATAATATAAAAAACCATCATGGCCTCCACAAAAGTTTAAATACCTTTCTTAAATTAAAGATGTCATTAATTATCTGAGGACTTGCAATCTTTGGGTTCTGAATTTGAATAGTGCGAGCCTCCATTTCGTATCCAAATTGGTTTGTAATTATAAACTCCCATTTTAGAAATTTGTGGTACTGTATTATTGGCACCCATATGAAATATTAATATTGCCTTCGGCGTCTAATTAACCACAGCCGTGGGCACTTATCGGGTGCATGCACCCGTTGCCTTTGATGAAGGGGCATATCATTTAGGCCGTGTGGGCCGATCACTCGGACATCAGGGGTACAATGGGCCGAATGACAAGGCCACATTTTCACGCGCCACGTGACACAATTATTGAGGCCAGTGAGCAATGACAAGGGGTCTGAATCATCGGATGGGAATAAGGATGACCATTGGAAACTCACGTTGATTGCATGACCAACCGGTGAATCGCACACGCAATCTGGGGAAATTCATTATGTGTGCCTATTATTATGATGCCTACGAAGATGAAGATAAAGTTTGAGATTGAGATGGAGATGGAGATTTAGTTGTTCGACTGACCACAGAGCCACTTGACTGCCTTCAGTGGACAATAAAGCACCCGAATGGACAGAGGCACTTAATTATAGTGATACGCCAAAGACTCCCAGCTCTATATGCATATACATATTCGTATATTTGTCTATATATATATTTGTTGTGTATTCAGATGTTAGGAGAGAAGAGGCCGCATTGTGTATTGTGTATTATTATTTTAACAATTTATTTTGTGCAATTAACACAATTGCCGACACACATTCATTTCACGCAACTTCCGGAAAATTCTGTGGCTGAGCTTAATTTATTGTTCTGCCGCCGGGTTTTCTGTTTTCTTTTTTTTTTCTCTTTTGCCGCCGAAGGCGTGTTTTTCGCCTCTAAGCCTAATTCCGCATTGTGGACCCTCCTTGGCTGGAAAAGATTTACACAGACGGCGCGTGGCGACTTAAAGATTTGTTTGGCAAAAAACGATGCCGTAATAAATGTGTGGCCATATATATACTCTACTCAAGTGGCGGGGCGGAGTTGGGTGGTTCTGGGTGGTCCTGGTTGGGTTGTCCCAGAAAAGAGTCCTTGCCGAAGGAGTCTCTAATGAGCACACGCCTCACATTACGGCCGGGGCCTCCCGGATTATTTGAATTATTTGCCAGTAATTTGTTACATTCGCACACTCGTAGATTCACCGAACAACTTAGTGTAGTCGCTCTTGCTGAGCTTCACGAGACACTGGATATTTAACATACTTAATGGATTTTGGATTTTCGGCAAACTCTTAATTCACTTTCGAAAGTCGAGGGATTTCAGATTCTTTTACTGCGCCACTCTGGGGAAATGGATGACTTGTGATAATGCGTCTTAATTAATATCACAAAACCGGGCATCGTCTTGCATTTTTGATTCCAGCTACAGTCACTTTCACCATCAATCAAATTTTTAAGGGTTACTCACATCCTTTTTCTGAGTGATTGCTAGATTCAATCTTATACAATTTGAGCTTTGTCAGAATTTTATATACTGCTTATGTAATTGTTTTTACAGTTTTTTTCCTTTGGAAAAATTAAACTTTGTTAAAGGAGTATTTGAGTAGAATGTTTTTATTTTCGAGGTTTCTAATGGAGTATGTTGCCTTTTGTTTAAATTGATGAACGGAATCATGAATATGTATAAATTTAAAGAAAATTGTAATGCACTTTTTATTTTCTTAAATTTAAGATATTTATTTAGAAGGGCTTTTGAATCTTTTGTTTAAAAGCAAGACTAATTTTTATGATTCGTAAATACCAACAAATTATTCGTTGCTGCCGAATATCTTTGTTTTTTAATGTGCGGCCAAATTATTTTATTCAAAAATGTTACCTTGTCAAAATAAGTTTTAAATTTTATATTCAATATTATTTCGTTACTGAATTCAAAGAAATCGTTAGCACCCGTTCATTATGTTATATTTAGGAGTTCAAAGAACTGCACAGAATGCATATCATAAATGTCCCTTAATTAAATTCAATGGCAAATTGGAAATTAGAATTGTTTCGGACACCACAACTGCTGCAGTGCCATTCATATTTGATTACATCCGAATCGCCGACGACCGAATGAGGGAATTAATTTATTGTTTCTGGTGGTTGAATGCGTGATTCGGACGTGTGTCATTTTGCGTAATCTAACCCAATTGTTCGGGTTGATTGACATTGATTTGGGCATTTTCCGGAGGCTGCTTACCTGCCGCGCATTTCCTCGGTGGGCCAATCGGAATTTTGGCCCCATGGCATTTCGGTGGTGCCCAAAATCAAGCCGAAGATGAAGCCAAATAGAAGGGAGATAAACATGCCAAGGCCCAAACACAAGAAGCCAACGCGCTGAAAGGAGAATGGTAAATGGTAAATGGAGACTAGTAAATGGTGAATGGTGAATGGTTAATGGTAAGCGGTAAAGGGAAAATGGAAAAATGGAAAACAGGGTGGGCGAAATTAGGGGCGAGACAGTGAGCTAAATGCCAAAAAGGACCCCACAACCAGTGACACTTTAAGCGATAATGCTGCATACGTTGAAGCGCCAAGGAACTGCGAGTAGATTCGTGACATGTTAACCCAAATTTGCAGCCACGATGCAACTGCAACTGCAAACTGTTGTTGGCAGCTGCACACACACACACACACACAAAGGGAGCGAAAGAAAGAAAAACGCTCTAATGTCAGCCACATGATGTCGTTTTCCCCTCCCATTTCCCACCCCCCATTTTCATTCACCAGTCAAACGCAACTGCGTCGCATGAAAAGTAACTTGTCTTGAGGCTTTAAGCAGCTGCAAATATTTAGCGAGATACCAACTGTTAGAATTTTAGTGTGAAAGCTATGTTTAAGAAATGAATATTATTTGGAAGAAAATGTGAGAACTATGTATTTTGTTTAAAATGAATTATCGATTATCGATCGTTATGTGACACTAATGGAAAAGAAGAAGAGTAAATTGAGAAGTGGCGCGTCCACTTCACACAAAATTGAAACGCAACGAATAAATTTAATTTAAACTTGAATACTTTATTTTACACCAGCAGTTTTCAATTTTCCAGCAACTGCAGTTTAAAGGTGTGAAAACTTCTGCTAATTTCTTGTTTATCGCCTGCTTTTCTATTTGCAGGTATGCAAACGAACACACACTGCGTATGCGTAATGCGCAAACAAATTACATTCATGTCCGATTCAACTTTAAATGGCGTGCAAATATTTGCAAAAAATTGCGACTGCAATTCAACTAGCCATTCAACAAGCAGCAGTGTGTGTAAAGCCAACTCGTTTTCACTATATTACGGCGATTCCGGTGTATTTTTTTCCTAGCCGCCAATTATTTTTAATAGTTAGCCATCAATTTTGACTGGACACATTCGATGTTGCCAATTTTTGTCATCGTTTGTAATTGGCATTTTTGTGTGAAATTGTTTAAACACTTTTGCATATGAATTTTTGGCTGCCACTGGAATTTTTTCCCAACTATTTTCGCAGCATGTGTGTTAATCTGCTAGCTGTGCTATTGTGTATTTTGTGGAGATAGTCAAACATTTCGTAATGAAATAAAAACCACTCAAGGGTGCGAAGTTTTATCAATTGCCATTTTGCATATACCAAAAATAGTTGTTTCTGCTCAAAGCGGAATAAAATTTCCATTTGACATTTGCATTTTGATTTGAAGTCACAAACTGACAAGTTGCGGGCAAATATTGATTAAACGAGGTTAAATTTTGCTGGCAGGGCATTAATTCCTTTAAATTTTCCACAGAAAACAACCGGAAATGAAAGGGAGCTGGGGGGGGTGTGTGAAAATTGGGTGCAGGTATTTTTGTGACCGCAAGCTTTTGGGGAGAATCCAGCCAGCAATTTGAGTTTCCTTGGCAGCTTTATCAAAGATTATGATGACACAGCTTGGGCCACTTCACAAAAGGAAGGCGAGAGCAAAAAAGCTGCACTCTGAACACTGAACACTGAACACGGAACACTGGCGTATGTGTTCGCACACGAATATATATTCATTTCAATTAAAATTTAATTGAAGTACACGACGCAGGTGTCAACAGCCGGCAAGACACCTGGAATCCAGTGGGTTTGTGAGCCCGAGTGCGCTGCAAAATTGTGTCAGCAGACAACAAGTTGCCTCTGGGGTGGCGCCACAAAACACAGAGCTCGGAACTCGAAGCTCGGAACTTGGAACACAGAGCTCTGAACACACAGCTTGAACTCACTAGCCAAACCAGCCGTCTCTTCATTAGAAACGCCAGCAGACGATTATATTTACCTTATTTTTATTTCACTCTGCTTTATTTTATCTTATTTATTTGTTTTGGTTTTTTTGCTGCCTCGACTTGTCTATGTGCACTTCTATTTAGCACTCAGCCTGCACATTATACTCTGGATTTTGTTGAAGCGAAAAGCACCGCCTTTGATCCATCAGAAATATAAAATAGAAAGGGGATTCGAGTAAGGAATGGGTTTCCTCCCAACTGACGGTGACAATTATGACACTTTGAGAACAGGTGCTGTCTGGCTGCAGTTTAAGTTCAGTTTTATTGGCTTTGCGCTGAATGCGGCCCAAAGAGCCCCGTCCTTTAATTCTAAGTAGCTTAGCTTAGTTTTCCGACTGCCAAGAAAAGGGGAAGAAAATAGTGGCCAAGCCGCACTTCTGCTCGGAATGCAAGCAAAGTAATTCAAAGCAGAAGGATTTGTATTCTGCGAAGTACTCAGACTTTAAATAAAGGAATACGGAAATGGAAGAACTCCTTTTTTATAACAAGTTGTTTAGCGGGCCTCTAAAAAAAGAGTTCGCTATGCTCTTATTTATATTGATTTGAATAAACTCAGAAGCACACAAAAATGCCTCCCCTAGCTCGCTTTACAGCCCGATCCAATTTCGGCGAAAAACATTTAAATATTTTATGGGTATCCGCCTGCTCTTCAAGCCAACGCTGCCAATAAACAATTCAGCAACTTTGCCATTTACCACAAAAGCGATGCAAATTTGCAAAACATCGAGCGCTGTGTCGCTATGCATTTGACTGGAATAACCCGGAAAACACCCCCCACCCCTCTCCCCATTTTCCCTCGCATTTTCCATATCGATGTGTGCGAATTTTGACAGCTGAAATAACGGACGGATGGCATAGCAATTTTCGGTGCAATTTTTATTATTTTCCAAATGTCATTTGCTCATAAATCACTCAAAAGTACCACATAGAGCCATTGTCGAAGAAGAGTGTTGACGATTTCATTTAGCCCGCTGCGAAATGGATTTTTGGAGTCCCAACACCCATCAACCAGCACCCTGCCACATGCCACATGCCCCTGACAACTATTTTCACTATTCCATTTTTCACTACAGTGTTGTTTCGCTTTTCCATCTTTTTTTTCGTCGACGGTGGTTTTGAATGGCTTTTTCGGCGGGCTACACAATTTGTTGCACTACGCTGAATGGCGGGGAGAAAAAAAGGCATAGCCATAAGGGGAAGCTGCACTTACCATTAGTTCTTTGTCGGAGATAATTGCGCCGAATGTTATCGACATTACGGGACCCATAAGCGGCGAAACTAACATGGCAGCCACTATATTGGGGGCATTATTCTCCACCAACCCGAGGGCCGCCAAAGAGCTGGAAATGCGGAACATAATAGAGCAGTGCTTACTTTTTATACTGACCCACTCCGCCAGCTGTTGAATTCCGGGGAATTCAATTCGAAGAGGGGGGATTTCCACCTCCGATTTCGTACTCACTCGGCAGTAACGATTAGCAGCAAATAGTCGAAGGACAAGGATCCTCCTGCCCGAACGCCATCCACCACCTGTTTGACTGTTAATTTCGATTTAATTGATTCCACAAAATTGTTCCATTTCGAGGCATCCTCCGCTTCCTCGCTTTTTGTAGAGGAAAAAAATAAAGGGTAAATAAGTAAACATAAAATGGAATGGTAATGCTTTGTAAAATATACAAGAATGTGCGCAGCTGTGTAATTGGTCTACTATTATTGAATTGGCTATCCAGAAAGCCAATTTGAACCCTTAGAAACCAGCATTATTAGCGTTATATTTACTTAAGTTCTACAAACAATAATACAATAATAACTATCCTCAAACATACAAAAATATTTGTACAACATAGAGTATGATATTAAAATAGCTTTATGATCTAATTGAATTGCGAATTGCTTTTCCAAATATTATGCTTGATAAATCATAAATGTATGATTAATAATATTCACTTTGTTCCAGACTCTGAATATCTTATTAATTCCAATAAATTTCAGCTCAAAATTCTTGTTTAATTGCCAATGCTGAAAGCCATTTGGATGTGGAAAATCCTCAAATGATTGCAGCTTTGATTGTCAATTGTCCCAAAGCTTTTTACGCATAATTTCCCTTTTCGTTGTCTAGTCTACCGATGATTAGAGTGCGGCTCTAATAACTCAACCATAACACCACCTCAATCGTCACCCAAAAATAAACCACAAGCTAACCTCAATTACAAGCTCATCAGGTATGCACATAGGTATGTATTTTCGGGGACCGAGTGACAATTGCTGGCCAAGAAGTCATCGGGTGTGTATTTACCCTCGGCTCTACTTTTGGTTTTGGCTGGGAGCAGCCACATAAATTGTGTGCACACACTGGATGCATTTAACCCCTCAACCCGGAGATGCCAAAGCCCAAAAACCTTCAACCCCCGAACATCTTGCCCATGCAAATTTTGCCATTTTCACTTTCCAACCCGACGAGAAATTCCCATTCCAATTGGCTCGTAAGGCCGTAATAAACTTGGGCCTGGGCCAAGGCCTTCGGGGCCTCAATCCCTTTGGCTAGACGAGCCGTTAAGGGAATAAAGCAAAGAGCCAGGAGCCAAGAGCCATGAGCCATGAGCCAAGAGCCAAATGTCACGATTTCCACGGCCGAACGGACCGAAAGTGAAAGAATAGTGCGAGTGAAAGTTAATGAAATGAGTGACGCCTTTGACACGTAGGATAGAGCACCTGAAATTAGTTTTTAACAAAGCGACAGCTGCGGCATCCTGACAAAGCCAATTCGCTGCTCAGGGCTCGACACAAAAGCCAGTAAATACAATGCCACCGGAACACAATGCCCCACCTTAGAAGGTATGGTATGTGGCAGACTCACCTGTAGTCGTCGCGCATGTTGGCCGCATCCGAGATGGCATCATAACTAACGCTGCACGGCAGAACACTGCGGGAAGTACATTTCAAAAAAATAATATATTAACAGAATAAGAAAAGGCGAAAGCATCTACATCGCAATCCATGAAAAAATATGGTTTGAAATGAAAGGGTTTCAATAATTCTGAGGGGAAAACAATTAAGTTCATTATGTAAACATTCTATTAACAGATGTTTTTATATCTTGCCATAGAAAATAATTTTACAATGATGCTTAAACTTATTTGTTTTTTAAATTACTCTTTATATTTATAGTTAGTATATGAAATATTTAAATAACAGCTTTCATAATGTTCAAAGTGTTATATTGCCCATTTCTTTAAGCATAAATAATTGTTCATGAGCCTGCAGCTTTCTTAAAACTCAAAATTGTTTAAAGTGAAAGCCCATTTTAAACAATGAAGTTTATTGCTATAAAATCGACTGTCTTTATAACTTACAGAGTGTACAACTGAATATATTTTTGCTGACAAAAAGTTGAAGAATTTATTACAAAATATTTTAAAAAATTCAAAAAGGTAAATTTTTCTTATTATTGTTGTTAAGAATAAGGGAAGTTAATCAATAAATATTTAAATAGTTATTATACTGTTTTATGTATTTCTCATTTTCAGTCAAGATATGACTTTTAAATAAACTAAAATCTGTTTTATGAACGTTTATTTTCCGTGTAGATACGTTTGAAATTGATATATGCAAGCGAATATCTGTAAAACAAGTCATGCGCATTCCGTGGAAATGTCAAAGGGTGCCACTTGGAGCCTCGAATCCTTGGAGCCTGGGAGCCTTGCAACCTGACTGGCGACTGCCGACTGCTGACACCGTCAAGATCTTGAGATGTTCTGGCGACCGAACATGAATTATAGATTACTCGAGTGGCACTCAATCAACGCAAGTTGCATTCTTGCAGCTCCTCTCTTAATTGAATTTCTGCGCATATTAATCAGCTTAAGTCGTACTTTGTCTGGCCACTCGGCTCCTCCTCCGGAGGAAAACATCTGCTCCTTGACCTCTGGCTGCCTGGAGGGACTCCCTTCTCAGTTGGTCACACCTTCGACTGCGTTTTAATCCCCCTGCTTAATGCCATTAAACGATTATCACACCTACTTGTCTTCACTTCCCCTCCGCACTCCAAACTACACTCCATTTCATCGGAGATTCTTGTACTTGTACTTCTGCTGTTGTTTCTGCTCTTTTGCCCGTTCATCTTTAATTTATCTGCACAGCCCCACTTAGTCGAGTTCATTGTTCGGCTCTATTGTATTTTGTTTAATTTAATTACTTTGGAATTTCGCCCGAAGACAAAGCGTATAATTTGCTTACAGAACTGCAGCCCAGTTGTGTTTACTCTTTTTTGCCCGGCGAAGGGCTTTAATTGGATTCGTGTCGGACTATTGTAGTGGCCTTTAAATTGCATTTACATAACGCATTCAAATCGGACAGGCTGTTGCCAAGGATAATAGAGAGTGGCTTCCGCCTACAAGCAATCAAAATTCGTGAGCCAAGAAGCTTGGCAACCAACTCCGATTCTCCGAGGACTTCTCATCTTTACTTCTGCATTTTTATTGCATTTTTATTAAAAACCCGCCGAGTCACCTGATAAGTTCGACCAGCTGTTGCTGGACTGCAGCTCCAGTTGCACCTTTAGCCAACTTGACTTTCCCGGCACGTTTGGCGCTTGTTTCCCCCTCAATGTCTCAACTTACCTGACACTGGAATTCAATTTAGTGCCGATGCCCAGCTCGGTGAGGCAGTGCAAGGTGGTTTCGCAGGCGGCTCCTGCCTGCAGTGGGAAGACGACGTGATGGAAGTATCCCTTCTTGCTGGTCGTCCAAGTAACGTGCTCGATTTCCAGCTTGACGAGCAGCTCCTCGAGAACCTGCCAAGGCGAACAAGGTGGAGCAATATCAACAGCTTAGAGTGTCATTTTCACCAGCTTACGGCTCACAGCTTATGGGTTATGGCTTTGCATTTAATTGGAATTGGGCTCGCCCACTGATTATGTGCGGCGCTTGTTACAAGGGCAACTGATTTGTCCCCGGTCGCCGAGGCGATGCATCCATCAATCTTGCCAACCGAGGACCAACCAGCCAGCTAAGGCGCCACATTCATCAGTATAATCTCCCGCAAGATACAATTTGGGTAACCTTTTACGCAACGCTCTCGAGTCACGTTTCACGTTCCTCGTTCTCGCCCGTTAAGTGCATCCCGCAAACGAGCAACAGTCGTTGTCGCCGCTCCTATCGCTGCCGCAATCTCAGCACTGCACTGAGAGAAAACTATTACCCTACTTAAATATTTTTCGAAATTTTTTAAAGTGAGTTTTAGTTTTTTTTTACTTTAAAAGCTTATTGCAGAAGTTTTATTAAAGGAAATACTACTACTCATTTTATTTAATAAAACTTTCAAGTAAAATATTCTAACGGTCTACTGATTTTTGTAATTTGGTTTAAAACCGTCGATACCTAAAGCCTTTATTTTAAGGCTACGCCTACAAAAAACTAATGTTTTAAGAACAAATATATTCAGCTGTCGCAAGTTTTAAGTTCTAATTATAATAATAAACTATTTTTATTCCGATTTCTATAAATTTTGTCTACTATAATTCGTTTTAAGAAATGAAATTTTTTTCAGTATACTTTATCACGAATAAGTTACCGAAACTAATTTTTTTAAGAGTAATCTTGGAACGAAGTTCTACAAAATTTACAAATATTCATTACTATTAAAAGTTTTAAAAAACTTTCTATTAAGCTGCCTGTATGTATACCAAAGATTTTTTTTTAAATAAATTTTATATTTAACTTTGAAAATCTTACAAACTTTTCAAATGTAATAAGCTTTTTATTATCGCTTTTAGGAAAAGATCTATTTTTTCCAAGTATAAATCTCACTCAAAGCCAGCTTCGAACCCTTGTCTCCCAATACAACGCACAAGAAAATCAAGTTTAAGTGCTCGGGGGGTACCAAGCGCCCCCAAGCTGCCCCCCTCGATAAGGACCTTCTTTCCACTTGCCACTTGCCACTCGCAACTGACCGTTCGAAGTTCGACTTACCTTTTCGAGCGGCACCACTAAATTACGTCTGTCCAGCGGAGCGGCGACCGTGGAGGTGTCAGCTGCTCCAATCGCAGCTCCTGCGCCCCCTCTTCCTCCTCCCCCTTCCTCCTCCGCCCACTTGTCCGATGCCAGGACCGCCGCCACGCCCACCGCCGCCCACTCCACGACGATACTTGGGCACATTCTTGTCACGTAATTCAACTTCGAGTCGTAGTATTGCGTTGTTATTCTCCGGAAGATTGATGTTCAGATTATTGTTGCCACCTCCATTGCCAGATGCAGCGACCGCAGGATGCGGACCGAGGTGTCCTGGATGGCTGCCAATGCCACCGGCCGACGTCTCCACTAGGACATTATTTGAAGTGCCTGGTTTGGGTTAATGAAAAGGTGATACGGCCGTGTACATAAACGTAAGCTGATTTGCCATTAAGCCGGACTCCATGGACTCAATGGATCCATGGAAATGGTTTTCAGGGGTGGTGGAGATGACAGGATGGCAGGAGGTCAGTTTCAGTTTTCGTTTCAGTTTCAGGCGATTAGTATACGTAGATACATACTCCGAAATTGCTAAATTAAATTCCTACACCCTTCAGTGCCCCGATAAGTATGCCATTGTTTTGGAAACTCTGGCATAATTCAAACCTGATTAGTTAATTCACGGCAATCAGACTATTTATACTGCAATTAGCGTAAATTGCAGTGATATTTTGGTATCCAGTTAAGCGTTTAACAAATATTTGGTTTTCGACCGCTAAGCTTGTTTTTCCTGCAAATTACGCTAATTAAATGTCCGGCCATCGTTAACAAATAATGGCGTTGTTGTTATGCAATTACATATACAACTTATGCTAGGGCTCAAATTAAAGTTACCCACAAAAATTTATCCCGATAAAAAAAAAGAGAAAGAAAAAAACCCATGAGGTCTGGGGCACTAAGCTCCACTTGATCTAAATAAATAAATAAAGTGGCAAGCGAAAAATCAAATCAAAGTCTACATAAAAACCACACAAAGGATCACAATTTATTATGTATATTATACAAGCGGCGGCGGCAGACAGACATCGAAATGTAATATAAATCCCGCCACATTGACAAATGCCAAAATAAGGCTTAAATGCGCTTAGGCCAGGACTTTGCCTTCCAGGATCCAGGACCCTTCGTTCGTGTGTCTGCGTTGTTTTTTTTTGTTTCGCATAGTTTCTCTAGTGGCAAAAGTTCCCTGAAAGTCAGCGAATTTGTTAACTCATACCACCTGGCCAGCACTTCGATGGTCCTTGTTTTGCCTGTTTAATTCCGTCTCAGTTCCCAACATCGAACATCTCTTTTCGGTCGCCATGGAATTGAGGGACTCGTGATTTATGTCTGACACCTATGAGCCTGGCTCTTCAGCTTTTCGCCCCGAGTGCATGCGTACTTTTTATGTTTTGTTTTCTTTTTTCCCAAGTCCTTATGTTTGCCTAAGTGTTTTGCACTCTTTAAGCTGTTGCCAAGGCCAACAATTCACACCACTCTCATCATCCCACATTAAAAAGTCCTGCCAATTGCCTGTTTCGATACTGGGGTACCCTAAACTGAGGAAATCCTGAAATATGCAGACAACTTTAAATTGGAGATAAATATTTTTCTAAAGAAACTTCGTCTGCTTTGTTTGGGTAATTAGTTCACTTTTTACGGAGATTTCAAGTACTTTGTACTGGTAACTAAAACAATATTTTGTTCCCTTACAATGGTCTTTTTTTGGATAATAATTTAATTAAAAAGTGTATGCAACTTCGATTGGGCTGTTTAAATAACTCTTTAACTCTTTAGGGGTATGTCCAAAAATTGATACCAGATTAGCTTAGCTTTTTATGAACTCTGTTTGAAATTTTAATTAGGTTGGTTCTATGTAATATCTTTTATAATACAAATTTTAATTGGATCAATTCATTTCTATAATACAATGTAATAATAATCAATGTAAATAGCTTGAAAAGCCTTAATTAAATAAGGTTTTTAAATATTTATAAAATTATTGTACCATAGTTACAATCAATATACCTTTCATCCAGGGTACAAAGGTGACTTATTTTTTGCACGACCCTAGGCCACTTTATTCACGCCCCTCTTAAAGGCCTGTGGAACCCCCTGGAACGCTCTGCTCATCGGCTCCACTTCGGCTCCTTTGTCATTATCAGACTGTGTGCTGCCATGGTGACAAACTAAATGAATGATGATTCTCTTTGATGGCTTTTGCCATCGCCTTGTTTTGTATTTAAATAAATATTTGATTAATGCTCCTCGCCGAAAACGACTCCAACACATGCCAGTTTTTGTCCCCAAAATCTTGTGCAAGATGCCATATTTGCCCGATGCCATTTATTTCATAAATTATATTGTTTTATGGGTTTTTATTGTGGGCTTTTTATCGCTCCTGATTGTGATAAATGATAGCTGCGTGGGCTAGTGTCGAAAGTTGGGCATCTCTGCAATTAATTCCCAAGGTCTTTACTTTTGCGAAAATTTCCTTTTGCCACAAGAATCGCTCGTTTATACAGTGGCTTAATTCGGAGGAGCCTTCGAGCCAATAGCTTCGACTGCTCTATTTTCTGAAAAACGTGTTCGCTTCGGCACATTCCTCCGACCAATTTCATCGTGGCTAATTAAATTTTTAATATTAAATTTTCGTTGCCGGCGAAATGTGCTACGTACGCTCGGCATTTTGGCATTTCGGCATCCGCTTGTAAAATTATCTTGGCGAAAACTTTCCAAACCAAATGCCGCAAAATGCCGGGTTAGGCGCTCCGAAAATGCGAAGCAAAAAAATCCACTCCCACGTGTGTTCGGTCCGCCGGGATGTTCATGCAACATTTATGGCGAGCTCTTAGGCCCGGAGAACACTTTTACGATGTCATAAAATAATTAATAACGCCACTAAACAACGTAATTACGCGCCTAAGCCCAATGCATACAGGTATACATACGTACATACACGATTATATATCTATATATATAGTATGTGATTTTGGATGGAGGTTGGGCAGATTATGCGGTTGTGCCGACGCCTAGATAAATGCTATGGCCTCGTGTAAACAAAATTGCAACTTTGTATTTAATTAGGCAGGGGCGCTTATTCAATTTGCCGCCCATTTTGGCCGCACTTTACTTTACTTTACTTTACTTTACTTCACTTTACTTGCTTACCGTAAATCAGCTCACGTTCAAAATTCGCCGTTGGCACGACGATTAGGAAGACCACGCCCGGCATCCTGTCAACTCCTGGCTGGAAATCTGCAAAGGGATAAGCCCGAAAAAGTGGCCGTTTAGTTTTAGAGGCGAATCTTAATGGCCTTAAGCAAGACGGCGACATTAATTCAAATTCAAATTCAGCTGGCCAAAAAGGACTTCTTGGCAGGCAAACTTGAGAAATCCTGCCAACTGCTGGATGTATGCAACTTCTCCCGTGAGTGCATCCAAAAGGAAGGGGATTCCCGTGTTTTGCATAACAACTCCCCATTATCCCCGACTTTTATACTGCATTAGCATCCCTGTCCGGTTTCATTTTCGCCTATCGTGCTTAACTTTTTCGAGTTTCGAGCAACTTTCAGCCGTTAATGGGCTCTGAAGGTTGCTATAAGTAGTTTGCCAGCATTTTGTTTGTATTTTTCCAGCATCAGTTGAACTAAAAGTAGGAGTAAAAGTAGAGTAGGTGGTACTTTTAGAAGTTCTGGCATGCTGATGGCTGGCAGATTATCGCAACTATTTCTTAATCAAAGGGAAAGCCAACTCGTTCGCTCGGCCGTAATTTCGCTGTATCAATAAAAGGTAAAACGCTTGCCAGGATAAAACAGAGAGCCTTCGAGGATATTTGCACACGCAGTGTTCTCTGACTACTCGAAATTAAAATGCCATTAGCACTGGCTCGGGATGAAAGCGATGTGGGAAGGCGAGTGCGATTAAACAGAGGAGCAAACGGCGATGCGAAGTCCAGGATATTACTGCCTTTTCGGAATGCCGAGCTCTTCCGAGGGTTAAGCCCCGGCACTCCTGCAGGATCTGCTCGAAGGAGCCCACTTTCCCACCAGAAAGGAGCGTATGAGCCAGAAAGAAGCTGAGATTTAATGGAGCTGCGATTTTTACCCTCCAATGAAATCTCTGTGGTTCTCGAGGCGAACTGCAATGCATTTCCACGCACAAACTTTGCTCAACAAGGATGCTCTGCTCCCTACATGATGGTGTATTATTTTTCCTGTTGCCTTTTCAGCAGGAGAGAGGAGCAGTAAATTGTAAAGTACATAAAAAGGTAGCTATAAAACAACGGAGGATATTAATTCAATTAAATCAAGTTTCAATACCAGGATAATAATAAACGCATTATTCAGAAACAATATGCATATATCCTTTGGTTATAAAATCAATTATTAAATTTATAACAATATTAATCTCAGCAGTTAAATGCTTTTGTAGGATTAACCTAATGCCTCTGAATTAAAATTAACTATGTGCCATCAATAAATTCTGTTCATTTTATCCAATTACTTCTTGTTGAACTTTAATTTTTTGAGTGAGCATTGGTTCGGTGAAACAGAGTCAACAACAAAAAGGTGCCCCATTAAATCAATATTTGAGTACACCTTATGAGCAGCCAGTTCTGCGCCCAGTTGACATTTTCCGGGTTTCCCGACTCCGTCACGAGCAAACTTTTTCCACAAACTGTTGGTTTTCATTTTTTTTTTTTTTTTTTATATTTTTTTGTTGTTTGCAACACTTTACTTAAAAACTTTTCACAGCAGTCCAAACAAACGGCCTACTCATACTCGTCGGTATGAAAAAGGGACGAGGCGATTTCCCTGTCCTTTTCCGGGTTTTCCAGTTTTGGCCGGACTCATTCACCCGGTTTCCACAAGCCTCTTAGGAACTTTCGAGCCAAACAACCGAAGCCACTTTGCAGCACGTTCACTGTTGCACTTTTTCCCCCCTTCTCTTCCTTCCCCCTTCCCCCTTCCTTCGCTTCTTCTTGCCACTTGCCATCTTTCATTTTGCGGCATATTTATTAAAAAGCAAGGAGCGCAAAAAATGAGCCAAGGAAAATATGGGAAATGGGTGGAAAGTGGGGAGGCTAGTGGGGTAAAAAAATCGGGTGGCAGTGGGTAAATTCTTTTATATTAACCGAAAATATTTATTTTCTTGCTTGCTGCGTTCGTTTTTGTGCGCACTTTTCTGATTAATTCCGTAACTATATATTTGCCCAACAACTTGGGTGAAGTTTTTCGCCGCGACCACTTGTGAAGGGAGACTCCTTTACCTTCCGGGCCTTTCAAGCTTTACTTTCCACTTCTGGGCCCGGATTTTCACCGGCATTCCGGCATTGTCGATGCCAAGTGTTTGTGTGCCCCCCAACAATGGAGCCAGCCGGCAATTTGTATGAGTACCTACCAACCCACTAATTAGGCCAACGGAATTGCATTAGTTTCGGCATTCTCCACAAATAATTACAAACTGCAGTGGGGTGTTGGAAAAAGAAATAATACAAAAAAATATGGAAGCCAATTGAAGTTCTTCAAGGTTTTTTAAAAGGCGCAATGGTGGCCCATAATTACTTCCAATAAGTTTTCGCACACACAAACCATAGTGACCATTGCCGGGGAGACTTTTCCTGTCAGCTTTGATTTCATGGCTTGCCACATTTTCTCGGGAGTTTTTCCGCTTTTCCCGCACTATTGTAGCAGTCTAATGCCATCTTAATTAAAAGCGCTAATTGGTTATGTCTTAGAGTGGCACAAAAAGGCAAAGCCTCGCAAAAATGATCAACCTTCCACAAAATAATTTAAAGGATAGAACAAACTAAAGGTTGTCCTTAACAACTCCTCGTTTAACTGAAATAGATCTTAAAGAACCATTGAATTGAAGCCCTTGGGGGAGAAAGGATGTAAATGTATATATACGGCTCAATAACATGAATATTTAAGTATGCAACAAAGAGCGAGGGAAACAGAGAGAAAAGTTGGTAAAACTTTTAGACAACACAACTAACCACCGTATTAGGACTTAGGTGGACCGGCCAAAGCAAACGGCTTTGGCATAATGCATAATCATTTAAACAAGGATAAGCCTCGCTCAGGACGACCGCAAGTTGAGTCCTGCAGCCGGGCATTATGACACAACCTGCTGCAACCGAAGCCCGGGAAAATTCCTTTTATGGCCAATTTGAGCGGGAAAAGCTTGGCCCGCAGCTTAAAGCGAAGCGATAAGAACAAAGCAGCCGAAAAAAAGGTGAACTTCCCAAGGACTCTTTAAGCGCTCTCCTTGGAGTAAGAACATCCAGGTGAACCCTTATATATCCTCCTTTTTTTCTGGCCGAAACTTGCTATCCGATGTGTGGCTGTATTCCAATGCGGGTCCAATGCCCAGCGGTGCTATTTACACGAATATATTATCATTAATTTCAAATTATGAAAAAGTGGCGACGCAGTCAACGAGTTTGGGGCTTAGATAGCAAAGTGAAATGTAGGTAAGCCATAAAGGTTAACAGTTTTCGGGCTTTAATTCCAGGGACCGAAAATCATTTCTTTTTCTAAACCAAAACATTACGTACTATACTTAAGTAATTGAATTTATTATGTGGATACGTTATGTATAATCTTTCCAAATAGTTTTATTTTTTATGGTATTTGATAAGGCAGAGATTAAGGTAAATCCCTCGTTCAAACAAGATTAAGATTTTGGCGATATTCGTATTTTGCAGGAAATACATTTGTTCATAAAATAAAAAAAAAAATAAATAATTAATAAGATTAAGTATTAGGATATATTTTGGACCAATAAAAATGGTTCATAATATAATATAAATATTACTGATTGATTGATTTATAATCATTGTTTAAAATGAAAATGGAAATATAACAATATTAACATTATTATATTTTATAATTTATCTAATATTAAATTCTTTTTTATATTTCAGCTTGGTCGTGTTTTGCGTAACTTTAACATCACAAAGATTAGCGATCTGGAGCTGATATCGAACTCTTCCGACCGACTGGACATAACCTTCCACTTCTTTGGTGTCAAAGGGGACTCCCAGCGGATCCGGGATGCCATCACCAGGATGGTGGAACGCGGCAGGATTGGAAACTTCACTTTGGTGGCGAATTTCCATCACTTCGACGAGAATCCACCATTGGGTTTGCTGGTGAGTGGTTTTCCGGTGAAAGCAATAAGCCAGCCATAAAAGCATTAATCCATCTCTTTTTGACGTTTTTGCGTCGAAATTCTATGCGAAAAGCTATGTCCGAGATATTTGATTGGCTATTCGGCAAAAGGCATTTATTCCGACAAGCATTCGCACAAGATATCTATTGAAATTTTCCGGTTAGCCTGAATTTTCGCACAAATAAATTTTAAATTCGTCCCCGGCACTCTTTCACTTTTGCCATCTGGGCACATCCATCAATTCGGAGGCATTTCATCATTGATTTTTGCCGAATGGCGAATGGTATTTTCATTAATTCGCATCCGAGTTGGCCATCCTGGGCTATTAAAAAGCGCAATAAATATACTCTTGTCCGCATTACATAGATGCCACTCCTCCTCTCCATCCGATACATATTAAACAATAATTTATTAACTATTGAGGCACGTGCTGCAATGCCGAGCCAATAAAAGCAAATACAAAAAAAATAAAAATGGAGAGCAGAAGTAAAAAACAACAGAAAATGCGGTAATAGCCAATGTAGCAAAGTGCCGTGTTAATAAATATGCACATAAATATGTCAACAGTGTGGCACTTGACACTCGGACCGAGAAGCGAAAATAATTATTTATTAATTGCGGCCAGCCGGGCCGAACAATTGGCCTCATCAGCCGGCCAGCAATTAAGTGGCATTAACGTGACGAACAAGCCGCCGAAACCTCAGAGCTCCCCAGGTTTCCCGTTCAGGAAGTTTTGCGAGTGAAAACCCGGAACTCGAAACCCCGAAAACCCCGAATACCGTGACACTCCGTAACCCCGAAAACCCAACCACAACTGGCAGGAGTCTAATTAGCGCGGCATTGTCTCCCTTTTGCAGGAACTGAGCGTCAATCAACCGCAATCGGGAGTTCGCGAGGCCAGCGAGTTCATCATATCCTGCACCGCCCAGGGATCCTCCAGGATGCAGTTCCAGTGGTTCAAAGACGGCGCTTCGGTGAACGCCAGCAAGGCGACAAGGTGAGTGAACTGTCCTCTGGCCAAGTTTCCTGTGCCCAGCTGCTTATCTCCCACAAGCAGCTCCAATTGCAATGCCATAAACTTCGACCCCAACGGAATACGGAGTCCGGAATCCGGAATCCGGAATCCGAACTCCGTCGTCTGAAGTTTTAATAAAATAGTAGAAAATCAAAAGGAGAAAAAGGGAGAACAAGCTAACTTAGAAGTTTTTATACCCTTCCGGATACTAAAATTAAAATAGGAAAGAAAAATAAAAAAAAGATATTTCAAACTGTTATAAGTATTCAAATTTAAAAAGATATTTTATTTTATTCGATTTAGATAAAGTAACACAAAAACATCATAGGAAACTAAATTTATCCATGTTGATATTGAAACCTTTTTAATTTGAATGTTAATGTCAATTTTTTAAAATATAAGAACATCTTTTATATTTGATCCGGAAGTTTATAAGCCAGATGAATGAAAGAAATGTTACAAGATTATAATGGCATATGGCATATTTAGAACGATACAAACAGAGTGAATATCTAGCTTACTTTAAATTAGGAGTATACATTCTTTTTTGGTTCGGAAACTTCTCTTTTCCTGAGTTACAAATCTCAGACTATAGTTATAGTACCTCCCGAGAAAATATCGAAATATAGGGAAAATCTGTATCTTGGTCCAATGTCACAGTCGAGATGAGTTGTCCCCCGCGAGTCTGGCGGCACAAGTGTTCAATTTGACTTTATGACTTTTACACATCAATAAACATGACATAAAAATGCCTGGCAGAATAAAAATGAAACGGCCGAAAAGGATAAATAAGTCAGGGCGGAGATAAAGATTTGTCAGCCGTGGAACTGTAGGACTCTGCCATGACGCACTAGTCGGAGTCGGGGAGTCCAGAGAACCAGAGATTCCGAGGGTTTTGGGCCAGGCCGAAAGCTAAAAGCTAACCGCAGTGAGCCTAGCCAAATGATTGATCATAAATCCAACGGAGTGGGGCAGCCGGAAAACACATGTGTGGCCAGCACATACGAATGGCATTCCACCCCCGCAGGATCCGTGTCCTTTTCCAGATCCACTTGCATATGTGATGACTGTGTGTGTGCTACAGTAAGTGTGTGTGTGCTAGAGTGTGTGTGTTTTTGTTACATAAAAAGCATATGGCCGTAACTAACGAGGGGCTGTTACTTGGACGACTTGGCATGGGGTTATGAGGAGCTTAGCCCTTCTTCAATCCACCTCGCACCTCCCACCATCCACCCACCACCCACTTATCAAGCAACCACCCAGCAACTGGAATTGAAATGGGCGACCCACCATGTTGCCTTGACAATTCGCCTTGCAGCCGAGCCACAAAGCTCAAACTTTAAATGTGTTGCGTGAATGGGAAATGCGAGCAACGGCGGTCCTTGGAGTGTTTGGCTTAAATTAAGAGGGGGAGCTCGGCAGATTTTGCAGGTTGGTCGGTTGGTCGGTTGGTGGGACCCACAGCTGCCGATAGAATTCGCAATTCATTAACAAAAATTTAAGCGCCGGCAGGAATGCTTTCAGCATTCGCCAGAAAAGAATCTTTGGCAGCGGCATGTCACGAAGCGTTGCCAAAACTCTTTTTTTTTCAGCCTCGAATGCTTCCTCTCACTACATTTAATCCACGAGAATCATAATTTCTTTTATATAAAATGGTGTACCATTTGTTTTTATTTTCCTTATACGCAGAAAAATATTAAATATTTTACACTTTAAACCACAATTTAAGTTTTGCATAAAATAAATAAATAATAACAAGAAAGCAATAATAATTATAGAAGTATTTCGATAATCATATATCACAAAAACTTATTCTCAGTGGCTTTAATGCAGTCATCAAAATATTTTTCGAGTGTACGGAATGATCCCATCATTTTAAAAAGAGTTATTTTATCCGATAATAATAGGCAACAAATGTACACCATGATATATTTCAAAACGGAGAGCCAAAAGCTGCATTATATTCCTTTTATGTCATGTTTAGCACATTTAAATTTCAAAACCTTGTAAAATATGCTCTCTGCCCAACCACAAAATACATTACATGTTATTCAATCACCAGATAACGATCGAAATATTTTTATTTGATGTTCGAGTCCGGGATTGTTCATCCGTATATTACCTTTCAAATAAATAAATGAATGGCCCCTGCCCGCAAATCGATAACCGAATCTAATCCCGGACTTTTTGTTATCCTGTGAAGCCAACTATGCCAACTGGTAGAACAATTCGGACCCTTTCATGGCCCGGACTTATGATTACTTTTATGCATATTTGTACGCATCCCACATATATAGTACACATTGCGAGTCCTGTTTGCTGCAGGACCTCCACGTGGCTGGCTGCCAGCCCTCCGCTTTTTTCCCCGCCAACGTGGCCCACTTAGGAGCATTGATGTGTAAAAAATGACTGGCGTTCAAAGCCGCAAACACATGTTTTCTCCCCCAAAAACGAGGGGGCGGCAAGTATTAGTAAATATTTTAACTAAAGTGAAGTGAGCGAAGTCATTCATTTGGACATTTACCAACTTTGCATTATACAAACGACTACACATTAAATCCGTCCGATGACTTTACTTTTGCGTACTAAAATAACCGGAAGTAAGTCAATTTTTAATGCTTGATTTCACCGCAGGGAGCTGTTCACTTGGGGAAAAGTAATTTATTATCGGAACTGGGCAAATACTAGCCATCTCTTGATTAGTTTGCGCTGTGGCTGTTTGTAAACTGTTGTTAAGTTTGAACGGTTTGCATATGCAAGGTATCAAAAAATATGTTTATAATATCCAAAACTATCATAAAAACGTTATATTGTAATGCCTAAAAAATTGGTTAAACAAAGGATTGCTCTTTTTCAGTTTTTATCAGGCAAACATTAATATTTCCTCACCTTAAATTGACAATCAGAAAAAATGAACTTTCATTGTTTACATTATTGCTTTCAATATTTTTTTTAACGTAGTAAATTAACTTTAATTAATACTGATACAATGTTGATATTATCGTTTTATTTATTTAGTCTTTTTATTAAGCACATCCTAAATGGCATACTTTAAAATTCCCAAAACGAATCAAGTGTTTATTGTTCATTCCTGCCTAAATTACCCACTTTGGGAAACCTTTAACTGCGAATTCAGAGGCGTTCGACCGTTAATCTATTGGATTGCCAGCCGCCGAATTTTGACCCAGTTAGCAGATGTTTATCGGCCAAAACCATTCCCTGGCCATATAACCCACTTAATGAGTGCAATTATTTTCCAATCACGGCGCCAACGCATCCAAAGCCGCCTGCCAAGGAGCCCGCAAACTCCCGATCGACCAAATTGTGGCTTTGATTAACATTGCCATTCGAAGGCGCCGGGACACACATGTGTTAAATAATCTACGGCTGCCACCGGGACTCGGCCATTAATTGTGCCCCTAATCCTGTGTCCTTTTGCAATGTGGGTCGCAGGATTGCCGAGCGACAAGGTCGCCCTGCTGATTAAGTGCTACAACGCCACTAATGCCAATATTACAGATGTGGCTAAGCAAATACTTCCATTAAGCCATCCTCGATTGCCTGATTCAGCTACGATATCGAGTCACTTTCGCTTAATTGGTTTTCACTTCTCAAAGATTTTTCAATTCACTTTTTTAATATTTTATTACTTTTAACTTGCAAACGAACTTTTAAACAACTGAAAATTAACTTACGATGTTAAGTGATTTTACGCAGTAATACTTTTACTTCTCAAAAAATATTCAATACACTTTGATTAATTTTAGACAATTACTTGATCCTTACATTGAAGCAGCTAAAAATCATTTAAAATTTTAAGAAAACTGAAAATAATTAAGCCAGAATAATCGAATTTCACTTTTTAATCACTTTTTTCACCAGAGAATCCCTATATATTTTAAAATCCATAATTTTTGCTTACATTTAGCTTTTAAACAAACACCTTTAAGTCGAATAGTCAGAGATCAACTGAGCTGAAACCCAAGTCTTCTAACCCAGATCACCTTTCCTCACATTTTATTCATTTAACAAATAGCCACTAATTCCATAAGCAGGAGCTCGTTAAAATCAGCAAGTCTACAGCTCTGACGTCTTTTGCAACGATGTGTAAGGTTTTAGGTTTAAGTTTGCCTCCTCAGAAAACACACAGCTCGCAGCCAGCAAACCAATTGACCTTTTAAAGAGCCAACCCAAATTCGGGCTAATATTAGCTTAACCCTGAGCACTTGCGTAATCTATATTTGTCTCAGCGCTGTGAAGTGGAAGGGCTTGACTGCCTGTCAATGCAATTTCGAACCCTTTCCTCATCGCCGATCCCGATCCCACCGATTTTCGAGCCAAGAAAACGAGTCTTTGGCTTTGGGGCCAACGAAACTGTTGCAGTCACTTTTGGCCGGGCTTGGGAAAATTTGTCAAACTTGCTTAAAAGCCAAAGCAAAAATTCAATTTCAGCTGCCATGCAGCAGCAAGCAGCCAAATTGCCTGACCCCAGCACGAGACATAAGTAAAATATATTTCGTATATATTTTACAAATTGGCTCAACTCGGGGCAACAGTAGTATAAAATAGCAGCAACAAAGAGACAACAACTGTCTTGACAACGCAACGTTGTCTAGGACAATGGAATGCAGCCATCTATATACACTATATATATATATGGGATCCAATTCGAACGGAGGAGGCGGAGGTAGTCCTTCTGCACGTAAGGATTACACAAGAAACTCAATCCCAAGTCTTCAAGCCAATCAAAAATCTAGTTATTTACTGTTGCCATATTTTCATTCAAATTTATCATCTCCTATTTATCACATAATTTATTCAATTCTTCAATTTTTATTATAGCTGCAGAAAAATGTAACTACTAGATTTAAGTTTAAAAATGTTTATCATATTAAGTTTCTTTTTACTAATTTTCTAAAAATAGATTCTTCTATTCTGAATAAATTTTAAAAATCGGGATTCAAATCAAAATAAAATCAAAAACGCCATCAGAATGCATTCGAAAATTTTAAGTAATCTTATACCAATATTTTTTAATCTAAAATAATTATTAATGTTAAGAAACCATCTGTATTGTTCTTATTTTTTACTCTAAAATCCCAGTAGATTTTTATTCCAAGTGCATCCATTTTCGATGTGGGGGGTCACGATTTTCATTAGTTTCATTTGCCACAATGCGTCTGCCGCACTCGTCTCCTCGTCTCCTCGTCTCCTCGAATCCTCGAATCCTTTGGATCCTTGGATCCCTGCTCTGCTTTTCTGTTGCGGGGTGACAATGGCACAATTAGTGACACCATCGCCATTCCGCCATCGTCACTCCATTCCCCTCAAAATTTGGCATTATCTCATAACTGGCTAAACTCGCTGTGCAGTGTTTTCCTTGTCCTGTCTTGTCGCTTTTCCAATTCCGGCTCCTTGGCGCCGTTTGTGCAATAAAAGGACGAAACTTCAGCGGCTGATTGGAGCGCGTTGCCGGGAGGACGGGTATTGATCAAACTGTTTGGGTTCTCTTTGCAAGGCTGAGACCCACTTTCCCGGCAACGCGTGTCGCTCTGAAGGAATGCGGTACAGTAGGGCCACCTAATATTGAACTAAAAATGTTGAGGTTTTATTTAATAGAAATTAAAATTAAACTATTGATATCCCTACACAACCAACTTATTTTAAGCAAGTAGTCTACGCTAATAGGATATTAATTTCATCCTCAGAATAGCAATAACATTTTAACAAGATGCTAGTCGTCTTTAATCCTGTATTGCGTATTTATTTCCACAAGTTGATGCCTTCTCCTATTAAACTAATTTATATAAACCTGTCACTCTGTTTAGTAAAAATGAGAACATAAATTTACTCCAGATGGAAATCGAAAAAGTCCATTTATTTGATATATATTTCTGTTGGTAAACATAAAACGGCAGTTGAACTTCTAGATTTTCCACTGCATTTCTAAACGGCATTGAAGGTGGGGCGAAAATAGCTCAGTAGCAGTGGCATTAGTGCCAGGTACAGTTGTGTAGCTCCGAGCTGCGCCGATTTCCACATTTCCACATTTCCACACCCACTGCACTCAGTTAGCTTGTAAGAGTCGAACCGGGCGGAGGGCAACGGTTTTTTTGGCCAGCATAGCCAAAAATCAACACGCTTGCTCCGTGTCCAACGAACCGGAGTCCGTGAATCTCTAAGCGGATAGCCGGAGATCGAAGGAGGAAGGAAGGAGGAGCAGAAGGAGTAGCAGTCATGCCCATCCACTGGGACTGGGACTGGGAGCACGACCATGACCACGGCGGACACCACCACTGGCCACCGCGTCGTCATTGGTCCACCGGGGAGGTGAAGTGCCGCCAGAGGCACTACTACCTCTCCCACGATCTGGATGTCTGTGCCAGGGACTTCCATCTGCGGATGGACGACAGTGCCTGGTGTCACGGATCCTGTTTGGTGGGAAGAGTGGTGATCGAAACCGGAACCGAACCGGATTCCCTGGGGAGGGGAACCTTCAAGGTGGTCCTGGATGTCCACCACTTTCAGATCGGCGAACTCACAGTGAAGGCCAGGAATAGTGACACCGTCTGCGTGGAGGGCAAGCAATCGGATGACCGGGCGGAGAAGGGTCAGCTCTGCATCACCCGTGAGTTCACCAGATCCTACAAACTTCCGAGGCACTATGACGCCACCCAGGCGAGGGCCACCTTCTCCGCCGATGGAATCCTCATGATTACGGTGCCGGCACCTCCCAAATTGGACGACGTGGAGCGAGTGGTTGAGATCGAGCCCACGGGTAACTATTTCGGCAGTGTTTCCGATCCCACGGCCACCAAGGCCATCGAGCAGGGGGAAAAGGATGGCGAAGGAGGCGCAGATCCGGCCGAGATGGAGTTGGACAAATGAAGCCGGCGACGTCTGGCGGTTGCGCGGAGATTCCGATTTCTGTTGCCCAAATGGAAATGGAAACGGAAACCCAAATGCGTTTAGGCCGCCAGAGGCAGTCGATCGGTTGGAAAAAATGAAGAAAAACTAGGAAAATTTAACTGAGGAGATGGGTAAACTATTTCCCAGTCACCAGGCACTTGCACATTGGAGTACTTCCCCCAAAAAAATAGTTACTTGGATTGTTCTTTGGTCCCAACTTAGACAGCACGTAGATCCTCGTTCGAAACGTGAGCAAATATGGCGCAGTCAACATTGTTCTAGGGTTTTTCTTAAGATAGCTTCAATCTACATACATTAAAGAGTTGACAAACGCTTGTGATTTTGTTTAATGCCAATAAAGGACTTTATCAGAAAACAAAGAAAAATAACTTAGATTTCACTTGGAATAATCAAAGGTAAAAATAATTACAAGTCATAAATGTTTATTAAACTAGCTTTTATTGTTTGATGAACTAAATCTATTTAAAGTGCGAAAGCTTAAGAAATTCTGAATGGATAGATAGAAAAGATTCATTGTATGGAGCTCTTATTTAAAATACAATCCCACGCAAAATATTCAGCAGCTAATCGCCAAAACAATCCCAAATCAAGGATAAATCATGCCTCTGGGAAAAGCCCTGTTTGCTGGAAAATCCCAAGCGAATTGGATTTCTCGCTGCTCTTAACTTTCCTGTCACGCAGCGTTTGATTAGCGTCAAATTTGAATAAAATTCACTAACACCTTTTGTGTTTCTCTTTTCGGATCTGACACTCTGCCTTTTTCCTTGAGGCCATAAAAAGACAAAGAAAAAACCCAGCTAGTCAGCAAAAGAAATAAAGAAAAGACACAGGCATATGTATGTAGTTTGTTTATCGACCTAAAAAAATCCCAAAAAAAAAAACAATGGTGTGGCATGAAACAGCTGAGGGGAAAATGATATTAAATATACCCTTTTCCAAGAAAAAATTACGAAAATAACATAGATAGTATCATTGGGTGATAAAACAAAACCTGCGACAAACATTTGTAATTAATAGTATTGGGTTGTATTAAATGTAATGCTTGGAAAGTAATGCTTTGAAAATGGGAGCACTCTTTTTGAAGCATATTAAGTTGCAACATCTTTTACCCAGAAACGAACAAAAGCTTAAAAACTTTGGGTCGAGTGGCCTACAATATATAAAAGCCCAATCAGGCCTTCGGCCTTCTGCGAAATCGTGGGCCGGCTTTTCCCGTTTTTGATTTGCTTTTCGTCCCTTGCAATTTAGCTGTTGAGACACGTTTTCTTGTTACGATTGTAATGAAATTTGCTACATCTTGAAGTGAATTGTTGCAGGCCGCAGCCGGGCTGAAAAAAAAAGAAAAACCAAAAAAAAAAAAACAGAAAACAAAACAAAACGTTTGCCACCGAACGATGGGACAACGAGGTCGCGTACTTTGTCATCGTTTTGTTTTTATGCGTAGTTGCGTTTAATAAAGTTTTTATATGGTCCTCGTTCTCCGGACGGATGGACTGACTGCCTTATTTCTAATCAAGTTACGGTTGCCGGATTGCCGCCTGCAGCTTTAAGATATTGGACGGAACGGGGATATATATTCATATTTACGAGCTTGGCCAAGGACGGCGATAAAATATTCAGCAGAAAAGTAACTTCACAATTTCAATTTTCCCCTGTTATTTGGTGACGGGGACAAACCAAAATAACACAACGATAATAAACACCTACACACCAATTTTATGAACTCATAAAACACTCCGATGGAATCGTATTTTATATATATATGGTGGTATATATACAGAGAGTGCGTATGCTTGTGTTTAAATAACTGAGCCGTAGGCTTTGCCCATAAAAAGTCCATATGCACCTCTTCCGCTTTTGGGACCTAGAAAAACATTGAATATTTCTATGGGCCATTCGCAATGTTGTTTTATTATTTGCTGGCCGCAACTCAGTGGAAATCGGAATGCGGGCCGCAACTAATTTTTTATGGCCTTTCGATCGATTGTGGGGCGAATTGAATGTTTTTGCTGCGAACTTTTCAATCGGCCTGTAATCATGGGTCCCCGGGGAGTCGCAACTTATGAGCGATGCAATGTGTGAAGGCCGCGACACCTTATTACGCAAATTGATGCGACATCAGACGCATTTCGAGCACAAAGGGTGGGGCCTCCAGAGGGAGGCAGTTTAGCAACGTTTTTCCCGCCCAGTCGACCTTCTTAATTGACGATATTTATGGCAGAGATGCGGGGGAAATGCCTACAAACTTTATTACAAAAATTAAAATTCCTTGGTAACCATTTATTATGGAATAATGTAGTAACAAGGATTGATTTTTTAATTATTTTATATTATTTTATAATTAATTAACCTTCCATGGATTGTTTTTAGTGTCAGGGTCGTATACGTAATATTTTATACGTAATATTTATCAAGTATGCGTTAATCACTGGAGTGACATATAAACATGTTTTCGCAGGATCATATTTTTTATGACACGTTTTCCTTAGCAATTTTTTTATATTTTAAAATCATAGTGCACTTAAAAGCTTACTGCTTTCATTTTAAAGTTATTAATTTTAAAGATAACGAGCAGATAAAGTTAAATTTCAAATTAATGTAAATATTTCCCCCAAAATGGGAACTGAAATAGAGCTAAGGCAACATTCCTGTGTGGAAAAGCCGTGATGTCTGAGCATGTCCAACAGAGTTTCGCTGACATCGTAAGACTTCGCCGCCAGAGTGGACGTAATTGCTCCATTGAACTTTACAGCCAATGAGTTGTTATGAGTTGTTTGACCAGCAACCAGAGCAGCGAGCGGCTCAAATGAAGCGCAGATTTGGATTGCCCCGTCATGAACTCGCATCCTGCATCCTGTGAGCTGGCTGCAGGGCTGCAGTTGTATTTACAGGACTCGCACACAGACACGCACGCCTACGCAAAAGGCATTTTGCGGGCCATTTGTAGCGCGTGCAATTCCGGCAGAAAGGATTGGGATTGGGAGGGGGATCAGAAGGGAAAGCAGATGGGAAAGGGGATGGAAAACGGAGTGGGGATTTCCGCGGGGATTGCGGAGTGGCAAATGCATTTTGCAACCGCAGCCAGAACATTTCTGCCTCTGCCTCTGGAGTGGCAGGAGCAAATGCAGTTGCCGGAGATGGCTACGTGAGGGAAATCGCATTGGGAAAATGCATCATTAACAAGAAACGAGACCCGTCGACCTTGGGGACCGAAATCCGAAATACCCTTGTAATCCAATTTAGGATGCAGTTGTATCGGAAAGGATTCTCTGGGAAATAATGAGCACTCTTGGAAACAAGTTCTAACATCTGAATATTGATTTATAGGAAAGGCACTAAAAATCACGTTCAATCAAATGATGACTAAATTTTCAGTACCTTTTTGCATAGCAAAACTATTTAGGTTTTTCCCTGAAATCATGGGTTTCTTAACCATTAAGCAATACTATTAGTAAAAATGTATCTATTCCTAAACAGTTTTTTAAATGACTTTAAATTACCTTTTAAAACCAAACTATTAAATTCAAAGGAAAATATTTATTGTTACCTAAACACTTAATACGACTACACAATTTGGCATAAGTCATAAAAAGTGTTACGCTTTATATTTAAATATAACCCTATACCTATTCTTTTTTAAAACACTTTATTTTCCGACTCGCGTAAACTAATTCCAACCGCCTATTCTCGAACAAGCTACCATTCGCGAAAGACTTTAAGGATATTTGACACACAGCTTAAGGGATAAACCCTCGTATAAATACACATATTAAGGATGCGGATGTGCTCCGATTGTAGCAGAATCCCATTCGGCTTTAGTGTACCCCTTTGGAGGGCATCGAATTGGGCACACACCATGAAGCGGATCGAATGGGCTCCAGCCACAAACGACCCAAAACGAATAATGTTCAGCTGTTTCGAACTGATATTAGATCGCTGCCAATAAAGGAGAGAAAAATCTGGAAGCTCCTTTTTGGACATCACGAACGCATCGCTGAGGTCCTGTTTGTGCGGTGCCTAATCTTTGGTCCTGCGATGCCGTTGCATCTGTAGTTGTTGCAGCTGCATCTGTAGTTCCAGTTGTTGCATCTGTTGTTGTAGTTGTTGCTGCTGTAGTTTGTATTGTTGCTGCTGCAGTTGTTGCTGCTGGGGAATGCAGTGGCATTAGTGGAGTTGCTGCGGCTTAGCCGGCTTGCTGGACATCCAGGACCCTCCGATGTCAATCCTGCCTGGTCCCATTTGCTGTAAGCGGAACAGGTCCTGGGGACCCTTTGCTGTTTTTGCGGTTCTTGTTTGCGATTCGGCGAGGAGGTATTTAGTAGGCTTTTTGTTGTTGCTGCCGCAGCTAATGTTGCTGCTGCTCATGTTGCTGTTGCTGCTGTTGTTGCTGTTGCTGCTGCTGCATTTAAGCGTTACGCACTTCCTGCTGGGAATGTTATTACTTCCGCTGCCATTTAATTGATTTCGAAGGTGACTGTTTGGCGGTCTCAAGGGGAAAGCGGACGGGTTCTTCCGCTCACCCCGAGCCATTAGTAAATTGTGGGCTAAGTGTTCTTTGCATGCCAAAGCCCCAAAAGCCAAGCCAAGTCATGCAGCCCGCCATTGAAAACGCATTTTTAGACGTAACACCTGTAAATAGCTTTTGGCGAAGTGGGTGGTTGGGTGGTTGGGTGGGTGGTTGTGCGGTTAAGGAGCCTACCTACATTCAAGCCACCGCACTGCGAAAAGTGCGGTTTTCGGGCACTTTTTCGAGGCTTCCCTAGTTGTTGTTACTGTTTTTGTTGTTGTTGCTGCCTTGTGACGTCAGCGCTATCCATGCGTAAAAGTTATTAGTGAAATGCACTCACCTGGCGGAAGGAAAAGGAGCTGGAAACAGGGAATCCGGGGCAAAAAAGGGTGCAGGATGCAGGATGCAGATGTTTGTTGGCCACGAAAACCTCAAACAGCACTTAAGTTGTTGCCAGCTGGAAGGTTTTTGGTTTTCGGCTTTCGGTTTTCGGTTTTGCTTTACTCAGGTGCAAACAGCGATTTTCCCCGCCTTTCCCCATTCGCTTTTCCTTCGAGGATTGCGAGGAACACCCTGGGAGATCCTTAATAGGCTTAGCATACATTTTAGACAGCATTTGCACAACTTTTGCCGCTGACGAACGGAATTTAAATTCGCAATTACCAGATTCCACATCGCTTGTCACAGACAGACACGAGAAATTGCGACGATGAGTAATTGCACTGTGCGTTTATAATTTCAGTCATCAAATTTAAGCCAGGCGGAATCGCAGTTAAGAATGTGAGTGAAAGTTCTCCCCCACTTTAGCCTGTGATTGATTCCAGTTAACAGAGAGTTGCAGACTCCCGCGGCAGATGATCCACATAAATCCAGACCGGAACCATAAGTACACATGTCTGCCATTCGTTCGTTCATCGACCTATTTATCCACGAAACCAAAAACTATTTACAATTTTAGCAACAATACGTTGCCGACACCGCCGCCGCCGAAAAACCATTTCAAAATGAAACATTTGCCCGCTAATTGACTTCGAACCGCAGCATCCGCGATTGTTTCCCCATTAGCTATGATTTCTTTCGCCCAGGATGGGTTTTTGGCCGTTGGGTTATGGTTTTCGGGTTACGGGGTTTGTGGGGTTTAAGGGGGAATGGAATGTGATAAGTGAGCTGCTATTAGTGTGTCAATTAGCGGGCTTGCTGCATATGATCCAGTTCACTTGGCTCCGTGTTTCGGGCTCCATGGAATATTGCGAATAGCTTTTGGTTGAAAGTTGGCTGCCCGAAGCGTGAGAATTAATGCATGACTGGCACTGTGCGAATCTGTTTCAAGTACTCGCGGAAACCGAAAGTGGAGTGCTAATTAGCATGACTAACCGACGCTTTCATCTGTGCTCTGTTTTCTCCCTTCGTTTCAGGGAAATCTGGACCACGGTCCTACCGCCCGAGACCAAAGATGTCTACACCGCCATTCTGGGAGTTACCAAAGCGAGTCGAATCGACGAGGGCGTCTACAGCTGTAAGGTAAGTTGTCATAGCCTGATCTTATTATTCAGTCGGACCGAAAATTAAATTAGGATAGATAGATAGATAGAACCCTCTAAGGAAGTTCGAAAAAAGTATCTAAGCCAGGGAAGAAGTCTAGTTATTTCAGTGAAGGTTTTATTTATTATAAAAAGCTGCATCTCCGTTTTTATAAATTATTCAATTTTAAAAACGAAAAGAACTAATCGCAGATTAAATTAACTGTTAAACAGAAGATAAAAAAAATTTTTAAAATTTTTACAATTTTTGCAAAAAATATTCAATATAATTCAAAAAATTAATTCAAAACAAAAAAAGTTGTAGGAAGTTTAGTTAAAATTCAAAAAAAAATTTCAAATACCATTTATTTTTCAAATAATGGATTACTTTTCACTTGACCTATTATAACCATTTACAAAGTTGTTCTTTAAATGAAAGGATGCACCATATATAAATATTTTCAAATATATATTTAAATTCAATTAAGACCTTTATACTAATTAAAAAATTTGCATAGACTTTTAACTGCAGTTTAATACACTTGACATTTTTTTGAACCTTGGCTAAGTCTGTCATTTTCTCAGAGTCTAATTTTGGTCCGCTGCTTATTAACAGATTAATTTGCTCCAAAAGCCAAACACAAAACGCATCTGTTTCTATTTGACTTACATTTCTATTCAATTCTGAAAATAGAACATCGTTTCGACGCGCACACTTCAAAGTGTTTAAACTTTTTATGTTAATCTAAGCTGATGATCTGGTAATTCCACTCGGGCCTTTGGTTTTTCTAATGATTTCGGTTCCCCGGGCACTTTCAGGCTCTGGCAGACACCCCGTAATATTTTCAGCTGACTAATCAGTCTAATTGCCATATCATAGCGCCGCAGAGCTATTCCGACTGTTCGCATTCGTTCGGATCCGTTGGATCCGTCTGGGAAACCCCCCTGAAGGCCACATAATTACATTTGGCTTTGCTGCGTTCTGTTCACGGCTCTGTTCTTCATTTTCGCTATAACGTTGCTTTTAATTAGACTAATTAAAATATGGTAGACCGGCCTGGATGCCATGGAAGGGAAAGGAGTGACGGACGGGACAGGCAGGGCTTTCCCAGTCGAGGAATGTGGGCTTCCATTGCACTTGAACGGTCTTTCTCAGGGGCCAATTAAATTTTAATCTATGGTATTAAACATTCTTTTGACTGCGGTTTCCGGGGATGGATTTACGGATGCCCGAAAGATGATTTTAAGCCTAAACGCAGCTTAGGTTTAGAAAGGCCAACAGCAGCAGCAGCAGCAGCAGCACTAAATAAGAGTTTTAAATTGTTCCGGACCATTAGACCCGAAAAAAACTGCTCGGGACTTCCTGCAATCCTGGGTGGGTCCCTTCTTTATGGCTTAGGTAATAACATATTACGCAAATGGCTTGTAAAAAATATTGGCCGGCAGTGAAGAGGAGGCCACGTGAAAAGTTTCCCAAGGAAAGTTACCCCGCCAAGTACGTGGACACTCGACCAAGGGAATTTTCCTGCCCGGGAAGTTAGTTATAAATCAAAAGGTAATTTGATTGCCTGCTCACGGGAGATTGTAATAAAATGTTTACGTTTGTGTGTGCCTATAAATCAAATTCCGAATTCCGAATTCGGAATTGTTGCAAACTCAATTGAACTTTGACATTAGCATAATGGTTTTTGATTTAGCCAGCCGCCGAGTCTTTTGCATTATTTCAGCGAGATTAAAGGAGGCCAACACTTTAATTCCGCAACTTGGGGGAGTTGCAGCCACAAAAGGCGGCAGCATCTGTTGCACCGCGTTCCTTGGGGGAGCCATTGTATTTAGTGCCCGGTCCGAGGCTCTCCAAAGGGGATTTCGTTAGGTTCTTTATGTGCGGGGGAAAAGCCGAGCAGTTTTTAGTTGGTTTCGCTTTGCTTTCGCTTTTCTTTTCCTTTGGCTTTGGCGCTTTGTGCCTTTGGCGCGCCTCGTGCCGTTCACTTATTATTGTCGCTGGTGCCTCGTAATGACGCAGCCAGATCAAAGGCAGGATGCCGGGGAAAAACAGGACATTTCGGGACATCGGGGGAATGTGGAAGAAGGAGAGGGTGGCTGGGCGAAACGCTTAGCAGCTGCAACAATGGCAGCGATAATCAGGAGGGCCGGTCCGCACAGCTCCTTGGTCCCCGAAGGTCGATTGTGGCCACGTCTCGCAGCTGTTTGCTAAAAACTCAAGAGCTCGAAATCCTTTTCAATAACACGGCCTCGAGGTCCAGACCAAGTCAATAGAAAGGCTGGGGACTGCATGTCCACGTCCACGTCCATAATTTGTAACACACAAAAACAAACAAACAGGGAAAGCCATTGCGTACATTTCTAATGGGGGGCGTGTGCTTCGGCGCATTTATTATTTATGTATTGATATTAAGTATACGCCCTGTTGCAATTAATTCATTTGCCTTTGGGGAAAACGAACGGCGTCCCGGGTCCATTACGTGCACAATGGCCCAGAGCGGTGCTGTCTTTAACTCGCCTGCATTAGCCCCACTTCTTGAGCCGCTCCAGATTCTGCCGGGCACGACCGGCGCCTAAGTGTTCTCCTGATTAAGGGACTCAAGGACGAAGGCTGCCACGGCACCGTCAGCATTATCCAGCCACTTATAACTTTCGCAAGGCAACATTTATTCTGCCAGGTCCTGAAACACTGGGCAAGAAAATTCGACTTGGAATGGTTAAGGTTTAAGCAAACTAACATTTCAACATAAGCCTTATGATTGAAGAGTTCTTCAAGAAAAATGTAAAATGTAAAACGTAAAATGTATAAGGAATGGTTTGAAAGAAATAAAATTCTTACACTTAAATAATATAAAACTTTAATTAGAAAGGTCAGTTATGTCGCAAGGTTAAATACTTTTGAGCTGGTAAAACACCAAGCATACTAGTTTTTTTTAAATAAACAAAAACTACTTAGTCTAAATATATATCGTTCATAGCATGGCGAGCTAAACCAAAAGCTCTGTTGTGTAGTGTATTTTTTAAAACCCCAAGCGTTTAGAGCAATAAAAATTAACCCAGTTTTTGCCTTTCGTTATTAAATTGTTAAGCCACAAGATTATTTAAAAGTGCGTGTGCCTCTGAATAGCTCATTATATGAACTAATAATTTGCTTGATATGATGTTATGATGCCTCGAGCGAGAGGCTAAAAAATTTCCTCTGGTTAAAAAACTCCAAGTAAGTTATCGATTCAGTTACAACTTCCTTAAAGCTTTACAAAGTTCAAAAAGGTCATACAATTATCAAGCATTAACAACAACGAAAGTCAAACCGCTTTCTGGTTTTCGTGGTTTAATTTCTAAACCTCAATATTGTCAATTTCCATTAGCCTAATAAATGCGAGTGCCCTCGGAACAACCTATTTTATGAACTATTAATTCCGCTGAAGTGCTGTCCATTGATCGAGAATTCGGGCCAAGAGTAAGTGCCCTGGCCAAATGCTCAGCCATTTCCGGGCACAGTGTGTTGTTTAACGACTTGGCCTGTTAATGAGACGCGACTTATCCGGGGCCAATAAAATACCATTCGGCTATAAAAGCGCTCTCCTCGGTGGCAAAGTTTTGCAGTCGGACGACGTCGCAGCTTAATGAGTTAATTGGCATTTGGATTTTGTGGCCGGCAAAGATTTGTCGACGTTGCAGAGTCGTAAATGGCACTACAAAGCCAACGGACAATTTCCCGATTCCTTGGAATGGCAAAAAAAAAAGAACAATTTAAAGCCGGCGTTGCTATAAAAAAGCAACTAACCTTTGGCTTACACTAAGAGCGTTTCGCTGTCTATTAAATATTTCCGGATCGACTGAGGCCAAGAGCCCGCGGGTGAGAAATCAGACGGGGAGGCTGGATAATCCAGACAGACAAGTGGGATACCTTCGCGGCGGGCACAATGATGCCGCCGCCCTCGTTAGTTGTATCATATTCCATTGCTTTTTCCTTTTTAAATTTGAAACGGAAGTTTCCCGAGCATCTGGCAGACTTGTGCCCATCATCATCGTCATCATCACCGTCATCATCATCAGCATCATCATCGCTGACGAGATGGTAACGTCTAGGTTTGTCGCCGTGACCCCACAAGCACTGCACTTGCAAAAAATATAAAGATCAGAACCAAATAAGAATCTTAAATTTAGATAGAGCATAGAGTGAAGGTTTTCCCCTAAAGTCAAATAATAATTAAAGTACTTACAGTCCTTAATAGAAGTATTATTATACAACCCTTTTTCAAATTTCCAAAAAATGAGATTGCTGAAAATTCACTAAAGTTCATCAATTCTAAACCCATAAATTTTCTAATTTTAAACAGAGTTTGAAGTAGCGTACCTCTAAATGTTCGTTAACAAACTGCATCATTTGAAATTTTTTTATTTTTGGCCGATTCAAAATTTCCAAAAAATGGTTTTGCTGAAAATTGACAAAATTAGACTAATTCTAAGTTCATAACTTTTCTAATTTTAATCAGATTTTAAAATGGCATACCTCTAAAAGTAAATTGTATCTAAATTCTCTTACGAACTGCATCAAGAGTTTTTATTTAGCCTTTATGCATTTTGCTGTAAATTTGTGATGTTAATAATGTTGAGAGTATAGAAGCTTCGGCTCACCTTCTTTTTTTTTTTTTTTGTTGAAAATTATACAAATCACCAACAACTACTACACGTTAAAACTGGAAAAAAGTATGTCAAAACTGTCTTCAAAAATTACAGTAGTGATAAATTATTATAAATGTTAAAGCATTCTGTTGAAGTTTTTTTTGCGAGTGTGCAACCCGATGCTTTCCCACTGGAGGAATGTGCAACAAGGGCTGCTTCAACAAAGCAAGTTTACAATTCGTTTGCTTCGCAGCCGCGTGGAAATAAATAAATGCAGAGGTTGGCTTGAACCCTGGACGGGTGGGCCAAGCGAAGGCTTAAAGTAGCAATCGCCTCTTGGCCGAGCAAGTGGTCGTAAATACTCAGGATCGTGTGTGGACTGAAGAGTCCTTGGGAGCCAGCAAGGATTTCACTGGACATCGTCTGACTAACCGTTCGAGTGTGCCTAGGCAAATACTAATCCCGGCTCAATGCCTCATTTCGTTACGACAAATACTCGTATATTTTGCCATTCCGTTCGGGTAGTTAAGCCTTTAAATTACATGCTCATAAACAAATACAAGGACCTCAACGGTCAACGAGATTTGCCGTTTGATCTATGACTGCACATCACATATCACATATCACATTGGCCCCAAGTCAAATGGGCAAACGCAAACTGAGTCAAAATCAGGGCTCGTCAAATCCAATCAGCACACAATGAAGTCTGGCTGATGACTGGCAAATAAGTCTATTAAACAAATCCCCGGGTGACAGCCCTCGAACAGAGAACAGAGAACAGAGCTCCAGAGCTGGCCGCAATTGTTTCCCTTGTCCGGAGCCGAGTTGCATGAAAAGGACATCGCCAGTGGCCGACCGCCAGGATGTGTGCTCTGCTCTCGGACAGCCGGACAAGGCTGTTGATGTTTGGCCACTCAGCCCTCAAGTTATCGGGTCGCCAACGCTGTTGGCAATCAATGCACTTACAGCCGGGGTGGAAATGGTAGCGCAATTTGATATAATTTTAATTGCTAAACTTCCTTTTAAACATACAAAAATAAACCATTAATTCAATCATATTTAAAACCAGAAATTTTAGACACTGAGTAAAAAGTTAACTTTTCAGTTATTAACTAAAATATTTTATCTGATTTAAGCTCGAAACTACATTCTTTTTTTAAAGTTATATGCGAAATAAATGAGTAAACACATTTTAAAGAAAGAAGAACAATATTCCAAAGATCTTGGTTTAAATGTTTAGTACTTAAATTTACCATTAAGGATCAAAAAGTTAGCTGTTGAAACAAAATAGGTGTTAAATACTTGTTGCTTTCAATAATGCAATTTTTAGAATATAATTTTTTGAGTTCTTCTATGTCTTGAATGCTGATCATATACATAAAACGTTTTTAAATACTTGTATTTCTGTTTTTAATTTAAGATCCACAAATAAATTTTGCAGTATAGAATTTAGTAGTTGTTTGCTTAAATTAAGAGTGAGTGGTTTTTTCTTTGGACCCCGACTGTGTGTGTACCTCTGTTGATATGAGTCATCAAAACGCATGGCATTGCAGTCTGCCGCTGGCAGGCGATTCTAGTGGCCAGACCCTTTGACTGGACTTTATTTAATGAGCCCGACTGACCACTGCCTCTCCTTTTACGCCTCCTCCGTTTCCCACAGGTCACCGATTGGGGCGTGGAGCAGTGTCGCTCCCTCCACATCCACATCAAGTCTCCGCCCCGTCTGCGCGTGGATCCTGCGAGTGTGACTCTCCAGCGGGGGGACTCCCTGCGGGTGCGGTGTCTCTCGCCTGGGAACGATGACATCAAGCGGTACGCCCAGCTCGGCTATAGTTGGACAAGGAACGGGATCCTGTTCCAGTCGGATGCGGCCACCGCCATGTGGGAGGACCTGTATCCCGACGGCAGCATCCTGAAAATCAACAACATCCAGAAGTCGGCGGAGTACGCCTGCCTCGTTTCGAACAGTGTGCGTCCCGTGTCCCGGAGTGTCTACATCAATGTCATCGAGCGGAATGCCGTGCACGTCTGTCCGGCGGAGTCCACCTACGGAGTCCACTGGCCCACCAGTGCGCCGGGAGCACCCATCATCACCGATTGTCCGCGGGGATTCGAGGGACATCTGCGTCGCATTTGCGAGCAGAGGGACACTGGCAACTCCACCTGGCTCCTCCCCGATTTCTCGGGTTGTGTGAGGGACGAACTGCTGCTCATCTACAATCGATTTCTGGCCCTGAGTGCCGGGTTCCAGCAGACGAACTCCTCGAACATCCTGAAGGCCTGCTTCGACTTTACTCTCCAGAGACGACATAGCTTTCTGCCCGGCGAGGCCAGTTTCCTCATCGATATGCTGCACGAGGTAAGGATGGGGAAGCTTGTATAGAAATCTCTTTTTTTACAGCTTTTTGAATTTTTACATTTAAATAAATATACATACATTCCTCTAAACATACCTCAAACATCCATCATTCTTTAAATATTTTTAAACTAAAACTACAAAATTGATTGCAAAACAAAACGATGAATTCATCAGTATTTAAATAAGATAAATTAATAAATTAGATTAAGTTACCTTTCCTATTTTCTCATCGTTGGTTTAACAATTTGATTTTAAGTAAGATAAATTGATTTGTCAGTCTGTCTGTTTCAGAAATTTGTCTTAAAATTGTTTACTGAAGCACAGTTTAGTTTCTTAGTAATACAACTAATAACAAGATATTTAATTTTGCCACAGACAAATTCTCTCTTTAAAAATAATTTCTTTATGTAAATATTTACGGGTATTTATTCAATAAGTGTCCAATAACCAGCTCCCCAGATTGGCAAACCAACGCTATAACCAAAATCACCGCCAGCAAGTTGGGTAGAAGTGTAAAAGCCACCAGGGGGGCGGCAATAACATTACGAAAATGTGACAGATTTGGTCAAATTGGCCTAATCAAAATCGGAATTGCAATTCCCCTTTGCGGCGCAATATCTTGTTGCCGCAGACAAATTCCGAGCTCCGTTTTGAGGCATTTGTCCGTTTTGGCCAGGCCCTTAACACGTTTAAGCCGGTTTTCGGTTCGGTGTTCCACCTGGATGCCCGGATGCCCAAATGCCAGACACTTTGAGGAGACGGAGAAACTATTTTTACACGCAAATGAATGCAGGAGCTGGCGAGCCGGGCGGCCTGCCATTTTTCACACAATTTTCGGTTGGCCCAAGTGCAGTCAAAGAAAAGTTCCTCCGACTTTTGGGGTCGCCTAGCAACAATTTTTCATTTTAATGCGCACACAAATTTCCCGGCTAACGAATTGCTGCCGTGCGAAGTCGAAAGAGGAGCTTATGCTTCGTTTTCTTATTTATTTTCAACCATTTTCGGGTGGAGTCTGAAAATCTTTCGGGTACTTGAGAGAGGTACTTGTACTCAAGCGTGTTTCCTTGGCCATTTTCACAGCTCGACACCTACCTGCAATTGAAAGGCACACAACTGGAGCGCGAGATGGCCGCGGAGATAATACTGCGGATCCTGGATAAAGTCATGCAGAATGCCCAATCCCTGAACAGTCAACAGGTGAGTATTTGCTACGAAAAACAGGAGGAGAGTCCTCCTTTCGGCTGCAATTGGGCATAAATTATGGCGAGTCTGCTCGCACTTCCATATGAAGTGTGGAACGCCATAATTTATACCCTGCAGCCATATTCAATATTTGCCAGACGGGTTTTCCGACCCATTCGGGGATTTATTGCCCCCCAAAAAAACACACACACAAACACACTCGGTTAGCATTGAACTAGAGCAAAGTTGGGGATTTTTCCGGGGCTTTTATTTAGCTTGTAGTTGGCCTGTCACTGGGCGTTGGCAATCTGCATACCAACTCGTACATTTGTCTCCCCGATTCGTGTTCGGATTTCCAAAGCAGCCGGTGAATTGATGAGCCTGCCGTTCGTTCGTTCCCTGGTAATGAATACCTTTTTCGATATGCATGAGGTTGTGCGATTTTTGGTTTGGTTTGTCTGTGGCTTCCCACAGGTGAATTATGTGATTTCCTGTGCCGACAAGTTCCCTGCTGCTGCTTCCTCCTCCTGATTTTACTGCAGTGATAATTGTTTGGACCCCTGAAGGATTAAAAATCAAAGAAGCCAAAGAGGGTTCTTCCTCCTCTGAAAAGCCTATTTACGCTCCATTTAGCAGAAGAGCTAATAGAGAAGGCACCTTTTTCGTTAAGAGTGAGCCCGAAAAGAAGAAGCTGCTAATGAGGGGCAATCAAACAATTTAACCGCGACCCTCCTGCTTCCCCTCCTGCGACAGGACAATAAGGATAACCACTTCCTTATCACCTGGCAAAAAGGCAGACACTTTTGGCCAATCTACAGCCTCGAAAACGGCGGTGAAAAGTGCGTTACCTTACTTTTTTTTTTGAGCCAGCACAATGTGTATCCCCGTCTGAGATTGTGGTTTCCATTGTTTCCGACTCAACGGAGGACTTCAAGGACGAAGGACGAAGGACTCAGGACGCAGGACGAGGGTTTGTCTCCGCGCCTCATGTATTATTCCGTGGGCAAATTTTGCGTACGCCAAGTGCGGCATAAAAGTGAAGGAGAAGGACTTCAGGATAAGGCTGAAATTTTGGTATGCAAATTTATGAGAGTGTTGATTGCAACTGTTTGAATATGGCACCTCCCTGCTTCAAGGACCTGTCGCGCCATAAGGATAATTGGAGAGCTCCTTCGGACACCTCCAGCATAATCTATTAGCCAACTGAGTGGGTCCTTAATAAGCAAGTTTTCCCCTCCACTTTTCGGTGGCCTCCGTTTGCTGAGCTTAGCTCATAGTTACCGGGAAAACTAAAGAAAAGCGAGGAGACGTTAAAAACTTTTTAATGCGTATAAATTAATTTAGTTTCGCGGGAGTTCAGCTGAGTTATGGCATTTCAATATAATGCGCCGCCATGTGAGTTCCGAAAGTCGCTCCCAATCGAGCAATTTATGTTAAATTTTTATTAGCTGACGCAATCGGCAAAAAACTTGCCAGCATAATTGGGTCGATTAAAAAGCGTTGGCATTCGGCGAACTTTTGCTGAAGTTGGGCAAATAGTTCGCATCGCTTTTATTGAGTGAGCGAAAAGTTTAATGGAGTGAGTCGAATCGCCCAGCAAGTTTATCGCATTTCTCGCGAGCAATCAAGTTTAATTAGTGGATCGCGGCGATTCGCGCAAAATCCGTGAAAGTAATCAGCCGTACGCCAAATTCCAAGGCCGTCAACATTTACGGCGGCCAAAATGGCCCAAAGTCAAATGGGAAAGTTTTTAAAGTTGAAGTTTTAACGCCATTTAAAGCTAGCCAAATAAATTGCCATTTTTAATATGCAACCAGCTTTAAAAGCCTCTTCAATATGTTGATAGATAATAATAATCCCGAATGGATTTTATTATGATATCATTTCATTTGGTCAAAACCAATTTTAATTCGAGCCCAGTGAACCGAATGTCAAACCGATCGATCCGAGTGGACAGACTTGCCTCCATTTGTGGCTTTTGTGGAAATGGCAATTGAAAAAGTTTTTGCGGATGGAAAACTGCTCATTTTTTGTGAATGTTTGAAAGGCGAACGAAGCCGAAAAAGTTGATTAAAACACTTGTGCCAGCGAGGTTAGGATTTGCATAAGTTTCGCCATTGACCGGCAAAGTTAACTGACCCACTTTGAATTAAATACAAATATATATTTTGTCAGGTTGCAAGTTCTGCTGATTCTGATTCGATCGCCGGATGCTGGAAAAAGCGCTTCCCATTCAAATCAAATCACGACGAATCACTTAGCCGAAAAGTATTCGCTGCAAACGTGACCCTAAGTTACAACCTTAACTTTGCAGTTCGGCCAAAAAGTTTTTCGCTCACATGGCCACGCCTCTTTTTGGGGGAAAGGAAAAGGTTTTGGCCAAGTGATTTGCCGGTAAACTGCTAAACGTGGCTAGGTCGAAAGTCAAGTGAAATTTGCACATGGAAAAACTTTTTGCAGGCAATCCCTCCTCCGTTTTCCCCGCGATTTTCCCTTTTCATTTTCGAGAGTTTCTTTTCAGCGCCTTTTAAAGAAATCATACGACTGCCACACATTTGAATAGGCTTCGGATTCGGATGCGGATTCGTGGGCGTGGCACAACCAAAGCTTAATGTTCTGATGATGCTGAAGTTTTTGATTTCAGTAAGGCAAACAAAAAATGGAAAAAAAGTTCCATTACACAAACTTTTCCAATTCGAATTGTTTTCGCTTTCGATTAGTTGGCCCGAACATTTATGCACGAGTTCAGCAGCATGTTTGTATCTTATGTAAGAATACAAATGCGTCGAGTCCGATGTGATTTTTGATTTGTGCAGGAAATACTGCCGAGTAACCAAATGCCGGAGTGGACTTCTCCGGCATCCGAACGCTCAGTTCGCCCGAGAGTTTTGCATTATAAATTGCGAAATTCAAAATCCCCTTACATCAAAAATAAAGCGAGGAAAAGGCAGAGAGGAAGTGGAGCCATTGTAATGGCTTTCGTATTACAAATTGCGAAAATCGAACGAAAATCGTTATAGTTTTTGGGCCCTGCTTATTGGCCGAGGTTTATGGCTTTGCAACTCCACTCGAGAACGTAGCAATTTATGAGTGCATTTTTATGGCCGGGTTCATTGACTGCGCTTTTTGTTGCTCTCTTGTTGGCAACCCGAAAATATGCCACATGCCCAGCGGCAGGATACTTCGTCCTTTCTCTCCTTTCCCCTCCCCTTTCCCCCCAAATGTGGCATTGATTTCGGACTCGATTGGGCGGAGGTTTGTGGATGGCCAGTAAATATAAACATGGCATATGCCGTATTAGCTATCCCTCATTTTATGGCATAGACAAACTCTCGGATTTCAGCCACACTGCAAAAATATATCTACGCTTTTGGGGTCAAGCAAACAAATAAACAGACTAGCATTGCTAAGCGCAAAGTTATTAATGTTTTTATTTCGAATTGGGCTATATTTTGATTTGTAAGGCAAACGCTTCGGTTTTTTGGTTTTCAATATTTATATATATCAAAATTGGAAAGAAAAGCGGTTGTTGCAAAAAAATGAATCTATGGATTTGTATTGTTTAAACTTTTAAAAGCCATTTATATGCATCAATAAATTTATTATTTCATATATATTTATTATTTATATTTATTATTTTTTCCAAACGTTTTTCTCTCTAACAAATATAGAAAAGTGTGCTTTGAATAATTTTCCCCAAAAATGTTTTTTAAGAACAATACATTCTTCATATTATAAATACAAAATGTTGAATGTATGATTTTATGTTATTTATTTTGGGAATCATTTATGTTAGCCATAAATTTGTATTCAATTTTTTACAGACCCTTGCTTTATTGATTTTCACAATAGGTGATAATAATAAATATACAATTTTTTTTATCGTGAGCTTCAATTTCTTAATAAATGAAAAGCTTATCCCCACTTAGCCTTACTAATTGAATTATTTTAAAACCACTATTAATTGTATTAAGCAACTTGCTTTAGTTTACCTCAATACCTAAATTTATGAATTTTAATAATAGCTTCGATTGACAGATAAATTTTAAACGAGAATACATGTATTTATTTACTGCTATTTATGCAGATAAATTGAGTTAATTAACAATTTTCAGACTCGTAATGCAGGTATTAAACTGCTCAAGTTTCATTTCATTTTTCGTGATATGCGAAACCTGAAATTCATCGATTCTTTACACTCGCATCGTTGGGTGATGGACTTGTTGAACGACGATGTATGCCACTATTTACCTATTTGTTTTTTGTTCCGCCCCGCAGCAAATTAAAAAGCTGCAGCAGCTCACGCAGTCGGCGGCTCTGAACCGGGAGACCATCGCGGCCTCCCAGTTGGCCACTTCGACGAGCGGCGGCGGAGGAGGAGGACAGCCGTCGGCGGGCGACAGTTCGACCCGAGGAGATGATGGCAGCGGGTCAGGGGTCACGGCAGGTGAGATTTCCGCAGGACCTGCGGGCAGCATCCTCCAGGCAAACCGAGCTGCCGGCGGAGGAGGAGGAGTAGGAGGAGTTGGATCTGCATCTGGATCGGGAGCCCCGAGCATTCTGACAGTCGATGAGGACACTCTGTCGCTGGACCGCCTGAATTCACTGCGCATTTACATGACATCGGTGAAAACGCTGCCGTTTAATTTACGCATTTACGGGTGAGTTGCATTCGGGGAAAAACACAAAAACCGGGCGGATAAATGCCACCTGAATGAAACCAGACACACGAATGATTTCCAAAACCATCATCGGTCGGGGGCTATAATTTCTAATTACGAGTGGAGCGAAATGCAAATTTGCGAAACCCGAGTAAACAGTAAACTTCATTTTACGGCCCCTTGATTAATATATGCGACGAAGGGAAAACGATTTCCCCCAGCGTCAGAAAGAGAGAGAGAGAGAGAGAGCGGGCTCTTAATGGAAAATTTATTTTATGAGCAAACATAAATAAAAAATGCATAAAACAGGCGAGGTCGTGGCATGAAGAATGGCTCATAAAAGTGCCGCGTGGAAAAGGAGATGCCTGCTGCCTTCAACCTGCTGCCTGCAGCCAGGAACCCAGTTGAAGGGAAGAGGAAAAGGGAGCTAAGACTTGGCCCTGTCGTTTCCGGACAGGTATTTCCATCTTCCCGGTTCTTAGGCTCCACGGCTTCCAAGTGTCTAATTTAGCTAATTAAGTGCCCTAAGTGCAGGCGACTACAATTTGCCTGATTTACGGTCCTCGCTCATGCATTTTTCCAACAATTTTGCTTCCTCATTTTTTTTCCTGCAGGGAGGATTTGTTTTCGGACCAACTCTATATGGACATTGGACTATCGACCCGTCTGCTGCACATCATGGCCAATTCGACGATATTCGCCTCGGTCATCTCCTACAAGAACCTCAAAAGTTTCCTCCCAAAAACCTACTACACTCGTGGCAGGTGAGTTGAAAAATAGCTTCAAGTTTTTCCATTTGCTCGGTTTATTGGTCAGTGGTTGCTAATTAGCGGGGAAAGTTTAAGAAACTTCAGCAATTTTAAAGATCTTGGTAAATGAAAGACAGTTAGTGAACCGTGGTCGCTAGGGGAACAAATGTTAAAAACTATTATTATTTTAATCTACCAACTGCTTCACTTAACTTTACTTTACTTAAAAAAAATTCTCAGAAATTCCTTTATATTACGAACAGTTTATAAATATTATTATTTTATTGAATACTTGTTGTAAAATAGTTAATTTACTACGCTTTATAGTTTATATATTTACTTTTGACCTCTGGGAAGTGATAATGTTACTGTTTGGAAGATTTAAAGAACTAAACGCCCTTATGTTTAATTCTCCCAATTTAATGCCGCCTGGCCAAGAAAGTTGTCTTGGCTAAATCCCGGCTTATGGCCACCGATGTATAATTCGCAAGCCATGTTTGCCTAGTCCTCAAATGTGTGTAATGCCAACTGCTGTCGCTCTCGGCATCCTTTTGGTCCTTTTTCCCAGCGGCGGCAAGATGGCTCCTTGGCTTAAGCGCATTACAAGCAGCCAGAAAACACTGGCAACAAAGCCACAGCAACGAGTGTAATTCCCCAACTGTAAACAAAATGCAAATATGCAGCTGCCAGTGCAGCGGAGAAAAAACCAAGATGATGGGGAGAAAAGCATGTTTTCTGGGGTACATGAAAAGCCAAGACAGTTGTTATCAGATCCTGATTACTGCTATGAAGGACGAGACAGACGTTAGATTAGATAAGCAGCCCCTGGATATGATTTAAAGAATTTTAATTTAAAAATCAACGCAAAAATACATTTTAATATTACTTTCTCTTTTCGTACGTTAAATGATTTGTAAAATAACTTCATTTGTAATTAAAAAATAGCACCACAAAATTTAAAATAAAATGTTATATTTGTTAAAATGAAAACAAAATAATTACCAGCGCTTTCTAATTAAAAATGATTTTAAAATATTTAGAGTTTAAAAACCAAACTTAATCTGGGTCAAATAAAAATGATTTTATTTTATTATTAACAATTAACTGAAACCAGATATGTACAAATATTTCCTTTTAATTGGAAACTTGGAATTAGAATCGTATAACTATATGTATATATATTATTATAATAGTTATGTATAATTGTTAATATTGATTTTCCTTTTTTCTTTTATTAAATAGCGATCCCCGTGACTCGGATTACGTGCTGGCCTCGCGGATAATCCAAACGTGGCTGTTCCAATCGAACCGCTCCAACGACAACTTCCGGGAGCCACTGGACTTGCCCTTCGAGGCTGGTCACGTGGAGATCATCTTCCAGCACGAGAGTGTTCCCAAATCAGGAGATTGGGTGGCAGTTTGCGGGTAAGCTAGACAAATAAAACCCCCAATTAAATCACCATTAATTCTGTAATTGCTCTCACGCAGTCACGACTACAAGGCCTCGTTTGATTCGACGTGGCGATCGGATCTGTGCATCACCAAGCACCTGATGGCCAACATCACGCGGTGCATCTGCCCGCTGAGCGGAACCTACGTGGTCATGCTCACCAAGCGCCAGCAAAATGTAAGCCAGGGTCACCAAGGTCGCCAAGGCCACTCAGTTGGCCAGTTGGCCACTCGGCCAGTTGGGTAGTTGGGCACTCGGCCCGAATCCCGTGGATTTCGGCTGGCCAATTCATGCAATTCACGTGTACCAAAGTGGAAGGCCCCCGCTTTTGATTTATGACCCTTTCAGGAGCTGCCATTTAGTGGCCACCACCTGGGCAGCCACTCCCACTCGCTTTTGTGCCGCCTTCCCCGCCACCACCCCTTTGAATTCAGCGTCCGCCCTTCCGCTTCTCTTCCCCGCAATCAACCACTTGGCCTTTGCTGCCCTGAACTTGCTCCAAATGCACTCGCTTTCTCTGGCTTTCTGGCTTTCGTTTTTGTTCCCAGCATTGTGCTGTTTGCATTCAGTCACGGCGAAAGTCCTTAAATCAGGGACGCATTGCGATCAACTGGCATAAAGGGTTTGATTAACGCTTAAATTCCTGTGGTTTTCTGCACAACATAAAGTTTGAGAATAACTGCATCCTCCCAGATATAAAGTATTTACTAAAGATTATTGTATTTAAAGGAGTTTGTTGCAAAAGTTGAAGCAGTTTTTTGTTCTGTTGTTTATGTTCGTATTTAATGTTTAGTTAGTAAAATCAAAAAGTAGTCACTAATGCAAAAATTCATAATAATTTTTTGGCTTGCAAAACAATTATTAAAATAAAAAAATAATTTTACTTTGCAAACCTTAAACACTTTTAAGGTTTTTTTGTCTGTACCACTTATTCACCATATAATTAAGCTTTCCAATTATGCTTCCTTATTATTTTTGGTAAAATCTAAAAACATAATTTAACTTTGCTTACTAAAATTCAATATTTAAACTTCAATGTTTTAAATATTAAATTTTACAACGAATCAGTTAACGTTTTCATGGAAGGCCGTGAAAAATAATCCATTCGCTTAGACTGCATCCCTGTCTGAATCCAAATCCGCTCAATTGTTGGCGGCAGCCTGCCAAGGCCAACAGGATTTAAGCCGACTTTAGCCACCGCTTTCGCTGCCAGTTTGAATTGCTAATTGTTTTCGTTTTTCCCTTGCCTCTATTCCGTTTTTTAGGCCACTCCCTCGCACGCCCCCCGCCGCCCTCTCTTCGTGATCGCCAGCTGCGCCTGCTGCCTCCTCCAGTGCGGATCCGCCCTGCTCATCCTGGCGCCCATCTGGTGCAACCGCAAGTGCGCCGTCACGTTCCTCAAGATGCAGTTCTGCATCTCCACCTCCAGCGTGATGCTCATCTACCTGCTGGGCTTCATGAAAATGCTGCCGGCGGTGAGTATTTCACACACAATAAACTTGAACTTATAGTAACCCCATACCATACATATATTGACCCCCTGACCCATGAATTCAATTTCGTTTTATGTTTATTTCGCAATATCCCAGCTTGACAAGCATGTCAACGGGTTAAAAAAGAGCGCTTTCAAAAGCTATTAATGAAAAGGCTCAAATTAACTTATTGAAAGTCCATGGGCTTGATTTTTTTATTCAGGGGTGGTTAAGTTAAACACAGAGTTCGAAGCATTTGTTATATATTTTTTTGTCGAATTTTAAATTGAGATCTGGTTTTTTTTTTAATTGAGCTTACATGTAAAAAATAAGAGGTATGTAAAGTAAAATAAAAACATTGAATGTATATTTGTAATTTAAATTTACATGTGTATGTCACGGAAAACATTAAATAAATGTACAGCTCTGTAAATCTGTTACTAGTTGTGAAATAATAAATAAAACCATCATTGTGGCATATGAATAAGTCACTATATTTTGTAATTGATAAGGAATGTTATTTAATATTTTGTTAAATATATTTAATGCAAACAAGGCAAAGTTAAAATTATAAATTGTTTAAGATTGGCTAACAGAAATTTCTAAAAACGTAACCTCTGTCTGCTGGCAAAAATAGGTTAAATGTTTGTTCCTGCAATGCTTCGCTGCTTAATCGCTGCACATTTGAATGCCGTACGTTAACATTCTTTAGTTCGGTTAAATGCGTTAGTGCTATGCGAACCCTTTAAAACAAAGCCTTTGTGAGTCGGCGGCGGTAATGGGAACGGGAAAAAACGGGGAGCATAGCGTGAAATTTAATTACGCCAAAATAAATAAACAAGTAAAATGGAGGAAAGCCAAGCTGAAAGCAAAGCAACCCGAAAACCAAACCAAACAGTTCGCGGCAGAGGAGGCGGAGTTGCAGGGGAGGCAGAGGCGGAAAAGTAATAACAAAAAGTGTGGCACGATGTAAGGAACAGAAGGCAATCGAAGCGCACAAACGAGTTTCCCCTTTAAGGATGCGAAAGATGCTAAAGATGGGAAATCCCGTCGGCTTAAACTAGCAGGCCGTGGAACCCTTAAGTTGTAATTATTTGCGGTGTCTGTTCCCCGCCAAATCACCAATTTCCCAGTCGACTTTTCAAATAATAATCACGGCCGGGGAAAAATGCGTAATCATCATCAAAACAAATTAGCGTGTCGTCTGCAAGTCGTTACCAACAAACCAGGAATGTTTTTTTTTTCTCCGCTCTAAGATTTCGTTCGGTGGACAACAAAGCAAATAATTTACATTTAGTTTTCGTGGCAGCCAAACGGAAAATTCATGGAAAACAATTCCCAAACCTGTTGGCGTCGACCTCCTTGGAAGGAAATTAAAAGTCAACAATGCACGACGTTGTTGCCACCGCCGCCGCCTTCGTCGAGGAGGAGCAGCGGGTCAGGTGGAAGGATATGGAAGGATACAGAAGGATCAGGCCCGGCGGAGGCAACTGGAATCGAAATTAATATTTATAAACGCACACTCTCCTCAGACGTTTGAAGTTGAAGTGGGAAAATGTTAATGGGGGAAAGACGCCAACCCGAGTGCGTTGAAGGAACGCCAGCCAGGACATCCCATCCCGAAACCCATTGGCCAAGGATCCGCGGAGGTCCCCAAAGCGCTTGCGAAACCGTCTAAATTATAAACGTAAAACGGGGAAGGCATAAGCGAATAAAGTTGCGCTGCCTAATCCCCGGAGGTCGTGAAACGCCCGGCGAGAAAAAAAAAAAGAAGAACCAGTAACTGCAAAGCTCTAACAAGAAATAACATTTTTGAATTAGTAATAAACTGGTCCGCTGTGGAAACAACAACGGCTCAATAAACGAATGAAAAACAAATAAAACATCCTGCACGACAAAGGACGCGGCACTTGCAGATAAGGATTCTGGATTCAGCAAAGGATGCGAGGACGCAATATGGAGAGTTAAGCTGCGGAAAATGACAAAGGAGGCACACTCGGAAAAACCACATCGGATGGATGTCAACCCGAATGTGTGGCACAGGATTAACTCTCATTATAACTCAACTCATTCAAATTTCAATTGAAAATAGAAAATTTGCAATAGAAAAGATTATTCCCACAAATCGCCAGTTTCAATGCTCAATGTACTACAATAGGATTATTCTTTGATCTAAAAAGGCAAATAAGTCGAATTTTAATCCATTTGACAATGCTTCTCATGTCTATTTTTTACATCTTAAGCTGCAGAATAATATTTGATCATAACAAACAAAACAAGCTTTGGGAAAAATAAGTTTGACAACAAGGAAACATTTATTCAAAGATTTAGTTGTCCGATAATTTGAAAATCCTTGTTTATGGAAAGTTGTTATGGAAAGTTTTAACTTAAGCTGCTTCATGCATAATATAATACTAGTTATAAATGCCGCATCTAAATTCAAATACGCAGGCAAACATCAATGGTTAAAATAGTGATTTAAGCTAAGAATATTATAACATTAAGAACCATAAAAAAAACAAAGAATGTTGAACACTTAAAGTCTTTTTGTTTTGAAGGAAAATATGAAAAGAGAAATTTTATTAAGACATATTTTCGTATTTATACAAAAATAACAAAATTAGGACTCTGTTCTTTCTGTTCAAAACAATTTGAATCCCCGAGTGCTAATAGAATTGTTATTGGAAAACAACCGACTGCGATGCAATTTTCTCGGCGTGCAGCTCCTGGGGAAATTCGCAACTGGAAACGCTGACAAAGGCAAACGATGACGATGACGGCGGTGGACTAGGCACAAAGATGCCAGGGAATCCAGAAGAGCAGACCGAGTATGTTTCGCTATCTGCATCGACGTTTTTGCCGCACGCAACACGGGTGGCGTCTCAAAGGATTCAAATGGACGGAGGAATTTTTGAAAAACCACCGTTTGTGCTAGAGAACTACGTGGACGTGGACTCGTTGTGGATCGTCCTGCTCGACGGACAATAAAATAAACCCGACATAGGCTGCTTGGCTGGTTGGCCTCTGGCAATGGAAATGCTGCACAAAGCGGACTCTCCTCCGTTGGCCAAGTTAATGAGCAACTTACGTCAACGGGATGAGTTGCACAATGCGCATTTCGCGGCACTTTCTGCCTGTGGGAAACTTTGTCTTAACAGCACACAATGCGCACACACACGCACTCATTGTTATAATTATTATTATTGCACATTAATTGTGCGCACATGCGGCCAGGGCAACTTTATTAAAAAGTACCACACCCGAACATGTGCTCACATGCAAATTTTATGGTTTGAAACACGTGTCACAGTGGCAGCGGCAGCAGCAGGACTCCAGGAGCAGCAGGAGCAGCAGGAGGAGCAGGAGCAACGAAGACGAGGTGGATGCCATCGGCGTCGGACGTCAACCGCAGCCAGCAAACCGCCAGCCGCCAGAAAACCAAACCACCGAACGCCCACCGGCCACGCCCACGCAATGCCACAATAAATACAATTAAAATATTCATTTTACTTATTGCATATATTTGCAAGCATAAATAAAATACAATTTCAGCACGACAGTTAAACGAAACGCGCGGGGGGTTGGGGGAAACACACAAAAACAATAAATAAGAAAACATAAATTACGCATACGACCCGTACGACCGCCCTTAAGGCACACGAAAAACGGGGGCGTGGCACTGCATCAGGACATGTGAAAGGCGAAAGCTTTTAAGCGCACTTAACTCATAATTTTCCGCGGCAAACTGACGGGGTGGAAATATTCGTATTCACTTTCGTATTGTAAATTGAAAATTATAAAGTTGACAGACTGTTTTTCCTCACATTTGACCCGCAGGCCACTGAAGATGATGAGACTTTAAACGCGTGTCCTGAATTCGTCATGAACGTAAACAGAAAGGTTGTAAGTCTAGCCGGGAATTTCAAGGTGGAAGGATAAAAGCTGGAGTTACTTTGTATGTCAAATTCTGGCATATTATTTAAATTTGTATTAACTTTAATGGTTCAAACATACGTGTGTGGTCATAATTAAGCTATAAGAAAATGCTTCTATATAAACTGAACAATTAAAAATACGTAAAAACATAAATAAACAATTTTAATAACTCTAACTTTTAAGAACTAAATATACATGTCTACTCATAATTAAGAATTATTTAACAGCGAATTCTCACAAGTTTCATTTAAGTGGTGTAAAATTTCCATAACTAAGTTTTTATATCGTCTGTTTATTCCACTTGGAAACCACTCTATTAAATAAGCCCCAAAAGCCTAAAACCAATTAGCCATAAAAAATCTGTTAATGCGACTTAAGTTGCATTTTATTAAGCAACTTATTTTATGAGACATGAGATCCTAATTGGTTATGAAAGCAGAGTCCCAAAAAAGTGATGTTGGCCAAATTGTTAACAACTTTTTAATAACCAATGTCCAGTCAGCTTCGAAGCGCGTGAAGAGTGTAATAAAAAATGTATGCCAAAATGCCACCATTAGGGGGTGTTGCATAAAAATAAATCCCGCCAAATGGCTTTGCCACTGCCACTGCTGCTGCTGCTGCTGCTGCTGCGACTTTTGCTGCTGATGCGGCGGCGGCAGCAGCGGTGACGATGACAACTTTTTATATTTAATTAAAAATAACGATGTTGCAGAGCTGAGCCGTCAAAGCACTCAATTTCCTTATTAACGGCCGTTCATAATTTCCTCCTCTTGCAGAGTTGGCACGGCATCATTAGCAGCTCGCTGGCCTCGCTCCTCTTGTTGGCCATCTCCACCCTGATTGCCATCGCCTTGGCCATTCACACGGAGCTCATGCCGAAGAAGTATCTCCAGATTGGCATTGGCAAACCATCCACGCCCACAAAGCGACGTCTCGAAAGGGAAAGGGAGCGGGAAAGGGATGGAATTCGTGATGGAGTGAGGGATCGTGAGCTGGAGAGCCTGAGCAACATCACCCAGATCCGGGCCCAGTCGCCTCTGGCAGCCACCGCCTCATCCGCGAATCCCGTGAAGCTGCGACCACCACAGCCACCCAGTGGAAATGCAACAACCGGAATGCGTGGCGCCATCGGCATTAGTTGGCTGCTGCCGCTCCTCTTCGCCGTGGCAGCTCCGCTAATCTGCAGCATTATTGGCCAGTGGCCACGCCACTGGTGGCTGGAAATCCTCTGGACGGGATCCCACGCCCCCGCGGGCAAACAGGAAGCGGACTCCGAGGGCGGCGGCGGCTTCTATTCAACGCATTCGCTGCTCAACGGCGATAATTTACTGCTCGAAATGGGAAATGGAACCAGAGCCACAACAGAGGCATCTTCATCTTCATCTTCATCAGCCGCAGCTGATGGCGATGATGATGATGATGATGCGGCCACATCGATGTCATCAATCAGTAGTGGTGGAGCAGCAACTCCGAGCAGCAGCAACAGTGACTTCTTTCAAGAGCAGCAGCAGCAGCAGCAGCAGTTTCCCGCCTTTTGGAGGGGCAAAGGAGGCACCTCCTCCTCGTACTCCCCCTCCTCCACTTCCGTTTCCGCCCTGGCTGCGCCTCTCACTTCCGGTTCGAGTGACGCTCCAACAACAGAGTCGCCCTCGCTCAGCTTCATCCTGTTCATCTGCATCGATTTGCTCTTCATCCTGCTCTTCCTGGCGCTGTTTGCCATTTTAATGAAGAAACTTTTGTGGTTGTGGCACAAGAATCGCAATGTGCATACGCATCCGTTGGATAAATTCAATCTGGCTTTGCGACGGCGGTAAGTCGAAAAAAAGGCTCAAACGGGCCAAAAAAAAAAAAATAGGATAAGACTTTGGCAAGGGAAACACTTAGATTTTAATGACCGCACAGGACTTGCCATTTCACTTTGTTCCCTTTTTCTTTTCCGTAAAATTTCCATTTTCTTTTCCAAGCTAATCTGATAAAAGAAGAAGTAAAACCAAAAAAAAAAAAAAAACGAATCGAAAACAATCTCAGCCACAATGTCATTCTGAAATCTGCTCTTCCGTCTAATTTAACGTAGATTCGGATTACTTTATCGGGCCGGCGGACTGCTCTTCTCGAAAATCTGCTGCGACGGGCTGTTCATCGCTTATGTTAATTCATCACCGGATACCTTGTGGGCATATCCGTTCGGCATATCGTGCATATTATTGGTAAGTGTGCGGGCAAGCGTTTACATCCTCTTAGCCAGCAATTGAAATTCAATTAAGCGCACCCATTAAATATGTAGTACATGGTGACCGACCGGTTTCGGGATTAAGGTCGGATGTTTGATTCCCTCCCTTTCCCCTCCCAAGAACTCCAATCCCATTTGCCGCTCCAATTGAGGCCCAACTATTAGGCTTCAAAAGTACAAACACTCTTATTCGTTACGCAGGCTTATGCAAATCGCCATCGCCATCGCATTCGCATTCGCATTTTTATTTCCCTCTACTTATTTAAGTTGCATATTTTATCAAAGTGTAAAGCCTGCATATTTTTACACCTGCCGTGCACAAATTATGCATGCAAAATCAACTCAGAATATGGGCGGCGGTTGAAAGCGAGAATCAAGGGGGCGGGGCAGCCACCTGGATATCTGAATGGTGGCTGCATTAACAGCCTGATCAAAGAGCTAAAAAGCAGAAGCAGAAGCCTTTTCGTGTTTATCTTGCCCTTGGCTTTGACACTTGACTCCGCTTTTGCCACTTTTCCCCCGCTCCACGAAATGTTATTGTTTGCTTTTTGCTCCACTTCTCGGTGATTTGCTGTGCAAATGAAATAAGTGCGCTCGACTTGGCCACCTGCCACTCGAGCAGTGGATTCACATCAAAGGGAGAGCATTTTCCTGGCCAAGCCAACGTCTCAACTTAATTTTCTATAACTATTTCATTTTTCCGAAGTGACATTAAAACGTTTAAGGACCTGCGCACGCCCAGCAATCAGCTCAATCCAATTAAATAAACAATTATCTGCACGGGCGAACGGGAGGCACTGCGTACACTTGTACACTTGTATTCCCGAATCCTTGTATCCTTGTAGCCGTGTATCCTTGCAAAACTAATCACATAATTACACGCACACACTTTGATGTGGCGAACCGGCAAGTGAGCGCGTGTGTGCACCACTCGGCGTATACGTAATGCGCACACGGCACATTCAAATCCAAACACAAACAAATTAGGTCGAGCCGCCGCCCCCTTGAGTCCACACCACAATGTCTACAGCCCTCTCAATCCTGCTGGTCCAGGACTATTAATGTGCACCCAAATCACTTTGATTGTGGGCGTGGGCCTGGCTCTGTCTGCCTTTGCTGTTTAATTATTTAAACAGTGGCCGAGGAAGCAGACTGCACGGCCAGAAAAATATAGCTGAGAAAGGACATTAATTCTGAGCTCAAGTGGCTTTTATACAGGAACGGTGTTTAACGGGCAATCGTTTGATGGAGAAACTAGTTCCCAATAAAAGAAAGATTATTTGCCTTAACTTTTATATTTCATTTGAATGCCTCAAGTATTTTATCAAACAACTTATTTAACTTTTAGTGGTATTAAATAATGCAAAGAGTTGGAAATTTACTCTTACTAAAATTTAATAATTACCTTAGGCTTTTCAAAACAAACTAGCTTGAAAATAATATCGTTTTTTATGCTCAACAATCAAATTGTACTTTAAACTTTGCTGGCTTAAATAATATCCAAGAATAATAGTTTCTTCTTTGATTTGTTGAAAATGATAAAGCAATAAGTAAAATATATATTATTCAGGGCTGCTCTGCCTGCAGAAATCCCTGTGCTTTGTATGTTAATATCCCTGAAATCCTTGGCGAGCATGCAAAAGGAATCCATACAATTAGAGCAATTCAGTACGTCTTACAGCCAAAGTGTCTTTCGCTAATTTCGCAATTAATTCCGTTCGAAAATGCAGGCTCTGAATTTGGAGCGAGAGTCCCATAAATTGTAGCCATGAAAAAGGGACATAATGGCCATGCGTATGGCCCATATGGTTTGGCCTCGATTTATGGCCGCCTTTTGGTCATGCATTTAATTTACCAATCGCTTGGCTTGATTTGGGCCACCACCTTGGCCGTAATCGAAGGGTCTTTTCGGTGGCCTAATGACTCCATTCAGGCGACAACCCATCCCGTTGACAAGCTGGACTTTCGGATTTTATTAGGGTCAGCCCAGATGGGCTGGAAGTTTATGCCGCAATCCGATGGGGAAAGTAATGATTCAATCGGTGCACTTGCAGGGCTCCTCCATCCTCATCTGCTTCGTGATCAAGGCCGAGAGTCAGTTGAGGGGACCTCCGTTCCTGAGCAGCAATGGGAGCAGTCAGAACAGCTCCCTCAAGCAGGCCAAATTCAATACGAGCAGGAGCAGCCTGGACGAGAACTATTGCACCACCACGACGACGACGGCCAATGTGAACAGTCCGCTGAGCTGTAGGTTCTGCTCCTGGGTGTCCTTTGGATTTAAGTTCTCATGAGGATTCACTTTTTTTCTGCAGTCTACACCAACCACGACAAGGAAAAGGAGAACGACTGCGGCGTGTCCTTGTCAATGTCCAATGCAGTTGTGTCCTCCGCAGCAGGCGGATCCTTGGCCTCTTCAATCGGAGGAGGAGGCGGGGGAGTAGGAGGAGGAGGAGGAGGCGGAAGTGGTGGTGCCCCGCCCCTCCAATCGAAGGTGGGCCTGGAACTGTCCGGAGCACCAGGATCCGGCGTCCCTCTGCCGTTGACAATCATCTCGACGGCGCCGCGCTGCCAACCAGGAGCAGATGGACCGGCGGAGTCCTTCCTCGGCGACCGACAGGCCCTCTCGGTGGCCCCCTCGCCGGACACCCGGTGTTGCGCCATCCTGGGCGGGGGCCCCGCCTACGATGCGTACACCATGCGAATGGGCGTGGGCGTGGGCGTTGGAGTGGGCGTGGGCGGACTCACAGGAAGCCTGGGGAGGCGCACGTTGCATCAGCAGCCGACGCACTACCGCCCAGGACCCTGCGGCGAGTTCGTGGGCGTCGAGACTCTCGATATCCTTCAGGGCGTGGCAGCAGGTAAGTGCACTGGGAGAAAATATAAAAATATTCGGACACTTATTTTTCTGAAATTAAATATTATTTGTGTAACCATAAAATCTACATAATGTATCCAAACAAACATTTCAAAAGGCTTAACTAATTTTGTTCGAATTAAAACAATGAAAAACATTTCAATTCAAAACTTTAACAAGAAAAGATGTTAGCAGTTTCAAAAAAAATCGGAAATGGTTGAAATTTGTATATACAAAACATTTTGGGTAATATCACTTTTTCAAGAAATTTTTATTCCCAATTGATGTTCTTTTATTATTGTAAACAAACCAAATTTTATTTGCTTTAAAAATTATTTTTACAAAGTAGAAATGCTGAAATATAAACTCCTTTCCTTTTTTAAATTTTCATGATTATACAGATTACCTTTTTATTATTTGTATTTTTAAAAAAAATATGAACACTCAAGAAAACGTTTTTCCACTTTAGCAAATTGTTAACCTTAACAGGTTGTTGGTCAATTTAAACCCCATTCCAACATTTTCCAACATTAAAACAGTGTGAAAAAACGCTTTGTTCTCTGTATATTGTCTGCATAGACAAACACTTTGGGGATGAGGCCAAATGCTTATGCATTATTCACGATCTGGTGTCTGATATCCCCCACTCTCTCTCTCTCTCAACCTCTCCTTGCAGACAGTATAATTGGCATTCACACCAGTGCGATAATGCCCACGGCCGGCGGCACTCCTCATTATGTTCCGCTGCAGCATAATCCCTACGTCGACTTCGTGCCCAGTCCCCTGATCCTGAGCATGGCGCCACCGCCGACCATAAGCGGCAACCTGAGTGGAGCGGCGGGGATGCCGGCCATCTCGACCATTCCCAACATGTCCACGTTGCCCACGCAGACGCCCAAGACGCAGAAGCGCGTGACCATCCTGGAGCCGACATCGAGGACGACCTTTGACCCCCTGCTGCCCACCATGGTGGCCGCCGTGGTCTCCACTTCGACGGTCACCAGCACGGCGACCACGACCCCAGCGACGCCCACAAACACTCAGAGTGGCAATGATGCAACACTGGATCGCATCACCCTTGATTTGGATTACCTGCTGAACAGGGGCGCGGTGGAGGCCACAGATGGCGGGGGAGTGGTGGCGCAACCATCATCACAGCCACCCACATCCACTGATGACGGCCAGCAAAAACAATAGCAATATCCAAGTGAGTCCGAGGCGACACCTGCTGGCCAACACCGACACTAAGATGCATTTAAGAGGCTTCGATTTTCTACCAAAGACACATGTACATATATGTAAATCAAATTTCACAAACTAAACTAAAACTACCGTAGAAATCTCTGTGAATATTCATGTACGTATGCATCGGATAATGCTTGAAATGGAAAGCAATCAATTGAAGTCCTGGTTTATCAAATGATCCCATCCAATCCTAGTTTTCGTTCAATCTGCCAGCTTCTGGCTAAATCCCATGAAATGTTCAAACTTAATGTCTTTTAAAGTGATTTGGACATCAATCATACCTAGACTCATATTTAGAATACACATTTAACTTTACGTCATTGCATATGTAAACAAATTGAAAGAATTTAAACTAAAGATAACTTTTTAGCTAGATTTACAAAAAGCCTATTAAACAGAACACAATGAAATTGAATAAATTAATGAGCGAGATCACAGCAAGGTGTGAACATGTTTTTGATTCCATTTAAAGTTTTCCTAGTATTAATGCAACATTAAGCCCCATTAAGAAAACAAAAGAGATAAAAACCTACAAAATACAATAATTGTAAAACTAATAAACATAACAGGACTATTTCTGGAACAAAACAAATTATACAGATATATCTTTAAATAAACTCAAGACTCTTGTTAGAAAATCTATGAAAATGCCAAACGCGGTTGTTTTTATTGGGTGGGATACTATAAAACTTAATACCTTCTTGTTTCTTAATGTTTGACAAACGTTTCAAAATTCGAATTCCGAGTAAAATATCATAGGTAAATATGTAGATAAAAACTTGAGTGACTTGGGAAAGCTCTAATCTTTCTTTAATTCAATGTAAGTATATAAATGCGTAGAATTTACGCCCAGCTGTCCCCATACGTATGATAATATGAAAATATATCTTACAAAATACAAGTACCATCTGGCTATCGAATTTACATAACCAAATACTTAATTCACAAAACAAATTCTTGGGAAACAACTTGGAGAAGAACTAACATAGAAAAAATTGACTTGTTTAGTAAATATTAGTTTTATTTTACTTATTTTTACACAAGTTTAAATATTGCACAATCCCTTCACATCTTCTATTTCATTAGTGAGCATTACTTAAAATTCAACCACGTGACCCATTAGATAGGTCACATTCTCACTGCGAATGGCAAAGAAAAATGGATGGTCGGCTCGGAAGAATTTCTGGCGGGAGGAATTGCTGATCACAATGGGTTTATACTCTGAATTAAGTGAGAAAATAGGTAAATATATTTAATGGGATTTTTAATAAGCAACATACCTGCTGCAACTCGTGGCAACTCATTTCCGGAACCCGATTCGTTGAAATTCAAACGCAGCTTTTGGAGAACATCAACAACGGGTAAATTGCCAGACGAATGCAAATGTTTAAAATTGGCTGATGGTGCAAATATCTCTTCAAAGCCAAGCTGTTAAAAAATGATTATATAAATTATAAATAAACAGCAAATAGGACGTATTTAAATAATTTCACTGACCTGTTTCAGCGGCTGCCGCAAACTGCACTCGAAATCGATACTGAATTTTGGTAGTAGCACCTGCACGCCCTCCATTTGCATCCTCTGCTGCAGTGCACCCAAATCCTGGCCACTCAGCTGCTTCTCCAGATCCTGGAGACCCCCTCGTTGATTTGGCAGGATGAGCAGCATGGACAGCTCCTCGGCGTGTTCGTAGGGAAGTTCTATGGCCCGGGCATCCAAATCCCTTAGCTCAGCGAATTTCACGAACATATCGTCATCGAATAGCATTGGCACTGATTTCACCTGACTTCCGTTGTGGAACTCATAGAGTCCGGTTCTGTAGGCACTGAAGGGCAGGAACCACTTGCTCTGGAGATTCGCAGCCATCAGGAGAAGGGTTTTGGCCGCCGGACTACTCTCCACTTGGATCTGATCCCAACTGCCTCCGCCAACGCTGGCCAGGATTTGCTCCTTGATGTGGCGACGCAGCTTCTCCGTTTGCTCCAAGTCAACACACTCGGCCGTGACATGGAAATAGGTTTGAGCAATCTTCTGGAAGTCATCTGCTGGGCCAGACTCAGATCCAGAAATTGGCTGGAGCATCAATCGATTCTGTAACTGCAGGCGGGTATCTGCATCCATTGTGATGTTCGCCAGTTCCGCGGCATAAAAGTTGGCCATTTTTGCATTGCTGGGAAAGCGTTGCTTCAGTCGCAGCAATTTCTGCAGTTCCTCGGCGGTTGCTCCATCAGATCCCAGGAAGAGAAGTGATAGAGTGGCTTCTAATAGTAAAGGTGATATTACAACGTTCTGATCTGTGTAACTTGTGGCTATGTTGTGGAAAATTCCAGCACTTATTGGGGATTCAAAAGGAGAGGCGGTCGTCGTAGGATTTGTAACATCACCCATTTTGCCTCTTTTGGTCCAGAGTTATTTAAAAAAAAAGGACTGTAAAAGAGAATAAATTAAAACTGGTTGAAACATAGAAACATAAAAGCAAAAATGTGGAAATATTTTATATTGATCCAAATTTTAAATTAAACATAGCATTTATAGGACATATTTATGATAAATTAAACAAAGACATTTTAATATCCTTTACAAGGCTGTACTAATTTAAACTTTTTACGACACCAGTTTTATTTATCTATTCAAGCCATTAGATTTTTTGTGATCAATATTTACTCATCATTTTGATCCAATCTAAAAATTCCACCATACTTTGTATGTGTTTGCATCAAATCAAAATCTTTTTAATAAAGGCGTGAGTTTATCGCTTCCACATGGTTGATCCGATCCACCCGAGGTACTTGTTTAGCATAAAGATGCCCTTCGGCGTAATGCAAAACACATGCGTTGACGCAAGTAAACTTGGCCAAAATGTATAAGAGCCGTATAAAACGCTTTTAATAAAACGAAAATATAATTTCAAATAATAGCCACCGCCAGACACACATTGAATCCCATTTAAATTCACCTTGGCCCTCGAAGTGCACTCTGTAACGAGAATGTAAATTGTCTTCTATTTCATTTGGCCAAAGCCAAACGGCAAACACTCGCAGGCGAAACAAAAGAAACGCCTTGAACAAATAAAGTGAACTGAACAAGAGAGCACACTAGGCCAAACTTGACACTATTTTCGGCAAGTAAACAAAGCGGAAACGCCGAGGCGGAAAACTTTGTGACAGTGCTGCGGCTATATATTTGCGGCAACTTTTAATTTCCCGCGAATTTCGGCAGTCGCCTCCGTTTCGCTGCGGCCACCATCCACTCGCTACCGCTACCGTCCCCCGCCCACTTCCTATATAGTTTCCCGATCCAGAGCTGCAACTCTGCATGCCGATTCCTATGCGACGCGCACACTTGCGCGCTTAATTGCCACATCAACAAACAAAATGCGCGCCCACCCGAGCTGGAAAATAAAAACGGAACGAAACGAAAAGCCATTTTCCGCTTCAAAATCGCGAAAGCCACACTGCCTACACAGAAACCAAAAAAATAAATATATATAAGTTTCCAAGATGCTTAAAATATCTAAAAAAAAAAAAAAAGACATATTTGTTAGACAACTTTTTTCTTGAAAAACATTTATTGAATGCTTTTTAATCTTTAAAAATTTCAGATAATTATTTATAACACTAATCATTTAAATAATGCTCTAAAATATTCCAATTTTGGTTTTCAACAAAACAATAAATTATTTGCTTAAACATTTTATATGTATCAAATTTATCAACTTTTTTTTCTTGTGTACACTCTGCCCCACTGTCGCTATAAAGTAGCGCTGCTCTAGTGCTAGATGTTTATTGTTTATTTTTGGTGTGCCAATTTTTTGTTTTATTCAACGAAATTAACTACATCATGAGTTTGTCAAAAGCGTTTTTTTTTTTTTGTTGGTTTTTTTTGCCGGAAAACTTTTTCTAGTATTTTAAAACGTTATATTGCAGCCAGTAAATAATAGACTAGTTGCATATGGTAAATCTAACTCCTCACTGGATTTCCAATAAAGCGTATGAGGTCACAGAATCGTTTTCGAAGTGGCATCATCAACAACAATAGTTTGTTTGAGAAAATTTTGGGGAAGATATTGAATTTTACATTAAGAGTATATCACTTTAAATTGATTTTCAATTGGATCAATAGTTTTGCAACTTTATTTTTCAAACACTTTTTCCATTTTATTACCCTTTGCAGAATTCTTAAGAAATTCGAACGAAAAAATAAAGACCGTGCAGTAATTATATAAATTAGTTGCCTTAGATATTCACGCCCGCACGCAGCTTCGGTCAAAATTGGACTAAACGCTCGCGCTCGAAAAAATAATAAAATAGAGGAAAAAAGAACCCATTAAATTGGCCCGCCTCATCGGTGACGACACTTGGGCAACGCGGAGGAAAAAGCTCCACAACTCGGTTCGAATTTTCGGCAACTACTTTTCCGATGCTAAAATTTTAATCTATTTTTATAGTTTGTTTGCCGTGAATTTACACAGACGATTCGGCGATCTGACGCTGCATCCGATGGGAATAAGAAAGAACTCGATGCGAACGATGCTCCACTTGTTTTGTTTTTACACTGAGCACTGGAAACGCGGATGCGGCGACTCATTTTGATTGAGTTGTTTGTGGGGCTAGTTGTGTGCCAGTAGTTCTTGTTTAACCATTTTATCTAATCTGAAACATTTGGGGTCGCTGTACGACTCAGCGGGCTGTTCTGCATAAATGTGTGTGGCTGCGGAAGATAGCTCTTAATCTTCCGGTGATCCGCTTAGTATTTTTAAATGCACAAAAAACATGTATTGAGTGCACTGCCTTTATGCAGAGCTTACTCACAAAACGCACAAGCCAAGAAGGGATAGCATTTTAATACGATTGACTTAATCTGAATAAGCATTTTAAATTTATGTTCATTCACTGCAAAATCACTGAAAGAACCAAACAAAAGCAGTGCATTTTATAATCCCGACAGCCCAAAACTGTGCTTTACTTTTAGTACAGCATAAAACACTGTAGAATACTTTTGAGATTTACTTTGAATAAGAACAGTTTTCAACTGAATTAAAAACAAATTCTGTTTAGATTAAAACCCATAACTACTGCCCGAAGCAAAAGCAAACATGTTTAATCATTCAAACAATTCATTATTTATTGATAACTTGTGAACATAATCTTACGAATCGGGGATGAGGACGCTGGTGTAATGGGAGTGTAGTAGTTGTAATGCTTGCGCGAAGGCGGAGGATTAAAAGCATTCCTGTATAAATAAATACTAAACAGCCTAAAATGTATCCGAAAAAAATGAAACGTATCCAAATGAAATGCCAAGCACACGCATGCAGAAAGTGCAGATTCCAACAAGCAACCACGATACCAGCCAGCACAGCTGCCCGAGAGGTTGAGTTCGGAACGAGAGTAAGTGCATCACAGATCCGTGCTGCCAGGCAGCTACGAAGCTTCAACGCTAAGTCATAGTGGGATCAGGCGAGTACGAGTTAGGTGTAGGTGTTTTAACCGATCTAAAGTCTTGAGTGGTGTCTAAGCAAATGCATTAGCCTGTGTTTGCATGCATGCCTCCAAGTGTTCGGGAATGTTTAGATGTGATACGTAATTACGTTTGACAATGGCATATTCTCTGGCAAAACAAAAAATCGTGTGAGCGCGGTCGAAGGTCTTGGTAATGGGATGTAGTTTGTAAGGCGTGTGAGCGGCGTTTTGGGTAAACTGGTGAGTGATCAGGCTAGAACGTGTAGCCACCCTCGGGAGCCTTGGGCTGGGTGGCATTGAACTCAAGGGCTCCGTTTACCTCCTGCGGTGCCAACTCTTGCTCGGCCTCGTCGTCGCCGTTGCTGAAGTAAGTGTCAATGATGGCGTAGGCCTTCTTGTAGACCTCTTCATTTTCGTGCTGCTGCAGAGTCTCCAGCTTGTCTAGGCCACCCATCTCTTCGACCATAAGGCAAAGGTTTTCGGTGCCGCCGAGTTTCTCGGCAAGGGCGAACAAATTGGACAGGCCCGTCTGCACCACCTTGATGGTACGGGGATCCTTTGCATCTAGCAGATCGATAAATGGCTTTAAGATTTTGTACTTTTCGATAAGATCCACGATCTGTTCGGGGGTGCCCGACGTCGTGGTATTTGTCACCGCCCAGGCAGCCTCCTTCTGGGCCTTGAAGTCGCCCTTCTCCAGCACGTTGCGCAGCTGTTGGAAGATGCCAGCCTGAATGACCGCCTGGATCTGTTTCTGGTTTCCTGCCGTAATGTTGCTGACCGTCCAGGCAGCCTCCTTGACAATGTTGCTCTTGTTGTGCTGCAGCAGAAGACCCAACCTGGGCAATCCTCCAGAGGCAATCACCACGTCAGTCTGGTGGAATAAATATTAAATCAATTTATTTAGTTCCTGCGTGTATTAATTGCAAACGAATAGCAAAATGAAATATAATAATTGGTCTGATTAAATGGCAACTACTTAATTGAAATTTAATACCTAGAAGGCAACAATGTATATATCCACATACCTGTTGATCTGTGCCGGTGACAATGTTTCCGACACTGCGCAATGCGGGCACAATGATGCTCGGTTCGTCCATTTGCAGTAGTTTAACCAGTCGAGGCACTGCTTCACAGTCGACCACTGCCTGGATCTTGCTGTTGTCGTCGTCAGTAACATAGGACAGTGCCCAGCAGGCGTCGGCCAGCACCTGAATGTCCTGGCTGAGTAGGAGCTGCGACAGAACGGGCAGCAGACGCTTGACCTGCTCGAAGGGCGGCGAGGGATTCTTGTTTCTGCACAAATTCGACATCAGCCAGACGATGTTGCGTAGAAAGGAGAGCGGCGTCTCGTTGTTGATCAGCGGCAGGATGCCATCAATGACGTTGTGATGAATGACAATGTCGCGGGCAGCAGCCCCGTCGCCAGCAATGTTTCCCAAGGCCCAAACTGCCTGCTCGGCCAGATTGGTGGACTTGGACTGCAGTAGCGCAACAAAGTGCGGCACAGCGTTGTGTTCAATGACGCAGCGCGTCTGGTCAGAAGTACCGGATGCAATGTTTGTCAAAGCCCAAGCAGCCTCGAACTGCAGCATGGAGCTGGAAAGTATTAAACCTCTTCAGAAATGCTTCCATAGAGGGGGAGATACGCTCAAAACTCACTTGGTAGAATTCTGCAGGAAGCGTATGCAAATGGGCACAATGCCATGGCCGATCATCAAATCAATGGGAGGATTCCTCTCCCTGCTGAGCATCTTGCGGGCAGATTGCATGCCCAGGAACTGGCGCTCCTGATCCTCGCTGTTCATGGCAGCCACTATCTCGTCGACGGACAACTGCACCGGCGACTGGCCATTGAGCTCCTTGAGGGGCGAAGTGAGGTCCTCATCGTTGATGTTACGCCGCTTAAACATCTGGTCCTCCTTCTTGGACTTGCGCAACTCGATGGTCACCTCATGGCGGCGCATGCGCGAGTCCTAGAGTATAAAGTGAGGTTAGTTCCGAATAGGGATCATCTGGTTGGGATATCGGCATCAGGAGACTTTACCTGCGTGTTGATGGTGTTGGACTTGTAGGAGCCCTGACGCGAGTTCGAATCCGCCTTACTCATTTTGTTGGCAGTTTTTACGTTCGTTGAATTCTTGGATGTTGCTGCTACGATGAGAAAGTTTGAACTGAAACGGAAAGTGATGTGCAAAATTGTGAGTAGTCAAGGGCTGCTTGGTTTTTTTTCTCTTTTGCTCCCTTTTAAAAGACCGGCTTTGCAAGGGCGAGCAACAGGAGCGTAGAGCATAATTTGCATAATGGTAAAGTATTAAGTCAAAAATATTAACCACGATATATTTCTATATTTTAACGATTGTATGTAATCTTTTGTTCTATATTATCTTTATAACCATATTTTAACGGCCGCTGGAAATGAGGAGGCTAGTTAACTCATGACCCCTTGCAAATTTAAGCCTACGCCTTTGCCTAGCAACAACAAAGCAACAGCTGCAGCCGCCATTTGCAGCACTGGGAAAGAGAGGAAGCAAAGGAGGAAAGGAAGAGGCGCCAAAGGAAGAAAAACGAAAGAAGGAATCGAAGGAGCTACCGCGAAAAAGACAAAAGAATCACGCGAGCACACACACACACTTACCTGCGCGTCGTCTGCGTGTGCCGGCGTTTATTTTTTTATGGTTATTTTAAAACACTTGACTAAAATTTCACACAATTTAGATCATTCTTTACGAAAAACGAGAACAGGAAACTGTTTAGCGTGTTAGCACGCTGAATGTGCCGGTGTAACTGTGCTTTGACACACGCTGACAAATTCAAAATCGAAGCGAGTTGATGTCAATGCTTGCTGAGCGCCCTTATTTACCGTTTGATTTAAAATTGAAAAGAAACAGACCTACCAGATCGCGATATGGCTCTCGATCAGCTATGAATTTCCTAAAAAATCCATGTGCACCCGAGTTGGCATCGCTATCTACGTTATCAGCTATTGAGAATGATTCTGTTAGTTTTGTGCTGGGAAAAGCTGTTATGTTTTCAAAACAAAAAAAATACTGGCTACTTTATTTTTATTTATTGATTTGTTACTATTACAAAGTGTTCAACTAAGTTTCTACATTATTTAAATGTTTTAATAATGTAGAAACTTAGTTGAACACTTTGTAATAGTAACAAATCAATAAATAAAAATGTGTATTTATTAACTTTTACCCTACTCCTATGAAATTTGTTGCTTCAATAGTATGTATAGGTTTTACGTTTCAAATAAACTTATGATATTTTGAAAAAAAATTATATGTTTTTCTTACAAAAAATAAAAGTTATAAGATCAATTAAAATAGTGCTGATCGCTTACGAAAGAGGGCGCTGCCCTTTTAGATACTCCAAATTATTGTGGATTGTGGAACTTATTTCGGTGGCGCGCATACAAACGAAATTCAGCTATTCAGCCTTCGCTGAATCTGCATGTCTGGCGGTTGCATTCAAACTTGGCTTTACATGGCTTTACATTAGAAGGAGACATAACTTATTTGTCTTTTAAGAATACAGAATAATAGAATAGAAAAATTAAATGTCGTTCGGTATATAAGTCCATGAGAAAGATTTAATTTTCAACGGGTGGTCTTTAAGTGAGGGTGTCAACTTGTATTTATAATATATTGTAAAAAAAAACATGTACATATTAAATAAAAAACATTGAAATTCGTTTTAATGATTATTAATTAGATTTCTAGAAATTTCCACTTTCAAATTTTACTAATTGCGAGAAAATAATGCTAAATCAATACTTAATTACAGAAACACCAACCATTTTTTTTCTTTAAATACCTAATCGGATTACATTCCATTGTTATGATTGCCTTCAAAAAAAGGTTATCGTTGAAATAATACTATTTAATCTCTCGCTTAAAAAAAACAATGCAAAGAAAAAATATACAATTCAATGCAAACCAATTCCTCCTGGATAAGGTTTTTTTAAATCTTTCATCAGAAAAATTTAAAAAAATTTAAATCGAAACTTTAGCTTTTACGTCACCTGCATAACTTTAGTTTTTCTGTTTTAGCTTAATTCCAGAAGTCAACTTTTTAGGTGTTAGAAATAATTTATAAAATCTAGTCAGTCGAACAAAAATGTAAAAAAAAAAGGGTATAATTTAAATTTATAAATAATTTATTTACCATTACTTTTTCCACCCGCCAATCCAATTGAGTAAATTCTTTTTAATGAAATTCTCTGCATTTTTTTTTATATATTCCCGAACTTTATATTTATTTTCGCATTTTTCTGGTTGAACAATAGTTTTGCAATCTAGGCGGTCTTCTTGGTCTCCCCGTTGTTCTCCTCCCTGACTGGAGCTGGAGCCACTGTGGTGGAGGTGGTGCTGCTGTTGGCCTCCGGCGCAGATCGGGCCTCCACCACATCGGAGTCATCGCTGTCGGGAGCTGGAGAGGATTCCCCCGCCGGCGAGAAGGGCGGGAACTGCTGATCCTGGGGATAAGTTTGCTGCTGCTGCTGCTGTTGCTCCTGCTGCTGCTGAACCTCGTTGTAGTCGACGGGCGTGGGTTCCAGCTCGGGCTGGGTGGCCACAGGAGCCTCCACCACTTCACCCTGCTGCTCGGCGACCTGCTGAACATGCTGCACCTGCTGGGGAGCAAACACCTGCTGGTGGGGATAGTAGATTGGAGCGGGCAACGAAGCCACGGGAGCGGGCACATGAACGGGCAGAGGAGCAGCCACTGGAACTGGAGCAGCCACTGGAACTGCAGAAGCAACTGGAACAGCAGCCACGGCACGAGCAGCCACCACAGGTTCCCGCTGAACCACCGCATTGAATCCGTTGACATCGTCGGCGGTGTAGGTCACCGTGCGCTTGTAGCCATCGGCATCCAGAACGGAGTAGGATCCCACCACGTTGCCGCCATCACGGGTCTCCACCTGGCTCTTGATATCCCCAGTGATGCTGTCGTGAACGCCGTAGGAGAAGTCATAACGCGGCGAGGACTCCAGCTCCACCTGTTTCAAGACGGGAGCAGCAACCACGGGAGCAGCAGCCACGGGAGCAGCAGCCACCGTTTTTACCACCGGAGCAGCGGCAAGTGGCAGGGGAAGAGGAGCAGCCACCGTCTTCACAACTGGAGCGGGCAGGGCGAAGGATCTGGTGTAGACGGGAGCAGCCGAAACCAGCGACTTGGCAAAAACAGGAGCTGCCTGTTGGTAAACTGGAGCGGCATGGTAAACGGCAGCTGGAGCCTGATAAGTGGCATAAGCCGGATGATAACCGGAGTACGTTGCCGCGAATCCTGCGCAACAGGAACCAGCGATTGCCAGCAGGGAGAAGAGACTCAGGAGCTGCAAAAGAAAAGGTTGGTTAAGACATCATATTTACACTAATTGGCAATTAAAAGGTAAAATTTAAGTGGCTTTTTAAGAAAAGGATTTTAAATACATTTTATATAGCAGTTATTTTTAAATCCTGTTAAAAACTCTTTAAAGTTGATTTCAGCAAAAACTTATACATTTCAGGTGTCATTCATTACATATATTTTTATTGCCAAATGTTGGTTCCCAGTTATATGCTCCTAAATCTAATCCGATTTGATTTTTTCCTTTTAGTTATTATAAATAAACAAACACAATTGTTTCAAATGCAATATTAGTTTTTAGTACAAACAATACTGATTTGATTGTTATTATTTATGTGATTATGCAAATCAAAACAAACTGATTCGTGCATATTATAATTGTTTCGTCTGCCAGTTTTTTGCCCAAAAATAATTGGAATTTTCGGTGGTTCAAAAAATAAATTACACTCTACATACGTTGTTTAAAGGATATATGAGCAGCAATTTAAAAATCACTTTTGCCACTATAACGCTTTTTTATTTCCAAGTGAGAGTTGCAGTACATCAAACTTACTTTGCCTGCCATTTTCGAAGGGGAATCACTTCCTTTTGGACTGGGATTGCTCGAGGACGAAGTGACACGTGCCGCACAGGAAGCTCTGACTGCGATTGGAGACTGACGACTATATGTCCGCCCGACTCTCGGATCGACGCTGACTTAATGATGTCGACCACTCCCGACGCACGTCACTTTATATGGGGCGTCAGAATTAGCCTCAAGAAGTGGCGCCCTGAAAAAAACAAACACAAAGTGCGGCTAAAAACCGAAGAGCAAACCGGTAACAAGTATCTCAGTTGACAATTTGACAATTGCGGGCTAAAACTGGTTTCGGGTAATTTGTCTTTTTGTTCGTTATTTGGGTATTGGTTTCGGTATCGGTTTCAGTTTCAGTTTTATTTTGAGTTTCAGTTTCTGCTACGATTTCTGCTCCATTTTCGATGTCAAGTTCAGCAGCGGAATTTTCGCGCTTCCTTGTAGGCCTACTTGTCATTCTTTTTTTTTTTGTGTAATTAATTGCGATCTGAGCGGCGTTCAATTAACTTTTCAATTGTCAACTCGCCACCTTGCAGCATTACATCACGACTGGAGTTCAGCACTTGACAATCATTTTGTTTTTCTTGCCGACGAAACATGCGCGCGCCAATGGAGCGCGAAATTTGCTGCCAACGGATTGTCAATTGTCAGTTTGTCCCACAGCCACCTAATCCCCCAACCTCCCACCAAAAAACCAACATATATATATAAATGTTACACTATATAGGTGACTTGTCAGCACCTCGGGGTACCCACTTTATCTTTTTGCCTTCGGGGGCGTTTGTATGTCAGCGGCGTTTGCTTCATTGGCTGCATGATTTTCAGTTTTTCGGTTATTTCACTCGTTTTAGAAAATTTATTATTGCCCCATTTGGTGTTTACCTTACGTCTGCACAGGCAGGCATTGGCACAGTTTTACATTGTTTCGCACTTGGAGTTTTTGCGGAATAAAAACACTAACCAAATCGGATTACTAATTGCAGGGAACGCTTATTTTAGGTTGAAAAAGTAAAGAACCAAAATTAAAAGCAACCCATTTATTGGGTCATTTGAAAATTGGGTCTTAATTAATAACACCCAAGAACCGAAGGTCGCTGGCCCCAAAGGTTTTTCTTAGAAGTGCCCCAACAACAAAGTTGTCAACTCATTTGAGCGACTCGAATCGATGTAACATAATTAAGCGCCTTCAAGGAACCCGCCACAATAATGGCCCACTGTGCGGCAATTGTCTCCGGCTGGCTGTAACCAAAAGAGCCTCTCGTTTCCTCCAGAAAGGCAGAGATCCCCGTTCAATGACTCCCGCTTTTAGCCAAACAAAATTGAAAGTGCGTGGAGCGTCCATGAGCTTGCTGTGGGCCATAAACATCCGATTACAGCGTCCGAACACGTAGCCCCAGGCCATCAAGATGCGTAGGCAGACAAGAGACACATATCGGGCAAAAAATGCGAAAGATATGGGGAATGGGGGGAAGGGGGCTGGAGGGATATATAGTATGCATATATCACCGACTTGAACTTGAAAAGTCTGCCACCGGAGAACGGCTCACTGGGGGGCAAAACGGAGACCACCTGCCTTAACCCGCCATCACACTAAAGTGCCCCAGGACACGCCCCAAGGAGCTTAGGCTTCGATTGAGTGAATCCTGTGCTCATTCCCCTATGGAAGTGCTAAGGAAAGATGAATGGAAGATACGTGGGAATTCAAGTCGCTTTGGGTACATTTCTATGCCGTATTGTCACTCGATTTTCGGTTGACTAAAGCAGAACATTTTAAACATCTCACAGTCAGTTATCTGCCATTCAATAGCCTTTTTCAAAGACAATTTTAAAAATCATTAACGTTTTTAATTTCATTGTAGTTGTGTATCAACGATTATCTTGTTATTTGTTTTGGCATAAGGATATACTATATATAATGAAATAAGAAAAAATTCCAAAACAAATAGTAAAATAAATCCTACACTAAAAAGTACATTAAGGCTAAGCAACATCGAAGCTAAACGATTTTTCTATTAATTTTCTATATTTTTGAGGATTGTTTATATGGCACCTATATAAAATAGTCATCCAATTTTTTATTAATTTATTTTATATTTAATTTAAAAATCAAGAGTCATTTAAAGACTCAATATTCCAAGAACCATGATTATCTAATGAAAAAAAACAACGATTTCACATCAAAAAATCGACCCAAAAATCAAAAACAAATTAAGGATGCAGTTAGTAAGTCATAAGCATTTTGAGGTATACCAATACAAAATCGGTTTTGTTTTAGGCCATTTTCCGGAAAAGCTTAGTGCATAAATAAATTAAAAACATTAAAGGCGCTCTTTAAAAACTGCCGCATATTAGGGTGTTTACTCATGTTTCTAAGGAAATGTTTCTGCTGCTATAACACTTTAGTTTTTAATTAATTTAGTCGCGGGTGTCGGAAGGTTAATAGTAGGCACTTCTGGCGGCGGTTCTCCAATTGAGGTGGCACTGCCCCCTCGGAAATGGCACACCAATGCCAAGTGGCGATGGAACCGTTCAAACCGAGGGTTCTGGTGGGGTTTGTGGGGTTGATGGTGCTGGTGGGGCTGGTGGGTCAGGGACAGACGAGTCACCCGCCTATCGGCGTGGCAATTAAAAGCCAGTGTGTGGTGGCTGGCCAGGATGCGAAAGGGAGCTCCATTAAGCCGGGAAAAGGGGAAAGGGGAGTCTGGCATTTGGCATTTGGCATTTGACATTTGACAAATACTTAACACTATTTGCCCGACTTAATAAACCCGCCTTCATTGACTTTGCCACCGCAAAAGGACACGAGGCGTAAGGACAAAGTGGCGGGGTGCTCCTCTTTTTGGGGAGGGGAAGGGGATTGAGAAAGGGGAAGTGGAAGTGGAGGGGTTTCACGGCAATGATTGATTGCACGTTAAAGCCGGAGAGCATCACATCATTTCCTTTTACACTTGACAGGAAATGCATTTTTAGTTGGCGCTGGCGAAATGAGCATCGGTGTGTGCTGCCCGGAAAAGCGGGGGAAAAGCGGAAAAGCAGAAAAGCAGAATATAGTATGCGATGGGAAAACAGGAGGAAACGGAAGATGTACGTATGCAAAGCGAAATCACAGCCAGTGGGTAAATGGGGAGGACTTGAAAACAGACAAATGCAAATGCTAAATCCGAACCCAAAACTACAGCTGAGCACTGAGAACTGAAGCTGAAGCCCAGTCGAAGCTTTCCATGGCCGTTTTCACAGACAATTTACACAAGAATCACACAAATACGAGTACGTAAACATTTTGTGCGAGTCTGAGCTTGGTCATTGAGCAAACCATTCGCTCGGAAAGCCCGTCCAGGTGCAAACGCATTCCCACCTGTCTTTAAGCCCCAAAACTGCGAACTTTTTGGCAATGAGATCAAAATTAATGCACGAGGTGCTTGAGTGCAATATTCAGCCAACAAAAATATTAAAATCCATCAATATGATTTCTCATTTCAGTATGCAAAAAAATACAGCATAGGAAAACAGATAGAAGCAAACATTAAAGAAATTTTTCCCGGTTAATTTTAAATGTGATATGGAAAACTGTATTGCAGGTATTATGGAATTCTTTAGGCTGTATACCAGAATTTATTTTAAAAATTTGTGGTTGTTTGTTAAGGAGTTAAAACTAAGAAAGAATTTATTCTTTAAAAGATTTTTTATCTGTAGAGTTTTTCTGTTGTAAAATTACATACATAATATATATTTTTTCAATATTTTCTTTACCATAAACATGTAAAGTCAGTTTTCCCTTTCCTCAAAAATTAAAAACCAACCTCTCTTTTTAAAGTTGCTTAAAGACAAAAATATATTTAACTGCAATTGTTGCCAAAACAATACTTTATCAATCAAAAATCAGCATTTTGCCACAAGTGATTCTTTTATTATTCCTAACAGGAACTCCGACCGAGTTGTAGGCAAATTTTGGGTTAATATTTGCGCTGGCCTATCGATCAACATTAGAGAACCCCGAGCGTATAATCACCTTTCCGCATTCTGTGAATGGAGCACACACACTTTGCACGTTGCTCACCGGGCGGATACGTAATCGCCGGTCCGTCCAACCCGGCGGATAAGACAAACGACCCGGAGCAAATCGCTGGCGACCACGCCCCCTGCCCCACGTTCATTAGGCATGGCCACGCCTTTGTTTGACGCCAAGATGCCAAGATGCCGACACTGACAACAAATGTCGCCCCGGCCCCATTAATCCATCAAAACTGGCGTTGAAGCTGAAATCAAAATATGCGCCGGAGGCCGCGGAAGTTTATGGGAGCATTAATGTGGGCGGATCGAAGGGGGATAAACGGGGGATAAAGGGGAGTAACCCGACGAAAGCCACAACAACAGGAGGCCCAAGTATGGACTCCAAATACCAGAAAATTCGCACTATTTCCATTGGCATTCTACGCGATCGAAGAGCCAAGCTTGTCAAAGGCAATTTACCACACGGCCGTGTGCCTCAGGAGGAGCTATTGATGCAAATTTAGTATTCCCTTTAAATCGCCGCCCTGTCTAATCCCAAATTTGATTGCTTCGGGGACCCACAGAACCCCTTTGCACTCATTCGCCGATGGAAGCATCGACAAGGCGACCGCAATTTTCAGCTGGTGCGCAAATAAAGAAATTAATCAATTTAACGATACGATTACTGGAAACTCGACGCGAGGAGCGGGGAAAGAAAAAGTTATCAAGGCCAAGGGGGGTGTGAAAAACATTTAACATATTTAAATAGAAAAGCTTGGACATCAAATCATTTTAATAAAAAAAATATAAGCTAAATTCTTAAAATATTTTTTTTGTTATAACACACCTATAATGCTAAACATGTTCTTATCACTTTTTAGGGATGAATAAGAACACATTTCGCAATATCATACTTGTGTATTGAGTTTACTTTTATTAATGAGTATTCAAGTTTTACACACTTAGTTATACCAAAGCCGTTTTATTTTCCCATTCAGTAATTATTATTTTTTCCAAATATTCTATTTGTGAAAACTATCATACTTGGTCTTAAGAAATCGTTTGATTATTTGAGTAGGTAGTTATTTAATAAAGAGTTCGTATAAATATTATTATAAAAAT